AACAATCTTTCTGCGTCCAAAGAAGAGCTCCAAAGAGGTCCAACACTAGCGCGGGGTCCTCTGGGACTGCGTGGGGATAAGCACACAGTAAACTGTGGATGTGACTGGAGAGAGACTGACCGGTGCCTCCGCGAGGCCCACACGGATGGGTGAGCACCAAAGACCTATGCTCACCCGTGTCCCGGTGCTAAATGAGCCCCTAGAACCTGGATGTTGCCATCTTGAGTTTTGCCATCTGGCAGAAAAGGAAATTGGGGAGAGAAATGACTTGCATAAGAATGACTTTCTCGCACCATGAAAACTGTGGACTGGGCTTTAGGTCACCAGTAGAGGTGCAATCAATTCTTCAGTCAAATTTAGCTGAACGGAGGGAGCCGAGGGAGAGTAAAGGGGAGGGTGAATAGTAGAGGCCTTTTTTTTTTCTTATAACTGAGAGCTTAGAGCATGCTTAAATGCTCAGTGGAGGGATCTGGATCAGGGGGAAAGGCTAACAGCACAAGGAAAGGAAATAATTGATAGCATGAGATTTAGGGGACTGGTTTATTTATTATTGGCAAGATAGAGCTCAGAACTGGTATAAATTCAGTTTTGTTATGTTTAGTAGCTAAAATATGGGTGTATAGGTGTCTGATGCCTTTTATTTTTCTTTTACTTTATATTTTATTTTATTTTATTTTATTTTATTTTATTTTATGTATTTTTTGGTGAAGTAGGAGCATAGGTCATCTTCCAAAAGCAAAGGGTCATTTAAAGGTTTGTGTGAAGAAAGTTTGTGGAAACATACAGTGAGTACAAAGATTGAGCTGATAAGCAAAGAGGTTCAGGAGGCAGAGCAGGGTGGAGGCCCTCCCTGGTAAGGCTGTGGATTGCAGCTAGGTGCAGAGGGTCTAACTGATCTGACTTTATAATTTTTCTCCAGCTGTGCTCAGCTGCCCTGGAGCAGAAATAGAGAAGACAGACCATTGAGATCACCTAGGCGTGGGGTTATAAGTAATTGCTAAGAATCTCTTTTTTAAAAAACTTGCTTTTCTTTTCTTGATTTTAGAGAGAGACAGGGAGGGAGAATGAAAGGGAGAGAAGCATCCATGTGAGAGTGATCTGTTGCCTCTCACACACGCCCCAACTGGGAACTGAACTTGTAACCCAGGCATGTGCCCCAACCTGGAAATGAACCTGTTATCTTTCAGTTTGTGGGATGATGCCCAGACAGCTGAACCACACCGATCAAGGGCAAGAATCTCTCATATATTTTTAAAACACACGTCTTATGTAGCTGCTCTCCAAATTAAATAAATCCTTTACTTTAAATTTTATGCTACCTATTTTCCCATCCCTTTTGTGGGAGGCCACTCTGCGTGGTGTGGGCCCAACCCTCACTGGGAAATGCACAGGACCCACACCCACAGATAGGTTCTCCCGTGGGGAATCTGGCCTGCAATGCACCTAGGTTGCTATAAGTCTTGCTTTTTGCTAAAACTCCCTCACCCTGAATTGAGGACATTTACTGCAAAGCAACTTCCTAAAAACCATGCTAAACCTTCCACTGATGAGTGTAAGGGATCCAACTACTTTTGCCTTTTCATTTGCAAATATCCCTTTTCTGTGATGTGATCGCCAGCATCCTCTCCTTTGTTTTCTGTATAAGGTAACCACTTAAAGTGAGCCTGTGCATAGTTAATGAGGACCTTCTTGTAATGTGCCAGTAAGACAATAAAAGCTCATTGGAGCAAGGGCCCAAGCTTTTGCTCCCCTTGAGAGAAAAGCCATGCTGTCCCTTTTCCTCCACTGGATTCGGTAATCCGTGTGAATGTCTCTTTTTCATCCATAATGATGTGGACCCCACGAGCTGAGGTCTGCATCACCTTTGATAATTGTTTTTAACTCCTCTGGCTCTTTTCTAGATTTCCCATATTCTTTTACAAATTAGAGGCAGACAATGCAGTGGTTACCCAATCTGCTAGGTACAAATCTTACATCTAGCATGTACTTGCTGTGTGAACATAGGTAAGTCTCACGGCTCCTCTGTGCCTCAGTTTTCTCACTTGTAAAATTGAGGGAGTAATCACAAAAGCATCCCCCCTCAGAAGGTGGCTTTGAGGACTAAATGAGCTAAGGCATATACTATGCTGAATATGACGTGCTGCTGTTACTGTAATTCAAATGAAATAACTCAAGTTGGGAGCTGAATGACATATGAAAGGTTACATTCTGGCCTTTTTGTTTTATGCCACATTTAACACATCCCAATATTTCATACCTTTTCTACATGTCTTTTGCTTCCAAATCCATCAGCTTTGACAACCACTTCTAAAAATGCTGCACCTTTTCTTTTCCACAGGTGAACTGAAGAGTCCTGATAATGGGCAAATTTTATAAAGTACAAGGTCCTTAATGAAGCTGTAAGCCTTCTTGAGGCAGGTACTGTGATTTCCACCTGTTAGTAGGCTTTGTACCCAGGAAGCTGCCCAATGTAAAGTAGGAAATAAAAACGGTGGATGATAATGATGATGATAGTACCACAATTTCTCATCCTTAGTTTCCCTTACCATTGACCTCTGTGGGGACCACAGGGGGCAGAGAAGGAGCATAGCACTCTGAGCCCAGAAAGACCATGCCTCTATCCCTGATGAGCTGTATCCCTGACTAATTGTATCACCTCAAATTAAACAAACACAATGTAACCGGAAAAGACACCGGTGTTCAGGCTGCCTGTCACTACCAAATCCAATAAGCAATGACAGTGATTGAATCGTTTATAGGTGCTTTATTCAGATGGCCGGCGATCCGAGAAGATGGCGGGTTCATACCCTAACAAACCATATCACTCTCTTTCCTAGCCAGATCTTTTATAAGGGGGTTGGGGGAGGGCAAACAAGGTGTCAGCGAAAGCCTTTGAAATTCAACGGTTGCCTGCAAGGGGGTAGGGTAGTCGCTTGCTTCTTCCTGGTACAGACCTCTCCAAGAGGTCATCTGCTTACTCTTAGGCACCAAGATAGGCCTTATCTGTAGTTACTGAAACAAAAACTTAACATACACATTACTTGCTAGATTTATGACTATTTACCTTAAGCTAAATTTTCCAAGTTTTGAGTCCCCTATCAACAACACTCTAGACTATTCAGTAACTTATTAACAACTTTCTCTTTCTCCCCTCCCATTCTTGTCAGCCATTAACATATGGACTCTTCCCCAGGCCATCCCTTTCCTAAAACATCCATCTGACCACTGTCTACCAAAGGTTAGGGTGCGAATTTCTTCTCTGTCTTAAAGTCCTTCATGCCACCACTTTCTGATCTGTCAGATGTGCCCTTCCTTCACCAGGCAGGTTTATCCCATTTCATGATTTATTACACGTTTGGGAAACACCTTCCTTTAGCTCTTCATCCCAGGCAATACCCTACTTTGCAACGTGCTCACCTCCTTCCATCAAGATCTCTAACTCTTTTTCTGCCCTTTATTCACAGTTGCTGAATTCCTTTCATGTGATATCTTTCATAACTGGAATATTTTTTTCAATTGTTTCTCTCTAAATTGTAGAGATGACTTCCATTTTCTCACAATGCCAAAAATATACGACTTTTTTGCCTTTAACCGGCAAATAGTGTAGATATCTGTTAAGTGTCTGTTTGGCTGCATGAAGTCTGTATATGGTTTATAACAACTACTGAAGAGGAGAGATGAGCTCATCTCCTTGGTACTACACTGAGTGTTGCAAGATATATACAGATAGCATAAATTTCCAATTGTGATGATGCCTTGAGGAGAAAAATTAAAACATCTTTAGCTCTGATGCGAATACGTATTTCAGCTTTTGATGACAAAATAATGACATACACCCACCGATCACATAAAAACTTAAATATAATAAACATCTTTAAACACTGTAAGTAGCCACAAGAAAAAAGGTGGCTATTTCACATTAAAACCTTTATATGATAGCAGATGTTTCATATCAAGTTGAAGGTACTCATTCTATAAAGGCTATAAAATGCTGAAGAAAAGAAGCGCAGGATGGAGCAAAGGAAAGAATGAAGGAGAAAACGCAAAATACCTCATAAAAGTCTGAGTAAATGAGTGACTTCTGATAAAATTTTATATACACAAATCTTGAATTGTGCTTCTGAATTTTTTTAAAAGCATCTTTGTTCTATACCTTTCTCAGGATATCTCTATATCTTAATTGAAGTACCTCTCTGACTTGCCTAAGTTATTAAGACCCTTTTACATTATATAATTCAGTATACCTAGTCTCCTTTTCTAATAAAGGTTGAATTGTTTTAGGAAAGTCATATATATAAAGTAAGGATCCACTGTTTATTTTTTTTAAGATTTTATTTATTTACTTTTAGAGAGAGGGGAAGGGAGGGAGAAAAAGAGGGACAGAAACATCGATGTGCGAGAGATAGATCGATCATTTGCCTCTCACATGCCCACAACTGGGGATCTGGCCAGCAACCCAGGCACATGCCCTGACTGGGAATCGAACCAGTGACCTTTCAGTTCACAGGCCTGTGCTCAAGCCACTGAGCCACACCAGCCAGGGTGGGGTCCATTTTTTTAAAAAATGTAACCAAACTTCCAAATGTAGGAGAGTATGGTTCTCTTAGAAAGCTCTATATTTATTCCAAGTGCCACTTCTCAAAATATTTTTAGAATTCCTCTTAGGAAACATCTTCAGTTAGCTAAAAAGCCATGTGACATGGGTAGGTGGGCTGGGATGGGAGTAAAGGACAGAAAACTGTACTTGAACAATGATTAAAATATAATTAAAAAAATAAATTAAAAGAAAAAACATGTGACAGAGTGAAATCTTGTTACTTTATAGAGATTTTATACATGGGGTCTGGCACAAATAATACCCCTTTTTTATTATAAAATCTTTTATTACAAAATCATAAGCATGTAATTCTGTAACATAACAATATCACACTCAAGCACACCATATGACATTTTAGATGAAATGTTCAAGTAAAAACTATGATCGATTACACCCATGTTATTATCCTACCACCACACTCAAGCCGGCATCACTACTGCTGGACCCTGCATACTCACCCGATTCTGTCAACCTGACTTCAAATTACATTTCTGGCTGCATCCAAAAATTATTTTATCTCAATGGACAAAGATTTTCTACTATAAAAGTTATTTTTTTTAAGTGTGAAAGCATCCTGAGAGGGGCACCCACCAATTTATTAGAAACAAAGAGTCAGGCTAGAGTTAGGGCAGAGCCTCAGAGCTGGACCGGGCAGGTGATTCTGAGGGTAGGGTGAAGAATATTAGTTTTTAAGGATGATCTTCGAATACTTTTTTTAAACAGCCACACTTCTTTATTTTCATACTGCAGGTGATTCAATTTTATGACAATAAACCACCTTTTCAAAATCCTACAATGGTTTTATATGGAATAGGAATTTTTAATTTCCCACAGATTGTAGAGTACACCAAAGTGTGTAAAGATAAGAATTTTCTCCCAATCTAAGCACCTCGTGCACGTGTCAGAGTAGCATATTCTAGGAATCTGAAGTTTTGTTGAATGTCGGTGACTTAGAGGGGTGGTCAGCAATTCTGAGGGTGTCTGTTCTTTCCTGAAATTCTAGGTGTTTGAACAAATGCTGATCGCATTCAACGATTTTGTTTGTTTCACAGTGTGAATCCTGTAACATGAGCTTTTCGGTAACTGTGAATTTTATTTTAGACATTTTTGGCACTTCCAGTTCACAATGCTTGGTTGTGTGGTTTAAGATCACTTTAATGTTTGCACTTTACATTCCCTTTGTCCCTTTTGAAGAAGGGGACATTGTCTTATATGTTGTCTTGGGGGAAGAGGGGTAGGCCTCCTCCTCTATACCTTCTTTAAGTGTTTGGCTTTATGAAATACGCGCTTTCCCCCAGAATCCCGTATCGTTTATAAAGCCGGTGAAAATTTGCCTTCACAAACTGTGCGTGCCAATCCTTCTTAGAGGCTGGTATCCCCGACTTCAGATTTAGGCTGTTTGGCCAATGCTGTCATAGGTTCTGGTGGCCCTTCCCGGCAGAAAAGTACAACTGGATTTCTGCGAGCCCACAAGGCCTCGTCCCCAGCCACCCCGCTGGTTGGATTGGAAGAGGTCATTCTGCTGCAGGCTCCCAGCCGGTTGTCACAGCGGTTTCGGTTTCGCAGGCGATTGCGCCTTCTAGCCTGCAGGCCTGGGCCCTGGTTAGGCAGGGAAGCATCTGCGTTCCTAGTCCGGTAACCCTCTTCCCGACTGCGCCCTAGGAGCATCGATATGTTGGGATTGCGAATGGCATAGATGACAGGGTTGATGGCTCCATTGGCCCAGGTCAGCCAGACAGCCACCACGTTAAGGAGCGAGGGGGCCTGCGTGGCCTGGGCCTGACGGGCAGCAGCCAGCAGCACCAGGAAGCAGTAGGGTCCCCAGCAACATATGACGAAGACGATCATGATGAGTACAGTGGTGGCTGTGCGCACCTCGCTGAAGAAGCGCAGCACGCGTGCGTAGGTGGTCATAGGCCGCACGCGCACATCCGACAGGCGCACAGCTTTGAAAATGTGGTAGTGGCAGAAGCACATGAGCAGGAAAGGCAGCAGGTAGCAGGCGACCACCAGCCCCACGCTGTAAGCCGAGCCCAGCTGCGCTGGGTCTGGGGTCGTCCGGTATAGACAACTGTGGAAGCTCTGCACTGCCGGGGGCTCCCGGGGCGTGTGGAGCAGCTCCCAGGGCAAGGAGAAGCCCAGGGCCAACAGCCAGACGCCCGCCAGCAGTTGGAGCGCGCGGCGACGACCAATCTTCTCCCGGGGCGACCGCACGATGGCGCAGTAGCGGTCCAACGAGATGAGGGCTACGCTGAGCGTGGATACGATGCCGAAGCACGAGCTGAAGAAGCGGCTGGCAGTGCAGAAGCCGCGCCAGGGGATTGTGGCGGCGGCGGAGTCAGGCTCGGAAACCCCGGGCGGCGTGAAGAGATCCAAGAAGGCAGCAGGCAGGCATAGCAGCGCTGTGAGCAGGTCCGACAAGGAAAGGGACAGGATGAAGGCGTTGGTGACGGTGCGGAGCTGTCGGTGCTTCACGATCACCCCCATCACCGCGCAGTTGCCCAGGCTAGACAGCAGGAAGATGAGCAGGAGGACGAGCGCCTGGGCCGCCACCGCCGCCCCGTAAGACAGCAGCGGCCTCCCCTCCACCCCAGCCGCCCCGTGCCAGCCGAGGCCGTGGCCAGCCGAGGCGCCAGTGATGTCGCCTTCGGTCCTGCCGCTCTGGTTCCCCAGCGCCGCGGCCGCCGCGGTAGCTGTGGTGCTGAAGGAGAGCACGGCCGCCGTCTCCGCGGAGGAAGTCCCGCCAGGTGTGCCGGCCGCGGAGGGGGCGCCGGAGCGTGGGCTGCTGGACAAGGCCATGCACAGGGGCTGGCGGCCCTCCGGCGATGGCGGCTGCTCCATGGGGCTCCGCGGCCGCCTCGGGGCTGCTCATTACGCACCAGGGGAGGCTTGGCCTGGGCGAGAGGCTGCTGCCGGTAGTCGGGGTCTGCTGGAGGGCTGGCTGTCGCCCCGGACCCCGCGGAGCCTTTAGCTTGGGTTCCAGGCGTTGCCTCGGGAACCGCCTGTTTACGCTGGAGCGTGGGGCGGGACGCTGGAAGTGCCTTCGGGAAAGTCAACACACAACTTCACCTCTCCCCGAGGTTACTCAGCACGGAGTCTGGGCTTTAGAGAATGCCAGATTGACCTCCGCAGGGACCATTGGCCAGATAAAGTGGGAGTGGCTCTCATATAAATGACCGAATTCAACAAGGGTTCATTCTCAGGCTCTCTTCTTGGATACAAAGGTCCTACAGGGTGGCCTTCGTGGGGGAAACTTTGCTTCCTGTGGGTCTTTTTGGCATATACAGGTAGGGAAGGAAACAAGAAACTGAAGTGAAAAACTATCCAAATCCGGAGATCTTAAACTTGAGGGGCTGAAAAATTTGAACCGGGTGTCCTCAAACTTGAACGTGTGCCAGAATCACCTAGAGTTCTTGCTGAAACATAAGTGGCTGGGCCCACAGAGTCTCAGATTCAGTGGGTCTGGGGTCCTGTCCTAGAATTTGCAGCTCTAACAGCTTCCCAGGTGGTGATGATGTCACTGGTCTAATGACCACAATTTGAGAACCACTTATGTCCTGTGCCTATTAAAAAGCAAATTCAGCCCTGGAGGGTGTGGCTCAGTGGATTGAGTGTTGGTCTGTGAACCAAAAGGTCACTGGTTCAATTCCCAGTCAGGGCACATGCCTGGGTTGCAGGCCAGGTCCCCCATTGGGGGGCATGCGAGAAGCAACCACATGTTAATGTTTCTCTCCATCTCTTTCTCCTTCCCTTCCATTCTCTAAAATAAATAAATAACTGACTGAAGACAGGCCCATGAATCTGAACCCTGCAGGTGATTCCGACACAGGTGCTCTGAGGAGCTAGGTTATGGGCCTAGGAGGCAGGATGTTACCTTGTTTTAAAGAGCCTGGATCTCAGGACCAAAACTGGCTCACACATGTGTAGGGGGAGAAGGGAGAGCGGTTGTTCCTTACCCTGTGGCTTGTCCTCTATTAGTTCTCTGGAATGTGATCTATTCTGAGTCTAAGGTGCACCAACTAGACAGTCACCACAGAAGCAGCTCCAGATAGGTAACTGGTTGGAAGACATAGGAACAGGAAGGGCCTGACTCCCCAGGGAAGCTTCTGGACATGTCATGTTTCTGGACATGACTTCTAATGGGGAAAAGTGTGACCAACCCTCAGGGTCTCCAAGGCTGTGGTTTGCAACATGTGGACCCTGGACCAGCTGCATCAGTATGATGTGGGAACTAGTTGGAAATGCAGATTCTCAGGCCCTGCCCAAAATCAGAATCAGAAATTCTGGAGTGGGGCCCAGCCACAGGACCTGCAAATGATTCTGACACACAGTCGAGTTTGAGAAACACTGCACTGAAGAATGAGGAATACATTTACAGATCTTAAAATCTATGACATTAGTGCTTTGGTTGCTTATTTCAATAAGGAAAAATATCTTACTGGAAATTTACAGCATAAATAGGAATTCATTTAAGGTGGTAAACCAAGGTTGGGTTTCTCAGCCTCTGCATAGAATCAACATTTTGAGACAAGTAGTTCTTTGTTGTGGGGGCTACCCTATGCATTACAGATGTTCAGCAGTATCCCTAGCTTCTCTCCACAAGATGCCTGTATGACAACTACAAATGTCTCCAGACACTGCCAGATGTCCCCAGGGATGGAGGGGGGGGGGGAATCAACCCACGTGAGAATCAATGAATTAAGACAAAAACATAATAGATTAATTTATTTAGCAAGTCTTCTCTGTGCTAAGTTTTCAGAAACAACAAATAAGGATTCCAGCTGAAAGAACTTTAGTCTCAGGTAAACACAAATATATTACAATGTTATAAGTGTTGTTAAAAAATACAGAAATTAAATTTATGGAAGTAACTAACTCTTCATAGGGTAGCTGATGGAGACTTCACACAAGAAGTGACATTGGACTCTTTGAAAGAAGGGAAAGGAAAGGAAAGGGGAAAGAACAAGACAGGAAGGAAGAGAAAGAGAGAAAAGAAAAGAAAAGAAAAGAAAAGAAAAAAGAGAAAAGGAAAAACAGAAGGACGTTCAATGCATGTGCAAAGTCTGAGGGTTAGGATCTAAGTACTTTACTCTTGGGTACTGGTGAGAAGTTTCTGTATCTTAAGGTACATCGGGGTAGGGAGTGAAGAAGGAAATAAATAATAAAATAGATGGGGACCCTCTTAGAAAGGGCTGGTGTGCAGTACACACAGTGAAGCACAGAGATCGAACTTCACTGGGAGAAGATGGGGAGGTAGCACTAGCACTGAAAGACTTTAAGCAAGAGATGGCCATACTCAGGTATGGTTCCGAAAGACAAGAGTGGCCTCACGTTGTTCTCCTGGTTTCCCTCCTTCCTTGTTTGCCTCAGTGTCCTCAGCCAGTTCATCCTCCCCCACCGACCTTTAAATTCCAGAGGCCTTCAGGCCCAGTCCTGGGCAGCTCTGGACTTCCTCCGTCATCTCACTCACACTCACAGCTCTGAAATCTGTCTTTTCACAACTCTAAATTATGTCGCCAGCCCCAAACTATCTTGCTACTTGGCATTGCCCCATGATGCACAAAAGCACCTCAAACGCAACATGACCAAAATGGAATTCATGATCTTTCCTAAAAACCTTGGTCCTCAATTTTTGCGTCTTCAAAAGTGGCACCACTTTCCATCTAGTTTACTAGCCAAAAACTTAGGGCTCTTTCTTGATAAATTATTCTTCCTCGTCTTCAGCCCATCTTCAATCACCAAGACCTGGGAATTTTACTTGTTAAGTATCTTTGTAGCCATTCATTTCCTCCACCACTTAATCCTCCACCTGAATCTTAGCTCGAATCTTCTCTTTAGACTACTACTGTTGCTTCCTAACTGGGTCTCCCCACATCCAGCCCCTACTCCATGCTACAGACAGAGTGCTCTTTCGTTTTCAAATCTGTACATTTTCACTTATTTATTTATTTATTTAGAGAGACGGGAAGGGAGGGGGAAAGAAAGGGAGAGAAACATCGATGAGAGAGAGAAACAATGATTGGCAGCCTTTTGGCCTGACTGGGGACTGAAACTGCAACCTAGGCATGTGTCCTGACCTGAAATTGAACCAGTGACCCTTCACTTTGCAGAACAATGCCCAACCAACTGAGCCACAGCACCCAGGGTGGCACAATGATCCTTTAAACAAAATAAATCTGACCATCCCACCCATTTATTTAAATATTCTCATGGCTTTCTCCTTTTAATTTAGGGTAAGAACTCCAATCCTTAATATCTCCTACAAGGCGCGGCATGATTTCACACCTACTTCCTCTCTAGTCTCATTCTGGGTCACCTTCCTCCTTTTTAGCTCACGCTGGCCTTTTGTGAGTTCCTTAGGGCATCTGCACCTGCTCTCCCTTCTGCCAGGAAAGCTCCAGCACCACCACTTCCCCCGGCCCCCGAGGATCCCCATCTCCGAGTGAATGTGAGTCTCTCAGGGGAAGCCTTCCTTGGCTTGGAGGACATACCACTGTCTATAATTATGCTTTCGTGACTATTGCTTGCTTCCTATGGTAGATTGTAGGCTCTGTGAAGACTAGGATTTTGTCTGTTTGTTTTTTTATTAGATTCCTAGCACTCTAGAAAACTGCTAGAAACAGGAAAAAAAATTAAGTGACTGTAGAAGAATCTGGCAACTTGGAGACCAGTTAAGAAAAGGCATTGTAATGGCCCAGGGGAGAAATGAAAGAGTCTGAACTCAGGCATTTACAGCAGAGAGAGGAGATTGTAAGGGTAGTATATGGATTGAGGTATTTGGATATAAGCAACACAAATAGGGCACTGTCTCCCTTAAGTAAGAAAGGAATTTCCTGGAAGGATAGGGGAAGTTCAGACTACAAAAGGATAGTCTGACAGCCAGCCCCAAGGACAAGAGCAGTCAGGGCAGCTCTGTGGGTAGAGAGAGCAGAAACTAACAGAGGGTGACCTCTTTAGGGCTCTGTCAGAATAAGTCTGTGTCAACCATGGTGTAGACCTTCCGTCATTTCTCTCACAATCCCAGGACCCGGGGGAAAGAGCCTGTTTGGCGCACCTCTTGCCTGGTGGTCCCAGCAAGGCTGCATTCTGGGGGTAAACCGTTTCCCAGAGAAAGGAAGGTGTTGACAAAAGGAGAAAGTTAGTGATAGTGTCATTTTTTAGAGAGAAGTGATTTCTTTACCATAGAATGTTATAGAGAATAAGCGGAAAACATTACTTTTGTGTAATTAACTTTGGTCAGGGAAATCCATCACAGACCTAATAACTGGGTCTGTACAGACTTGCTGGATGGCAAAGCCAGTTAAAATGAATTAGTTACCATATTTTTCTGACCATAAGATGCACCTAGGTTTTAGAGGAAAATAGGAAAAAAATTTTGAAGCAAAAATGTGGTAAAATATTTAATAACATAAGTAATATAGTATTTCACCAATGTAAATGCAAACAGAACTCAACAGCAGCATTAACAACCATTATTCCTCCCAAATTGGGGGAGCAAGGGGTGCGTCTTATAGTCCAAAAAATACAGTACTTCAATTTCTGTCTGCTCAGAAAAAAAGATACTGCTCACCTCACAACAGAGTCTAATGAATACTGAGAGGGCCACATGTTGAATAATTTTTAATACTTTATTTTATAATGACTGATAATGATCAAATTTATTTTTAACAGGGTCATAGACAATTTACTAGCAAGGATACCAAGAGTTAACATTTCTTTCATGTTTTCGATTTAGCTGGCGTGTAGTTGGTCGAGTGAGAGACTTGTCCCACTGTAGTGACTCACTACTACGGACCCTTATTTCGACATTGTCACACACAGTCCCTTTCATAAGAGCCTTAAAGATATAGCAAAAGTGTAACTATAGGTTGGTCTTCTCACATCAGTTTATGGAACTCAGTTCCCTCAGTAAAGCTGGCGTTTGCCAGACGGAGAACGCCTGGCCGCGACTGTAACAGGTACCCAGAGAAGCTGGCCCAACCCACTCCTTCCCAGGCTGTGGACGTCAGGGCTTGAGTACCTTATAACGATAACGCATTCTCCTCACCAACACCTTAGGGAGAGGGCATTATCTCACTCAAAAACTGGAAGACTAAAATAATGAACTGGTAAGAGCCCTCATTGTTTTGAGGGTGACAATTCAAGCTTATTATGCCAAGAACATTTAGAAACAGTATTATAATAATTACCATAGAGTAATTTTTAAAACAAGAACTAAGGTTTTATTTTACCTGATATGTTAGTAACTAGAAAATTATGTTGGCATTGTGTTGCTAGACATTGTGTTGCTAGACATGAGATTTATGCCTAATATAGGCAAAGATGAGGTATAATGACTTTATATTTAGCCACAGTGTCCTATTTTAGAAAGAATGGAAGTTGGCTTACATGTACAATTTGGATATAGGTTTCCACATAATTAAGAAAAAAATTACTTCAAGAAAACAACTGCTTGAAAAAGAAAGGTCTTCAAAGTCACAGAAGTCACTTGAGAAGAAATCCATCCTGCAGTGGGTCATCGGCTTCTACAGTGAAACTCGCTGTACCCGTGTAGTGGGCTCGCCCGGACACTTCCACTATAACAGCATTATAATCACCGCATTTTGCTTCCTGGAAAAAAAATATGAAAGGAGTACAATATCAAAATACTGCATTCATATCTGGCTTTAAGTTATTTTGTGGCTTTTTTATCATTTTAAAGAAAACCCAAGGGTTATTTCAACAGGCAATGAAAGGAGAGCAACCTGATCAGGTCTGTGTTTTCCGTAAGTTAGGCTGTAGGGTGGGAGACAAACTGGAGAGGAGAAGAGAAAATGCCCAGAACCCTTTAAGAGGTAAGCTTAATTCAGTGATTGAATCTAGAGTCACTGGGGTAACTTTTAGTGAGGATGGAGAAAAGCAAAACAGAGATACTGTGGAGGTGGAACTGACAGGCCTGGGCACCGATGTATGTGGGACGCGAGGAAGAGGAATACGTTAAATGTGACTACAGCTTTTAGCTTGAAAGTGACGTTGACTCTACCATTAAACAAGATGGGGAACACGGCAGGAGAGGCACATTTAGGAAGGGAGGGAGGGAGGACTATTTAACAAGTTGAATTTGCAGTATCTCTGGGATAATTTTGAGAGTTTACTGGACAGTTGGGAACACACGTGTTAGACTCAGGAGAGAAGCCCAGGGTAGGCACTGCCGGGAGGAAGGTTTGGAGGTCATCATCAGAGGGTGACTGAGAGTTGAAGCTTCAGAAGTGGGTGAAATTGCCCAGGGGCATTAAATTACAGAGGGGATGAGAAGGGAGCTAAGGATAAAATGCGGGGGACCTCTAAGTAGAAGGACAGGGAAAGGAAGCTGGGGCCGGGAAAGGGAAGGAGCAGATACTGTCAGAGAGCCTGAAAGAGCGCAGACAGAGAGGATAGGTAGGTGGTGCAGGTGCCGATGTTCAGGCAAGTATGATTAGTAACTATTACATAAACAACTTCAAATCTTAACTACAGCGTGTCTTTAATTTCTAATTTTTAAAAATGAGAATAACTGAAGCTTAAGGTAAAATGTCAATTATCAGGTTAGGGTACAGTAATTTTATTATCTTGTTATAAAGTTGCTATAACATAAAGCCTCACTGAAAACTTGCTTTGTCTAAGAGCAATGTAATGTAATGCTTAACAGTGTGGGGTCTGCTCAGGAAGACCCCACTCCTAGTCTGGGTCTGTTACCTACACTCTTAAATTCTCCGATTATCACCTGTTAAAGAAGAATGATACCAGCACTGACTTCCTAGAATTCCTGTGAGGCGATGGTGGGCATACAGCACAAAGTGCTGAGCTTGGAAGTTGGCATGTAGTGAAACACCCAATAAATGACGTACAGTAGGGGTGTCAAACTCATTTTCACTGGGGGCCACATCAGCCTCGAGGTTGCCTTCAGAGGGCCGAAGGCAGTTTTAGGACTGTGTAAATGTAAGTACTCCTTAACTAGGGGCAAGGAGCTCTACATTCGGCCCTTTGAAGGCAGCCTCAAGGCTGATGTGGCCCCCCGTGAAAATGAGTTTGACACCCCTGATGTAGTCTTCAATTGCAGACTTGAGACGATATATTCTAAATTTTTGCACACAACATAAATGGTTTGGTATCTCGTAAGTTCATGTACTATATAGGAATGCCTAACTTAAATAAATAAAATTCAATACTCAGAATAATAACCAACCTTTAAAAATAGCTATATTAGGATATAAAAGTCTGTGTTAAAAATAGATTGCTATGTTAAAAGACTCTTTATGAGTAGATTCATTTACTAGGTGTAAATAAGTCATCCTGTAGATTTCATTTATTAATATGAGTAAACTCACTAATTAGCTCTATTAGCTAGCATGTTTGATATTTGACTGCATTACAAAAATTCTACTTCCTGCAACTTTTCAGGACTTTCACATCCTGTTAGAAAATGGAACACTTCTATAGAACAAAAACAAACAAACAAACAAACAAATTCAAACTGTAATTTAATGGTTCTAAAACATTTTGGTCCCGGAACCCTTTTATACCTTCTTAAGGTCTGAAGACCTCAAAAGAGGTTTTGTTTACTTAGGTCATATCTATTAATATTCGCTATTTTGGCAATTAAAGATCTTTGTTCATTAACTCATTAAAAAAACAAAGTCATTACATGTTAACATAAACAATGAAATTTTGTAAAATTTACGTTTGCCAAAACAAAAACATATTTAATGAGAAAAATAGCACTGTTTTACATTGTTGCAAACAGACGAGGGCTAGATGCCCGTATGTGCTCCTGCACTCAGTCGGCTGGGCTACCACGTCATTTAGCCTCCGGAGAACTCCACCGTCCGCGCACGCGTGAGAGAATGAAAGTGGACAGCACATAATGCCTTGGTGTTACTACGAGTATAGTTTTAAGCTCTGGACCCACGGAAAGGACCTTGGGAACCCCCAGGGCTTTGCAGACCACGCTTTGAGAACCAACATCTGAGTGGAACAGTTGTTACAGGCCTGTTTTAAAATTCTCTTCTGAATGCTGAGTGAAGAAACTCATTTCACACCCCACTTACACCTCTTCAGTCTCAAAAGTAACACCGTTACAAAGAGCCACGGGTGTCACTCACCCTCACGGCCTTCCCTGTGAACACTGACCCAGTTGCACTGCTTTTAAAGGCTCTGGTCTGGTCCAGCTCCAGGAGCCCTTTGTGATACTGTAAGGCAATGCGGGCTGTCACTCCTGAGCCGGTAGGACTTCTGTCAACCTGTTTCAGAATAAATGCAGAAAAGCCTGTTCATAGTGCTCCAGTTTCACATTGCATGTCTTTTGTGCCTAGAAATTACAGTTTTAATACCTGTTCATCCGCAAACACACAAATGTTGGTGGTTGGCTCCTCACTATAAGTGTCTTTTCCATCCGTTAATATAGTTCCATATAGAAAGGCAAGGTCTTCACTATCAGGATGAGTAATTTTAAACTGCAAATAACAAAAATTATCAACCACATGTAAATATTTCAATTCAAATATATTTTAAAAAATTTTTTATTGATTGATTTCTTTTTAGAGAGAGAGGAAGGGAGAGAGACACAGTGATATGTTGTTCCACTTACTTATGCCTTCACTCGTTGATTACTGAATGTGCCCTGACCAGGGATTGAACCCACAACTTTGGCATTTTGAGATGATGCTGTAACCCACTGAGCTACCGGGCCAGGGCTAAATTTATATTTTAAATAACATATATGGAGAACTGTTAAACATAACTTTTCCATCTTTATCATTTTAAAAATACCTTTCGGGTCAAGTTACTAAATGCTAGAAGTGACATTTTTGTCTAGATGAATAAAGAAAGTTTTATTAAAAGTTACAATTGTTATGCTCAGAGTCCTTCCTAAAGGGTCGCCCTGCACATAGCCTCTAGAACGGCCCTATTTTGTACACACATGGCCTAAACATACACACTCCACGGCACGGAGCCATGGCTGCTCAGACAGGAAGAGCTAAGACAATCATCCTTACACTAGGGAGCTTGAAGGGATCATGGAAAAAAAAATCAGGCAATGAGAATCTAGAGCTGAAGTTAATACCACTGATAGAGACAAGACTGTGAGAAGTCACAAGCAAGCAAAAGTTACAAGGATGCAGATGCTATTAGGTAACAGAAACAACTGGACAAAAAAAAGATTAATTGTAAAGGTTGAAGTCAGTTTGTATCATAAAACGCAGCAGATACACGCAGAGAGAGGCAGGCACCCAAAGGATAACTAAGTCACGTCCAGGGCAGAGAATGGTCAGCCTAAAGGTATACTGCTTCCTGTTCCCAGAGGCCTGGTGGTTTAATTTTTCCTGGATTTTGGTAACTTCTGCTAGTTTGACCAAGATGACTGTAATTGTACTTCCAAGAGTATCTTTACAGATAGTACATTCCACTACCCCTTACCTGTCATTTAAAGTAGTTGAAGAGGTTTGGATTCTTAGAATCCAAAGACTCCATTTATAACCAAGTTATAGAGGCTTGCATATTGGATCTTTGTTCTCTGTTCTCTTAAAGCCCCTATGCCCCCCTCTACTCCAGCACCATCCAACACCACGTTGTTCACTAGTGTGCTTCCCTCCCTACACCTGCTCCTTGAAGGTGGGCTTCATTCTCCCTTTGTGCCTCCGGCATCTAGCATAGTATCTGACATAAGTAAGTTCTGGGTAAGTAAGTGCTTGTTAAAAGAATGAATGGATGAAGATGCATTTATATCATACTAACTTCAGCCCCACTCCCAATGGCCTTTCCCTAAATCTAAATCAGCATATGAATGGTCAGCAATTCACAAAGTACTTCCACTGCTTGATTCATCCCTAGTAAAAGTTCTGCTCACATTTTTTGCAGAATCCCTCCTTCTTCAAGTCCATCTTTCACAACCTTGGTGAGAAGTTCAAGCTTCGATGAGAAGTTCAAAATTACTTCTATTAAGAAAACTATGCCTTTTCCTTTTGATTTCATTAAAAACAAGTTGACATCATTTCAATGCCAAACTGTTAACTTAAACTATTAATTGTCTGCTTGACAGAACAGAGAACTGATGTAAATTCAGAGCTTCAGGAGTTACAATGACAAAACAATTTTACATATTGGTATTGACGGTTCTGGAAAAATAATAATTTAGAGCAGGATAAACTATATATTTTAATTTTGTTATTTAAGTTATAAATTAAGTTAAAGGTTGAGATATGTTTAATTGGCTCATTATTAGCATAAGTATATTAGATACTATCATTCACAAGCTATCTTTTATTTAGAATAATTAAATTATCAAATACTAAAACATTCAAACAGTGTATATGAGTTATTGGTAGGTCCCAATTTCAAAGTAAAATAACAGACTGGTGCTAGAAATGAAAGAATATTTGAAATTTGTTTATTATCTGAATTGATTTTGTTAGAATTGTTTTCCCAAGCCAAAACTAGAGTTACCTAAGTAGTTATTTAATTAACTTCTTAGCAATATAGGAAAATTCACTGATTAGGAATTAATGTTCTTTGTAAATAAGAGAAGGACTGATCAGATTTAATGAAATTTAATTTGTAATCTATATTTTATATTCATTATTTTCAAGTTTTGTAGAATGATCATATATGGCAAAACATGCATTTCAAATTAGTATAGTGGAACCCTATACTATGATACATTTACTATATTTTTAAGTAACCACAAATTTATTAGTATATATGTATTCTTAAAGTTAATAATAGTTATCATTATTGAACACTTATTATGGGCTTGGCACTATACTCTTCTAAACCTCTACAGCGCAGGTATTTCATAATTTCCATTTTACAGATTGGAAAACTGAGGTACCTGAGGTTACATAACTTGTTCAAGGTTATAAAAGTTACAAGTGGCAAAGCTGAAACTCATAGGTTGTCATGCTCTACAGCCTAAGATTCAAACCAGTACCCTATTCTTAGTACAACTAATAATTTAAATACAAAATATAGGTATTTAAATTTCTACATAAACATGTAACTAATATTTCCTTCATGCCACAGAGAAAGGCGATTGTTTTGATGGCAGCGCTTGTACTGACCTGAGCTTTCACTGCTTCTGTCACTGCACTTGCTGCATCCACAAGGTCCCTCGTCTTCGCGGAACCAACATCCAGTCCTAACTTCTCGGCGCTGACAAACGCATAAAACGCACCACCATATGCAATGTCCACTACCACCTGTCCGTGCCTAGGAACATCCACCAGCAGATCTAAAAGAAATGTGTTTGAAAATAAGTTTGTGTTAGTACTTTAACAATAAAAATCATAGAATATTTCATATGTGTATGCTGTGGGGGTGGGGGATCTCCTCCCTATCATAAAAAGGAATGAAACAAAAGTCCATCTTCAAAATAAGCATCAAGTAAATAATGATAAACCATCAGCTAAGTGCATCTTTGTTTTTAATTTGATGTTTGCATACATTATACACGTGAATGCCATGTTTTCTTAACTTACACATGCATATTTGTTAACTATTCTGAGGATCTTTTTTCCAGGAAACATCATAAAGGCAGAGAGAGGAAAACCCTGGGACATCAATGTGTGAAAATTATGAAGGAAAATGTAAGTTCCCTCTCATACTATTAGGAATGGTTTTATTTTATTTATTTTTACAAAAGATTTTATTTTTAGAGAGAGGGGAAAGGAGGGATGAGAAGAAGAGAAACATCAATCAGTTACAATCTGGGACCAAACCCACAAACTAGGCATGTGCCCTGACCAGGAATTGAACCAGCAACTTTTTGCTCTGTGGGACAACACCCAATCAACTGAGCCACACAGGTCCAGGCAGGAAGAGTTTTAAATAGTGAGGATTTGGAGTCCTATTTACAAACTGGTTTTCTACAGCTCTAAAGTCAAAACAAAATGAAAAAAGATTTTTTTCCTATATGTTATATATAAACACTTATTCACTTATATATTTCATCCCATGAAAGTATCTGCAGACAAATACTGAGAACAAAGCTATTGCAGAATCACTGGCCTTTAGGGTGTTATTTTGCATCAGGATTTTAATGAGTATTTTAAGCGTCCAACATACCCAGTTTCACCTGGAGGTCAGTTGTTTGAAATCCTGAATAGGTATTTCCAAAGGAATGGCGCAAGGTGATATTTTTGGATCGTATAACTGTTTTTCCCTCTCTTCCTCCAGTTCAAGTGGGCTTGGTTATCAAAGTGTCTGGGGGAGGCTTATGGCAGGGGAGAAAGCAGATTTTGTGGAAAACTAGGGACTCGGAGGAAAGAGATTTGTTGTCAAAGGAGTGTTCTGAAGGGAGAAATGTTTCTCCTGGTCAGTAGAGAAATTGCCTCTGGACTGAGAAGAGTCTGGGGGTCCTGAGTGTGGAGCACATGTCTTCCCCACAGCACCATGGGGAGGTTACAGGGTGTGGGGGGGGGGGGGCAGATAGGGGCAGATTGTCAGAAGCTGCAAGGAGGAGGAAGGCAAGGGCAGAGGATGCTTCCTTAGTAACCTGTGCAAGCTGAGGGCCAAAAGGTCCTCCTCTCCAAGGCCTCGGCTTATACATACCAGGAAAAGGGGCACCAAGTGGAGGGATGAAGCTGAGCCGGGTACAGTCTCGAATTCATAAGTAAAGTTGTGAAAAATAAAGTATTTCTTGTATTCCTGAGTTTGCACAGTCATGCAAAGGTACCAGTGTGCTTCTAGTTACAGGCTAGCCGACAGAGCCCTTTTTACATGTGATGGGTGAAAACACAGATAATTTTTCACCGAAAGAGTAAAACGTATCTGTGGAACAGCAAAATTCAATGAAAAAGGTCTTCATCTGGATGCTGGTACAACATGAAAAGCACATTTGATGAAAGAATAAGGAATTAGATGGAAATAGGGGACTGCAAGAAAGCTAAGTGTGTCTTTGGGGTCCCCATGTGTAAAATGGAATTGCTAGTCTCCCCACAAAAAAAAACATTTGAGAATTCCATGTGATAATGTGTAGGGAGTGCTTCGCACTGATGAGATATGCAATAAATGTTAATATTAAAGCCAGAAGTTTAATTTCCAATGGGAACAGGACTCTTAAGAGGACAAGATATTTACATTTGTAAATCAGCATGTCCTCTAAATTTCATTTTAGCTACTCACTCAACAAAAGTTGACTTTCTCCTATTCTAGCACTTGAACACAGTGAACAAAACTTGAAGTTTTCATTTTAGCAGGCGGAGTGGAGGTGGACTCAGCAATTCTCTGAGGTGGGCACTGTTGTCATCTTCATTTCACAGACACGACATTGAGGAGTAGAATCCCTTTCATGAGGTCATGGAGATGGAAAAGGGCAGAGCAGTGATCTTGATTGAACACTGTCAGTCCACCTTTTCTGTATAGTTCTAAGTAGAGAATTTAGGATTTCATTTTGTTAATGATGCAGAGTGACCATTAATGCTCACCGATTATCATACAGTTATGCTGCGACGCTCTCTGGAACTACTGTGCTTACAGGATTGGCTGCCCTGCCGTGACCATCCCAAACTGAGGAAGTAAGTGGTGATCCTGCTGCCTGCTGTCATTCCCCACTAGAGCTGGAGTGCTCCCCTGTGCTGCTTGCATGGCATAGTTAGCCAGGTTAAATTGCTGAGGTGTTGGAGATGCAATCCCAATGCAGATGTGGCACGGTTCTCTCCTAAAGGAGAAAGTGGCATCAGTTTGCTCTAAGACAGACAAATGCTTGCTTGGGCTATTATGGAATCATTCAGAATCAGGCTAATCCTGAATTCAAATCCTAGAGGAGGACCAGGACCACTTGATAGAATAATTTGCATGATCTGAAGACTTTGAAAGAAAGAGGTGATAACCCTGCTCCTGTCTGGACTAAATTACCCCCCAGCTCACTTCAGTCATGACTACTAAAGCATCCTCACCTATACAATTCAGCCCTTTGGAGGGATTTCTATGTAAGGATGACAGTTATTAGACAGCTGTTTTATAGGACATACAGCTTCAGTACTGGGAGCCCAGAAGTTCAGCACACCTAGAGAACTAATTAGTAACCTTGCATATTCTGTAGTCTGTCTCTAGGAATATATATATTCCTAAATTCTAAGTAGTGCCTTATACATACTCATTTAATTCTCACAAAAAACTCCATGAGATAATACACAAAAAGCATAAATAAGGAGAGGGTTAAGTAATTTGAGTAAGGTTGCACTGCTTTAGGGGTTGTCAGGCTTTGAACCCAGGCAAAGTCTGTTCCTGTTTTTAAAAAGTAACAACAGAGACATCCATCCCTATTTTAATGATTTATAAATGGCTTAGTTCATTCTCACTTAATTTCCCCCCAAGCGGGGAAGCATGTTTTACAGATGAGTTTTCCAAACTTACACTTTGTAACTTGTCAGGGGGTATAGTGTGACCAGCGAGGGTATTCTGAGCAAGCCAGGAACCCAGTTAAATTGGTTGTTCTTTGCAACGTCCAAATTGGTTAGACATTGCTTGGCCCAACTGTGAAATCTCTAGGAATGCCTGAGAGTGGGGACTAGGTGCTACGAGAGAAACGCGGAATTCCGTGCTTCCCGAGGCTCTCAAGACCACAGGGCGGCAACTGAATTGCGTGCACCGCACAGATCCGGAAGGCTAAGATGCCGACACACCCGCAGAGACTTAGAATTACCATTTTATTAAGTGCAAAGGCCGTGGGGGTGGGTTAGTTGCTCCATGTGGTTCCAGCCCAGAGATATAGTGTAGTTAGTTGTGTCTCGGGTTGCTGCCCAGGGCTGGGAGGGTCCCTCCGGTTACCTGTGGCCAGCGCGAAGGCCGGGACGCTGTGGAAGCGCACCCGGCCGCGGCTGAGGCCGCCCTCGCACTCCACGAAGGCGGCCACCAGCCCGCACGGGCAGTGGATGTTGACACGGGCCTCGTGGGCGCCGGCCGGAGGTGCTGGCACCAGGCCGAAGTCGAGGGCGAAGCGGCCCAGCGCCAGCACGGCGTGACCGCACATGGAGCTGTAGCCTTCGTTGTGCAGGAACAAGACGCCCAGGTGCGCGTCAGGTAGCTCGCTCGGCACCAGCACGGCCCCGTACATGTCCCGGTGTCCCCGGGGCTCGTGCATCAGCCGTCGCCGCACGTAGTCAAGATGCTGGCGCATGTAGCGCCGCTTGGCCAGCAGCGTGGGGCCCACCACCGCCGGACATCCCCCTAGCACAATGCGCAGGGGCTCGCCGCCCGTGTGCATGTCCACCACGGACAGCGTCGGCGTCCCCGGGTCGTGCGGTGGAAGCCGGAGCCCCGCCAGCGTGCGGTCGGTTGTCTGCATCAGGGAATACGACCACCGACCGGCGTCGTGGCCTTCCCCAGGGCGCACTGGTTTACTCAGCGCGAAGTGGTGAGGACGCGAGGTCTCTCCAGGGGGAGGGGCCTCCGAGCACAAACAAGGAAGTGTGAGGAGGGAGGCGGGTCTTCGAGGCGGTTGCCCGGGTTACCAGGAGACGGAACTACAGAGACGTCTGTGCCCCGGAAGTCTGGGCCCTGTGGCCGGGTCGGCTAATCCTGGAGCATCTCCAGGATAATTTAGGAGCGGCCAATGGGTACGTGGTAGCCGGGGTCCTGGGAAGCGTTTGTCATTGTCCCCGGTTTTTCCCTAGGCCGCTGGCTCTGGGCTGAGCCCCCGTGGGCGGCCCCCAGGTAGCGGCTCATCCTAGCTTTTTGCTCCCACCCGCCCTGGGGCTGGGCCCCAGACTCTTCCCGGGCTCTGGGATGGAGTGAAATGGGATGGGGAGGTGTCGGCTCCAGACCCGCTGCAGAGGGGAAGCCGAGCGCGTGCGGGGAGTGGGAAAGGCTAGGCTTTTGTTCTGTTCAGAAGGTCATTTCAGTTTCTGTGTCAGTCCCTTTCTTTAACATTCCTGAGAGTTGACTTTAAAATCTATATGCGGGCGTTAGTCTGGGCAGAAAAACAGTCAAGGAAGCGGAAGCTACTTGCCGTATCACTGTTGTCTCTTGCTTCAGCATCAAACCTCAGCTAACAGGGCCCTTAACAAAGGTTGGGGGTGGGGGGAGTCAAAGTTTCAGCTCTCGTTTACAGAAGGAAATGTAAGGGAAAAGTGAACGGATAATGGGAGTCAGGCTTTTGTTTGGCTGATGATAAGTTGTTGCTGGTTTTCAGGACTTGAGGTTTGAAAAACTTGACATTACTTACATTTAAATGTATTTATTAAGCATCTACTAGATGCAATGCCTGGGTAGAAGAAACTTCCAATTCTTTAACTTATGCCTTCTCAAAAAATCTGAAACACTTCATTTCCATCTATTAGTTTAGAACATTGTAATTACAATTGATTTAAAAATAAGGGCCAAATAAGGTAAAGAAGCCCGTGGATTTTCTTTAAATTTCAGAAATTTGATAAATGTGAAAATATTACAGTTGAGGCATTTTTGTCAGTGCTAGGTCTTTTTTCCCCCTCAGCAGCACAAGGAGAGAAAAAAAATTAAAAGTCTATTCGAATTTGAGAGGAGAAAGGGTATTGTGGATCGGTCCATTTCCAGACTGTGAATTCATGAAGAATTTGGAAAATGATTGCTCAAGAATAATTGTAAAAATGCATAGTTTTCATATTAAATTACATTTGACCTCAGTTGTTTTGGATTTTTTCCACACTAGGCTGTGGGTTCCCTGAAGGCAGGGTCTCTGTCATGTTCCTCTGTGGACCATTAGTTGCCCCTACCCAGTGGAATGAATCGGGCGCTTAATCTGTGGATATTGAATGACTAGATCAGTGAATGAAGGGAAACATGCCACTGATGAGAAATCCTGCCTCAGTAACTTCTACCTGTTGGTGAGGTCAGAGACAATCTGTAGGTCCTGAGGTTGTTTTGTTTTTGTTTTTGTCTTTTTGTAAAGAAGAGCTGCTTTTTATTTTCCCTAAGCCTTGAGATCAGGGGATTGATTCCATGGCAGGGGTTCCCAAATATCGGTCAGAGGCCCAGTGACACCTTGCTGAAATTTTCTCTTGTCCCTGACAAAAATGACAAGAGTTAGGACAATGTAATAAGCTTTTTATAAAGGTGAATTTGTTGACTCTACAGGCCTGCCCTTTATTCTGAAACTATGTCCTTTATGCTTTTTTGGTGGTAAAATGTGTTCTATGACAGAAGAGGGTGATAATCAGTGTTGCATGCATGTGCACAAGCACAGGCACTCACCTTCCTACCAGAGCAAAATGAAAAGCAGTGATCCTCCCCTAATCCTCTTATTACAGACAGACAGTGTGCATTCGGCAGTCTAGACCACCTGATGGAGGGGCGGGGCTAGGCTTTGAGGTCCAGGGATATCTCTTGATTTGCTGGTAGAGGACTGGGGATGTTAATGATAAGAAACTGTATCAACATCAGAGTTCCAGTATAACTTTCTGCAGTGCCCCAGTGTAAAGGAGAAATTTAATTTTTAAAATAAATGCATCAAGACTTTTGTCATACATATGATTTTTTTAAATTGAAAGCGTGTTGATATTTCTGCCAAGTGCTTCAACTTGCACTATTTTTTATAATCACAAGAGATGTTACTGTACTGGCATTTGTTTTTAAAAAGCTGTCGATATTCAACCAGCATGCCTTGGACTTTACTGTGGGAAGACCCTGTTATTTAAAAATGGCTCAACGGAAATATATGGAGAATGTGGGGTAAGTCTTCATGTTTGTATGCTACTTCATTTGTAAACTCTTCGCTTTTGAAATATTTTCACACATAGAATATCTTTTTTCTTCAGTCTATTCATTATTTCATAAAAGAATATGTAGGCATTAATAAAATATTTGTGTCTTTGTATTGATTGATCGATGGATACTACATCCTTTTTGACAGTCACAGTTATTGTGTTTTTTAAAACATTTTATAATTTTGTAGTAATTTTTAATTTTTATTAATGATATAGTACAGTGACTTGAACATCCAAGTAAATTAACTTTACAGTTCCAGAATACTTGTTTGCAATTATTTTTACACACTATTAATAACTAGGTTTTCCATTTACTATTAGTAAGCTAATTTAGTAACTTAGTGAAAGAACTCCTTTAAGAGCATTACACAGATATAGGCAAATACACTGTAGATTTCTTTTTATTTTACTTATGCTTTCTCTTTGTTTATTTCTAAAAAATGCACATAGAAACAGATGTTTAAATAGAAATAGAATATCTTATTTTGGGGATGTTGATGTTCTCAAGCAAGCAATAGCTGTACACACTGTTTTTATACATTGTAGGTGTGTCCAAGAGGACAGAGAACAAATGCACAGAAGTACTGTCAGCCGTGCACAGAGTCCCCAGAACTTTACGATTGGCTCTATCTTGGATTCATGGCTATGCTTCCTCTGGTTTTACATTGGTTCTTCATTGAATGGTACTCAGGGAAAAAGAGGTTAGCACTTTCTGTGAATGTATCTGGATGGACTGATGTTGGAATAATTATCACTTAGAAGACCTTATCAAGTAATTATACTACCTTTCTTGTTTTAGTTATTTTTTATTTATTTATTTACTTTGTTTTAGAGAGAGGGGAAGTGAGGGAAAAAGAGAGGGAGGGAAACATCCATGTGTGAAAGATACATAGGTCGGTTGCCTATCTCACACATTCAGCTGGGAGCCTGGCCCCCAGCCCAGCATGTGCCACTGGGAATCAAACCAGCGACCTTTCAGTTTTTAGGCTGGCACTCACCCTACTGAGCCACACCAGCCAGGGCTGTTGTTTTAAAAGTGGTAAACCTGTTTTTGCTTTATTTTCTGATTACTTTTGATTGTGGCAAGAAAACTTAATGATAGGGCATGCCTCAGTAATTATTAAGGGAAGTATCTGTTGTCTGTTTTACTTTAAATGAGCTTGAAGAAATTTTTTAAAAAGTATTTGACATTTTTTAAAATAGATTTTTTAAAATCCTAAATTATCATATTTATAGCCCTGGCTAAGTAGCTCACTTGGTTGAGGTGTCATCCCAAGTACCAAAAGAATGCAGGTTCGATTCTCGGTCAGGGCACTCACCTAGGTTGTGTTTCAGGCCCATCGGGGTGCCTGCGGGCGGGGACTGCTCAGGGTTCCTCTCGCACACCGGTGTTTCTCTCTCTCTCTCAAACCAGTAACCATATACCAGGGTGTGGGTTAAAAAATTTATAATCTTTATTGGTTTTTTACAAAGAATGGCTTTTGTTTACAAACTTGATTGTTCTAGAGCAAATACTTTGGAATTGAATTTGCTACTAGTAATCTTCTGTAATGTAGTTAAAATGATACAGCTGCAACCTAATTATGAAAACTCACACTAACACATTAACTCCATAAACATTTATGAAGCACTGTGTTTTGCGTTGAGAAGATCAAAGGAGGTGGTACACAAATAACTGACATGGTTTATAGCCGTAATCATGTAGCAAAGACAAATGTATACAAACGAAATGTAATATAAATCAATCTTAAAAGTATATAAACAAAAAGTGTATGGAAGCATTGTAAACAAAATGCTCTGGAATCACAAAGAGTGGAAGAGATAAATTGTGCCCACTAGGATCTGAAAGACATGAGGAAAAAACGTTTTAGGCAGAGCAAACAGCTTGAACAGTGTGGCACAGAGGTACGAACCATGTGCCCTGTTACGGTGGGAATGGAAGGAATCCCTGTGGTCGAAGTGTGGACTGTGTGTGAAAAAGAGGTAGCGAAAAGGAGAGTGGGAAGGGTAGACTGAGGCCAGAATGTGAGGTTTTCTTTTTATTTTTTAATTGTACCCTTTATTTTTTTAACCTTATTCTATTACAGTTGTCTCAATTTTTCCCCCTTTGCCCTCCTTGCCCATCCCTCCCCGAGCCCCCCGCCCCCACAGTCAATCCCCACACCATTGTCCATGTCCATGGGTCATTCACACATGTTCTTTGACTAGTTCCTTCCCCTTCTTTCCACCATTATTCTCCTCTTTCCTCTCCTCTGGTCACTCTGTCTGTTCCATGTTTGTATATCTCTGGTTCTGTTTTGCTCATTAGTTTATTTTGTTCATTAGATTTCTCTTATAAGTGAGATCATATGGTATTTGTCTTTCACCAGCTGGCTAATGTCACTTAGCATAATATTCTCCAGTTCCATCCATGCTCTTACAAAAGGTAGAAGTTCCTTCTTTCTTTTGCTTCATAGTATTCCATTGTGCAGATGAACCACAGTTGTTTGATCCACTATCTACTGATGGACACTTAAGTTGTGAAGTTTCTTGATGAGGATGGGAACTTTATTCTGTTGGGAATGAGGAATCAAATTCTGCCCTAGTATATTTTAGCCACACTGGTGTTTAGTTCCTCCGACTTCTCAGCATCTTTCCTGCTTTAGGTCCTTTTCCTTTCCCTAGGCTCTTTTTTCTGACTGGAATACTTTCTTGTCCCTCTCACTGCAACTTTTTACCTCTCTGCCTTTTTTCCTTCAGGTTTCAGTTTAAGTTACACGTTGGAGAGGTCTTCGCAAGCCAAGCTAAAGTAGATCTGTGCTCTTATGTTTCTTTTTTAATAGCACTCTTCATTTTGTTGTTTCTGTTTTGTGTTTAGCACTCAACACAATTTATAGTTAGTTATGTTTCTTTTTCTCAATTAATGTTCTGCCCACCCCTGACTCGAAGCTGCAAGAGGGCAGTGGCCATCCCTGTTGTTCTCCACGGAATCTCCGAGACCAGCTTACAACCGCTGGCATGTTGGAGATGCTCGCTTAGTATTTACCGAGTGAATGGTTTATTGGCGAAGGTTTACTTGAGGAAGATACCCTCTGTGGAGGGTGGATGAGAAATCAGAGGGCTGTCTGAGAAACACTGATGGCCAGATTCCGGTCCCGGGAATGGAAATGGAAGGGATGGTCAGATGAATTAGGATCAGCACTTCTCTGCATTCTGCTTAATAAAGCCACAGTGATTATCTATGTTGAAAGAAACTTTTTTCCCCCCAGAAGAATCTGTAAATTGATTTTTAAAAAGCAGCTCTTATTCTTTTAATTTTTGTTATGAGTAATGAAAGATTATGATGAGAAAGGTGTGAATATGTTAAAGCCAATATAGAATAAATGCTCAGTTAATTATTGGGACTTCTCAGGTCAAAGTAGAGAAGAGGTGGTGGAGGAAAGGGGGTACCTTCCAAATGCATTACAACTAAAACATCAAGTATGTTTTGAGGGATAATTTGGAGCAGATAGAGCTTTCTTTTCTTCCCTTCCCCTTCCTCTTATTGATTCCAGAGAGAGGGGAAGAGAAGGAGAGAGGCAGAGCAACATCAGTTGACTGCCTCTTGCACACACCCTAAGTGAGGACCAAACCCGCAGCTGAGGCTTGTGCCCTGACCAGATTCATACCCAAAACCTTTTGGTTTGTGGGGTGACACCCAAGCAACTGAACCACGTTGGTCAGGGTGAGGGTAAAGCTTTGTTTCGTAGGTAGAACAGAGGAGTGGTCAGCGCTTAGGCAGGAACAGTGGACTTAAAAAGGAGTTGCGTCACTGTGCTTACCCTACCTAGTAAGTTGGTAACAAGGAACACAGAGGCCTTCTTTTTCATTTTCCTGAGACGTTGGACTTCTAATATAGGAAGCAGGGGCCTGGCTATCTGAGGCTAACTAGTGTTTCTCAACCCCTTTGTCACTGTCACCTCTTTAATTCCATAATTCCACCTACCCCCATGAAATTTATGTTTATCTGTTTATGTAGTGTATGTACATAAGTCCTTTATTATGAAAAGTGGAAGAGTATTTTATCCTCAGGAGTTAACAGTGAAAATTTCTTTTAGAAACCATTTCTTGAGTCCTGGCTGGTGTGGCTTAGTGGATTGAGTGCCAGCCTGTGAACCAAAGGGTCAGTGGTTGGATTCCCAGTCAGGGCACATGCCTGGGTTGTGGGCCAGGTCCCTAGTAGGGGGCGCACAAGAGGCAACCACACATTGATGATTCTCTTCCTCTCCTCCTTCCCTTCCTCTCTCTCTAAAAAAATAAATCAAGTCTTAAAAAAAAAGAAACCATGTTTTGAATCATATCCAGGTTTTATAAAAAACTATTTGGCACTAACACTTTTTTGGTAATTGTGCTTCTTTTTTCTGTTAGCTCCAGTGCACTTTTCCAACACATCACTGCATTATTTGAATGCAGTGTGGCAGCTATTATCACCTTGCTTGTGAGTGATCCAGTCGGTGTTCTTTATATCCGTTCATGTCGAGTATTGATGCTTTCTGATTGGTACACAATGCTTTACAACCCAAGTCCAGATTACGTGACCACAGTGCACTGTACTCACGAAGCTGTCTACCCACTGTAAGTATGTATTTAGACTAAGGATCTTTTTTTAAAAAATGATAATTACTGATTTCATTTATTTCAACAGGTTGAGCATTGTAAAATGGTATCTAGGCACAGGAGGAAATACACAGAAATGATTTTCTTAAGGAACATCATCTGATAGGAGAAAATAGAAATACATCGTAGTATAATAGAAGTGAAAGTATTTTTGTATTGGTGTTGAAGTATGTGTAGACACTTACAAATTAAACCATACATGTTTCTTAAAAAGGGATTTGTAAGGAAAACCTTTCTGATATGCAGCAGAGAAGTAATATCTAACACGCAGGAAGGAGTATGGGCTTTGGAGTGAAAAACAGGCCTGAGTTTGAATCCCGGGTCTCCCAGTAGTTGTGTTAGCTGGAGCCTGTTCAGAGCCTCTTGTAGCTCAGTTTCCCCATTTGTACAACGGGAATGATGATCCTTTACGAGGTGGGGATGAGGGTTAAATAAATCCGTACACGTCAGATGCAGTGCAGCGCCTTACATGTAGGAAGCACCGAGTAGTGGCTGATATTGTTAGAATGTTTGGGCTAGTGTTCTTTTTTTTGTTTGTTTGTTTTTTCCCAAATGCCATTTCAAATGTTTTATTTTAGAAGTATCAAATTCATAGTATTCTGTATAATACCATCCCAGACTACTTCATTTTTAGAATTTTTGTAAGTTGCTGGTGTTCATTTGATGTGTTTTTGGGAAAGTTCTTAATAGTACTAAGTGCCAAAACACACATATACATATGTAAAAAGATAGTTTTCAAAAAATGAGATCCAGGTATAAATATGTCAAAATCTTTTATACCTGCCCAACTTTAGCCCTACAAATTATTTATTCCACGTATATATTCTCTCTCTCTCCATCTATATGGCTAAAATACACACATACACATACACACACACGTATATGAAGGACTGATAAAGCCCCTTGTTGATTTTTATAGAACTGTACCCTCAGCTTCAATGAATGAAGTAATAGCTACATAGTATTCCAGCATGAATGTACTATAAAATTTAACCAGTTTTCTGTTGTTGAATGTTTATTTTTTTCCTGAGTTTTCTTTATTACGTGATCCAAAAAAACCTTATTCATGAAGTTTTTTTTGTGTATCCTGGAACATTTCCCTTTGATAAATTTCTACAAGTAAAGTTGCTGGACGAAAGGATATAAACATTTTAGGATTTGGGATGCACATCTCCAGACTGCGTCCTGGAGAGGGACCAGCATGCACTTCTCACTAACGTATGAGAGTCCTCTTGGCTGGCCTTCCGCAAATATGAATATTCAACGGGTAGAATTAATATGTTTTTTAACCTTTTTTTCTTTTTAAAAAATATATTTTATTGATTATGCTATTACAGTTGTCCCATTTTCCTCCCTTCACTCCCCTCCACCCTACACACCCCCTCCCACCCATATTCCCCCCCTTAAGTTCATGTCCATGTGTCATAAGTTCTTTAGGTTCTACATTTCCCATACTATTCTTGCCCTCCCCCTGTCTATTTTCTACCTACCATCTATGCTACTTATTCTCTGTACCCCCTCCCACTCCCCTGTTGCTAACCCTCCATGTGATCTCCATTTCTGTGGGTCTGTTCCTGTTCTAGTTGATTGCTTAGTTTGCTTTTGTTTTTGTTTTAGGTGTGGTTGTTAATAACTGTGAGTTTGCTGTCATTTTACTATACATGTTTTTTTATCTTCTTTTTCTTAGATAAGTCTCTTTAACATTTCATATAATAAGGGCTAGGTGATGATGAACTCCTTTAACTTGACCTTTTCTGAGAAGCACTTTATCTGCCCTTCCATTCTAAATGAAAGCTTTGCTGGATAGAGCAATCTGGGATGTAGGTCCTTGCCTTTCATGACTTGGAATACTTCTTTTCAGCCCCTTCTTGCCTATAAAGTCTCTTTTGAGAAATCAGCTGACAGTTCCCATAAGGGAACTCCTTTGTAGGTAACTGTCTCCTTTTCTCTTGCTGCTTCTCAGATGTTCTCCTTACCTTTAATCTCTGCTAATGTAATTATGATGTGCCTTGGTGTGTGCTTCCTTGGGTCCACCTTCTTTGGGACCCTCTGAGCTTCCTGGACTTCCTGGAAGTCTATTTCCTTTGCCAGATTGGAGAAGTTCTCCTTCACTATTTGTTCAAATAAGTTTTCAATGTGTTGCTCTTCCTCTTCTCTTTCTGGTGCCCCTATAATTAGGATGTTGGAATGCTTAAAGATGTCCTGGAGGTTCCTAAGCCTCTTCTCATTTTTTTGAATTCTTATTTCTTCATTCTTTTCTGGTTGGATGTTTCTTTCTTCCTTCTGGTCCACACCGTTGATTTGAGTCCCAGTTTCCTTCCCATCACTATTGGTTCCCTGTACATTTTCTGTTATTTCACTTATCATAGCCTTCATTTATTCATTTAATTTGCGACCAAATTCAACCATTTCTGTGAGCATCCTGATCACCAGTGCTTAGAACTGTGTATCTGATAGGTTGGCTACCTCTTCATCGCTTAGTTGTATTTGTTCTGGTGCTTCGATCTGTTCTTTCGTTTTGGCCATTTTTTTTGTCCTGATGTGCCTGTTACGTATGAGGGGCAGAGCCTTAGGTGTTCACTAGGGCAGGGCAACAAGGTCGCAGTGTTGTGATGCTGTATGTGGGGGCAGGGTCCAGGAGGGAACACTGGCACTTGCTCAGCTCTCTGCCTGATTTCAGTCACTTCCCCCACTTCCCATAAGCAAAGTGAGCCCATCTGGTGCTGATTCCTGGTAGGTGGGCTTGTGAACATTCTAGGATCCCGTAGGTCTCTCCAAGGAACTCTCCTGTGAGGCTGGGAGTTTCTTCCACTGCTGCCTCAACCCCCACAGGTGTTTTTAATCAGAGGTTTGAGGCTTTATTTCCCCGCACCGGAGCCCTGGGTTGCTCAGTCTGTCTTGCTCCCTGTTGTTCCTCCCGGTTTATCTGCACATGAATGTGGGACCACCCCGTCTGCCACTGAACCTCACCAGGTCTGCCAGCCGCCACCTTTCAATGGGTCCTCTCTACCCTGGCTGCCTGTCTCCGCCCCTGCTACGGGTCTGGATGGATGTTTCTTCTTTAATTCCTTGGTTGTCAGACTTCCGTTCAGTTCGGTTTTCTGTCAGCTCTGGTTTTTTCTTTTTAAATTGTTGTTGTCCTTATTTTGCTTGTGCGAGGAGGCAGTGTGTCTATCTACACCTGCATCTTGGCCTGAAATCTACTTTTTTAACCTTTTATAGGATCAGTCATAAACTATTTCAGAACATATTTTTGATAATATAATTTCTTATTTTACAGCTATACCATTGTATTTATCTATTATGCCTTCTGCTTGGTATTGATGATGCTGCTCCGACCTCTGCTGGTAAAGAAGATTGCCTGTGGGCTAGGGAAGTCTGATCGATTTAAAAGTATTTATGCCGCACTTTACTTCTTCCCAATTTTGACCGTGCTCCAGGCAGTCGGTGGAGGCCTGTTATGTAAGTTTGCTGGGAAAATAGCTCGTGTAGTTACTATACGTGACGAACAATATTTTCACTGAGTATAATTTTTGCACTTTTCTTTAATGTAGAATTTCTTTATATTCTTGAAAATTAACCATAGTATATATTTTTGCTGAAATATAATAAGCCTTATTTTGAAAAATGATGGGTTTTTTGGAATTAAATAGAAATTCTCAAGAAATCAGTGGCAGCTAATCAGAACTGATGTCTGTTTACACAGTGCTTTGTATTTGAAGCTTATAACCTTAACAGGAATATTTTGAAGACCTAAGTATACATTAAAAAACAAAAACTGGTGTTGGCAAATAATATATGGAAGTTACTCTTGGTAATGTATCCTATTTATCATTGTTAGGTCTTAGATTTCTAAGTTTCTTTATGGAAGCCTTTTTAATACAGTAAAAGAAGCTTCAGTATATTTATTTTATTTTATTATTATTATCTTTTATCCTCACTCGAGGACATGCTTATTGGTTTTCCAGAGAGTGGAAAGGAGGGAGAGAGTGAGGCAGAGAAACATCAATCAGTTGCCTCTTGTAGGCACCCTCCCCCAGGGACCAAGCCCGCAACCAAGGCACGTGCCCTAACCAGGGCTCGAACCTGTGATCCTTTGGTTTATTAGACAGTGCTCCAACCAACTGAGCCAAACCAGTCAGGGTGATTCTTTATTTTAATGTAACTTTTCATGCATGTACCCGGCACCCAGTTAGACTAAACTGTCATGCAAAGGAAGAAAAAAAGTTGGCATTAAAGGGCTCACATACTACTACGAAAGCTGCAGTAGCTGAGAGGACGCAGTCTGACACTGACCGTTGTTGCAGGGATGTTAGGTACCATCTTTGATGTGGGGCCTACCAGGGTAGAGGGCAAACCTGGCCTAAAGGAACTAGGCAAGACTTGGCATCCATAAGCAAGTCATGTAGCTTGGTAATGAATTTGGTTCAAGATTAGGGTGGTGCTTCGAGGGTAAGGCCAAGGGAAATTGCAGAGTAGTCAGGGCTGTGTTGCCTCATATTCTGGTTTACAGATGTATCATTTTCAGCTGGACTGCATGGTATTTGAAAATCTGTGGTTCCTTCTAGCTCCTGTCATTCTCTGCTTCTTTAGATTTGGCCCAAACTTCAGCTATGAACCTGCCTGGCTGGCCTCTGTAGGCTTCTGAGGTTGCTATTCTTGCTCTAGAGAATAGAGACCTACTCTACAAAGGATTTTAGACAGAAGAGAGACATGACTAGGTTTGCATTCTACAGAGAAAACTGGGGGGCAGCATGGAAGATGGATGGCAGGGAAGCAGAACCTGGGGGATCAGTGGAGAGATTATGAGCCAAGTCTGCCTGACCTAAAGCAGAAAGACACTAGGAGTGAAAATCTCCTTTGAAGGTAGAGCTAACTGAACTAGGTGACACTGCATGCAAGGGTTGAGGGAATGGGAGGAGAACATGATAAAGTAGCTTTCTGACTTGGTAACTGGTGAATGGAAAAACGGAATATAAGAAGCAAAGAGGTTGGCGAGAAGTGAAGTCAGTTTTGGCTGTGCAAGGAGTGGGCAACGGATTACAGGTTATTTACACCTGTCTGGTGCCAGGGCTGGGATGACTTAAGAATTGTCAGCTTTCAGATCCCTGTGTCCTCGGCATGGGTCTGTCACGGGACTGGCTGAAAGATTTTCCAGTTATGGGGACAACTGTACTGTTTGAATTTTTGTTTATCCAGAAAATGTGCTTAATTTTCAACAGAATGTGAATGTTTGTTTTCCAGATTATGCCTTCCCGTACATTATACTAGTGTTGTCTTTGGTCACTCTTGCTGTGTACATGTCGGCCTCCGAAATAGAGGTAGGAAAAGCTTTTTCCTCTGTTAGAGGTTTTTTCACAGATTTCACAATTGAACAGGAGAATAATACATATGACAGCACAACGGATTGTCTCAGTGATCCTTGGCTACTTGACACTAAGTAGCTTTTAGCTCATTGGCTATGTTTATGAAAGGTTGTCTGCCTGGGAATTAGTGAAGTAGTCAGCCTCAGCTATCTAGCATGTTGGAGAAAAATATCCTTTCAGTTATTTGTCCATAGAACATACTTCATTATGAAATGTTGAAACTTACTAACATCATTTTGAGGGACACATAAGAGTGCTTTATTGCATACAGCACTAATTTTATACTATTTATCGTGGCAGCACTGCCATCAGTAATTATATTATGCATTCTCCACCCTTCTGTGTTGTGTCCCCAATTTTATTTTTTTTATTTTGGGTGTTTATGTTTGTCCTCTAATATCTATAATATTTTAGTGATTTGGAAGTAACATTAGTTCTGATACTGTTTCTGGTTTGAGATATCCATTTTGTGCCTCTAACTTATTATTATTTCAGTGGACGGTCAGTGTTAGAAGGCCCTTTATTTTGAGGCTAAATTCTAAAGGAATAGAAGTGTCAAATACCTTAGTACTAACTGTTCCACCTCGTACTCGATGAGCTGCTGTTTATGCACTGTCTTTAACTGCCCACTGCACTGGGCAAGAGAACATTCTTTCTCATAATTCTTAACTTAAAAGGGCTCGACCCAGAGAAAGTAAGTTGTAAACTATTTTGGAATGATTGCTGTTGATGCTTCTCTTTCTGTTACACCAGTGAGAAAGGGAGTGGGAATGACTTTTAGACAGAAAAATACTGTAGAGGAGCTAGACAGAGTATTTTGATGGTGATTTTTCACATGCTCTCATATGTACGCTGACCTCATTTCTCCTGTGATCTTTAATCAGTAATGCAGTATATATAAGTAGATAAGCAAATTAGTTTTGGCACTTTTTTCAACTCTAGAGAAATATTTGAGGGGGAAATGATTATTTGAATAAAATGCAGCTTTTGCATTTTTGTTTGTTATCCATAGCTACTGTGGGCAGTAGTTATGTTAGCTTGAAATCTGTTTGTCTCTCTGCCCCTGGGAATCTCTCCTGTGTAAAATGTCTATGTACTTCAATGAGCACTCTACTCATAAATCAGAAGTAGAGACCTGCAGTAGGAAAAGAAAGTCTAGCTGTAGCTGAGTAGATGAGCCCTTTAGTAAAAGGAAGTCATGTAATATTGCAAATTATACTTCAGAATGTTTATTAGCGCATGCAGCTATTACTTTTGTGATAATTTGGTCCTTTTAGCACATTATAGAGCTACATTCGAGGTTAAAAGGAAATCAGAGTAGTCACATGTCATTTCTGCTGCCTTCTAATTATGCAGGAATGCTGGAGGGGAAGAAACTGGGTGTTCGCACCTCCTGTCTCTCAGCGGCAGTGGATCAGGGCAGGCAGAAGGCACATCATGGGGGGGAGTTCCCCTTCTGGTTCATTCTTTCTGAAGAAGCCATAGAATTCCAGCGCCCAGTGGTGCTGTACACCAGCGCTTAGAGACATTGCTGGTGCTGCCTCTGCCTGCCCCTGGGACCGCTGGAAGCCTCCTCTCCTCCGCTGTGCAGTGTAGGGGCTGGTGTGAGTGCTCTCATAGGTCCCTTTTAGCTCCACTGGTCAGCGATTCTGAGATTATGATTTTTAAATACATTTAATTAAAATATAATAAATGATCTAGCTGATTCAGTCTGATAACGTTTCTCTTTTCTTTCTTTTGTAAAATTACATAGAACTGCTATGATCTCCTGGTCAGGAAGAAAAGACTCATCGTTCTCTTCAGCCACTGGCTACTTCATGCTTATGGAATAATTTCCATTTCCAGAGTGGACAAACTCGAACAGGATTTACCCCTTTTGGCTTTGGTGCCCACGCCAGCCCTTTTTTACTTGTTCACTGCAAAATTTACTGAACCTTCACGGATACTCTCAGAAGGAGCCAATGGACACTGAATATAAAATGCCAAAAAAAACCTAAGAAGTATTCTTAATAAAAAAGTAAAGAAATAAAAAATATGTATTAGTATTCTTCTGCGATACATGGAAATAAGACTGTCAGTATATCTTAATGTTTTTGGTTTTTTGGTTTGGTTTTGCTTTTGACTTGAGACTTGATGGTTAGACCCGGAAAACAGACTGCACTGTCCCACAGTGGAACACACCAGACACTCACAACACACCGTTCCGTGGCACTGGGAGCCTCAGGAAGCACTTGACTCGCAAAGGTTTAAGTTACTGTTCAAAGTAAAATCATGTTCCGTGTACCTGCCAGTATGCTGCTTCTGTTTTTAAGGAAAACTTCAAGTGTAATCTGAAACCCTTAGCTTCGCCCCAGTTGTGCATGCCCATTGTGTTTCAGCCGGTTTCCCAAATGTAGTGAATTACAAAGACACACACCTGAGGGGTCTGGTAGCGAACATGGAAATAAAGTATGTCGATCTTACCTATTTATTTTGACCAACACAGTATTTTGATCTAGTACAAAAATAGACCACAATTTATATAACAGGTTTTCTGTTTATGGGTAGTTTGCTTGAAGTTATCTTCGGGTTATTCCTGTTTATGTAAAGAAAAACAGTCATGAAAAACTTAACTACAGAAAGCCTCAAATGTTTTGCATTTGTATTTGCCACAATAATCATGGAAATTCAGAATGTTAGGTAGTGAGATGAATGTCTTTTTCCCAAATGAATAAACACGTGTACTCACATACTCCTTCTTACAACTCATTTTTTTTTTTGCGGAACATCATTACTTTTAAAAAATTATTGTTCAGTTCTAGTTGTCCCCACTTTTCGCCCATTACTCTCACCTACCCACCCCCACCCCGCCCCGCCCTGTGGCCTGTGTCCACGGGTCCTTTACACAGGTTCTTTGACTTGACCCTTCTTCCCCTTCTTCACCCCATTGCCCTTCTCAACCCATCCTCCTCCCTTCTGGTCACCCGTATTTATTTCCATGTGTCTGGTCTATTTTGCTTGCTTGTTTTGTTGATTAGGCCCCACCTATAGATGAGACGGCTCATTTTTTAAGGATGCACACGCATGCCATATTTTTGGATTCTGAAGCACTGTTTTTTCCCTACATTGTGATATCTCTGAATCTTAACAATTGATGGCTTCTTAGATTTAACAAAGTACAGAAAATATACCGGGTATAAACTGTTCTCCTGAGGTGGTTATTGATGGGTATGCTGCTTGTCAATTTTTATAATTGTAACCATGGAAGCAAAAATAAGATTTTTAGTGCTTAACCTGATAGTTTGACCATGTTTATTCTTTTGTATTGTTTGGGAGGTTATTTACCGATTCTGCTATTGGTGGGGGTTACACAAGTTTGTTAAATTTCAAACTTTAAGACTTCTATTGACAGTTGCAAATTGTGAAAAAAGTACACTCACTTTTTCTGTAGTTTATGCCTTTTGAATTCACAGCAGTTGTATCCTTGAAATTATTTTGTTAATGTTTTTTGCAGTACTCCAGCAAACGGGAAACAGGCTTTTTTGATACGTCTTTCTTTCTTCTTTTCTGTAGGAATAAAAATAAAATGTAAAACTCCCATATGTATCTCGGACAGGTTTGGGTGGTTATCAGTGTCCATTAAAATTCCAAGTCGCCCAAAGGATCCCAGAATTGGGTGTTGTACAGTTGGAAAGGGGAGGCCTGGTGGGTTATGTATCTGATCCCTGGGACTATTTTTGCCCCACTGCATTTGGGGTCACTTTAAGTCGTGTCCTGTTCTACGAGAAAAATGTGTATGCAGAAGGAGAAATATAAGTAATCATGATTACAAGTCCTCGAATGCAAAGAACTTCAGGAATACTTAATATATATCTTTTTAATTTGCATTTTTAAGAACATGATGAATAATTAAAATATAGTTATTAAAATATTCAAAAATTACCCTTGCCCTAGCTCAACTTAGTTTTGGCTTAGGTCCTTGTATATTACAATCCTCACTACAGTAATTACTTCCTTAACCAGTGCTGGCTAGGTAATTTAAAAGTTGAAATATTTTCTTGATTAATTTGGGCCAATTGACCAATTTAAGTTACAGTGTTACATTTTTGTCTAAAACCATTAGTTTGCAAGACTTGACAGTACATTGGAGCAGCTGGAGAGATTTCCAGAACCCGGCCTGGGTCCCCCCCAGCAGCTCCCGTGGCGCTCTGTGTGGGCCCAGCCCGGGGGTTTCTAAAACCTCCCGGCGACTCTGATATTTGGGAACCATTGTCCAAACGCTCCTCCTAGTTAAAAATCTTAATTTTCCCAAGAGACCTTTTCACAATTTCTGGGAAAGTCATTTTTTAAATTACTTCTTACTGAAATTTTGATTCTGCTGGATTATAACTGTTCTTTTCCAGGAATAAATGGTCAAAATACAGATAATTGTGTATCTTTTTTCCATTACAATAACAACTTTAACAGACACTTACATGAATTATTTAATATTTCTTTTGAAATATCTCTTGGCCTGAAAAGTGTCTGTAGAGCAGATAGCAAGATAGCAGATAGTATTTGGTTAATACACAAATTGTTTATCTGCAACCTTAATTGTAGTACATGTATATACTGTATAGTATATAATTCAAGGGCTTTTGGAATTTTAAAAGAAAATAATATTACTTCCAGCCAACATGGAGGCGTAAGTAGACACACTGTTCCTTCTTGCACAACCAAAATAAGGACAACAATTTAGAAACAAAAAACAAGTACCGACAGAAAATTGAACTGTATGGAAGTCTGACAACCAAGGAGTTAAAAAAGTAGACCCATTCATCCAGAGTGGCAGCTGGTGGACCCAGTGAGGTGGGGGATTGTGGAGGGGCGCAGCATACAAGATGGCAAACCTGGCAGTTCCACATTCGCATGCAGATAAAACCCGGCGATACTGGGGAGCGAGGTAGACTGCGCAGCCCAGGACCCCAGAAAGTCATAAAACACTGATTGAGAACATCTGTGGGGGTTGAGGTGCCGGGAGAAACTCCCAGCCTCACAGGAGAGTTCCTTGGAAAGGCCCACAGGGTCCTAGAATGTGCACAAGCCCACCCACACGGGAATTAGCACCAGAAGGGCCCACTTCTTGTGGGTAGAGGGGAAAGTGACTGAAAGCCAGCTGAGATCTGAGCAAGCGCCATTGTTTCCTCTCAGACCCCTCCCCTGCCTACAGCATCACAACCCAGTGACATGGGTTGCCCCACCCTGGTGAACACCTAAGACTCTGCCCCTTAGTACATCACAGGTGTGCCAAGACAAAAAAATATGGCCAAAATGAAAGAACAGATCGAAGCACCAGAACAAATACAACTAAGCGATGAAGAGGCAGCCGACCTATCAGATACACAGTTCGAAGCACTGGTAATCAGGATGCTCACAGAAATGGTTGAATTTGGTCACAAATTAGATGAATAAATGAAGGCTATGATAAGTGAAATAACAGAAAATGTACAGGGAACCAATAGTGATGGGAAGGAAACTGGGACTCAAATCAACGGTGTGGACCAGAAGGAAGAAAGAAACATCCAACCAGAAAAGAATGAAGAAATAAGAATTCAAAAAAAATGAGAAGAGGCTTAGGAACCTCCAGGACATCTTTAAGCATTCCAACATCCTAATTATAGGGGCACCAGAAAGAGAAGAGGAAGAGCAACACATTGAAAACTTATTTGAACAAATAGTGAAGGAGAACTCCCCCAATCTGGCAAAGGAAATAGACTTCCAGGAAGTCCAGGAAGCTCAGAGGGTCCCAAAGAAGGTGGACCCAAGGAAGCACACACCAAGGCACATCATAATTACATTAGCAGAGATTAAAGGTAAGGAGAGCATCTAAGAAGCAGCAAGAGAAAAGGAGACAGTTACCTACAAAGGAGTTCCCTTATGGGAACTGTCAGCTGATTTCTCAAAAGAGACTTTATAGGCAAGAAGGGGCTGAAAAGAAGTATTCCAAGTCATGAAAGGCAAGGACCTACATCCCAGATTGCTCTATCCAGCAAAGCTTTCATTTAGAATGGAAGGGCAGATAAAGTGCTTCTCAGATAAGGTCAAGTTAAAGGAGTTCATCATCACCTAGCCCTTATTATATGAAATGTTAAAGAGACTTAACTAAGAAAAGGAAGATAAAAAACATGAATAGTAAAATGACAGCAAACTCACAGTTATTAACAACCACACCTAAAACAAAAACAAAAGCAAACTAAGCAAACAACTAGAACAGGAACAGACCCACAGAAATGGAGATCACATGGAGGGTTAGCAACAGGGGAATGGGAGGAGGAGAGAGGGGAAAAGGTACAGAGAATAAGTAGCATAAATGGTAGGTTGAAAATAGACAGGAGGAGGGTAAGAATAGTATAGGAAATGTAGAAGCCAAAGAACTTATAAGTATGACACATGGACATGAACTTAAGGGGGGGAATATGGGTGGGAGGGGGTGTGTGGGGTGGAGGGGAGTGAAGGGAGGAAAATGGGACAACTGTAATAGCAAAATCAATAAACTATATTTAAAAAAAACAAAAAGAAAGAAAATTCTTTAATATTTTCAAAAAATCTGTGCTCAACTACTATTTCATTTAGGTATACACTAAGAATTAACTTGTTTACCTTTGTTTATGAGAAAGAATATTAAGGCAAAAAGGGAGGATCGTAGTTTCAGAATGAAGGCTGTCACTCATGTTCTGACAAGCTAATCCCCGACTCCTGCCACTTGGTGCCCCCAGCAGATTGCCACTCAGCCAAGCTGTTGCAGTTCTTGGCCGGGTTATGTTGGCTGCTCCTTTGGGAAGATACCCCTTTGTGTTCCCAACACCCAAAAAGACTTAGATGTCCCTCTTCACCCTCTCCTACAGCCACTCATTAGAAGAGGTCCACTGGATTCTAATCACCTCTTGTCTCATTCTCACAGTATGTGCTCTATGAAGTTCAGAGACTGGGTGTCATTCAACTTTAAGGGCAGCATTTGCTCTAGTGTCAGACTCAAAGGTGCTCAATAAGTTAATGAAACCAGTGCAGTGTTTCTGAAGAGGAGGGTTAGGACCTGCAGAGCTGCAGTAACATCACATGTCCAGAAGAGGGCAGGGCAGAGCTGCTGAGCTAAAAAATCAAGGGCTTGTCTTGAAGTCCTGTGAGAAGCCATTCCACTAGAACCTTCAAAGCTAGATTACAGGTAGCTCAGAGATGGCCAAGTAATTCAAGGAGTCAAGGTTGACCTTTATTACCTCAGCAAGGTGATGGATTCCAGGGATCCAATGAGTGCCTAATAAAGGCTTAATGTTGTATTACTGCTGTTATCATTTATATTTTCCAACCAGGGAAACTGAGGAGTGGAGGTTAAATAACATGTAAGCAGCAAAGCTGAGGCTGGATCCCACCTGGGGCCAGTGCTCCAGGAGCAGAAATATGTAGAGTTAGGGGAGCGAAATCTTCCTGCAGATCTCAGAGCCCACCTCCAGTTCTTCAGAGACCTCTCCAGATTCCTCAGCTAGGCCAAGGCTCCCTGCTAGGTTCTCCAGTTCTTAGGCCCCACCTTCAGCACACCTGTGACACTGACACTCTACACACATTTGTGTAACACCTGATTCTCCCAAGTTACTGGGGTGGGCAGATCACACTTGAGGGGCAACTCTGCTATCAGGGCACAATGGAGTAGTTGCTACAGAGACCGCTAAGGGCTGCTAAGGCCAAAAAGACCCTCTGGTGCTCTACAGTGTGCCAGCCTCTGAGCCTGGCTGTGATTTCCATTTGAGCAGGAGCTAGATCTGTCTCCATTTACTATTGTAACCCCACCATCTAATATAATATTTGTCACAGAAAAGACACTCAATAAATACTTGTCATGCAGTTTACAGTTAATAGGGAAACATGGATGGAACCTAAAAATGGGACCCATGAGAGAAAGGCAGATACGCCTGCTAATGGGCCAGATCGCACAGGATTTTCTGCTCCCAGCCAGGCTGCTCCCAGCCCCCGCAGGCCGCCAGCCCCATCTGCGCCCACTGGAAGCCTTCCCTTTTGGTTTCCTGACCAAGCTGCCCCACTCCCCTGCCTGCCTTTGCATCTCTGCCCAGTGCAAGTGGGGATGACTCTGACCGACCGCCTTGCCATCCCACGCCTAGTGCCTCTGCTCGTTCTCATTCCGGTGGCCTCCCTCTTTCCACACTGCAGTTCTCCCTTTTCCACAGGTTATCAAGAAGACAGTCCTCCAAATATGTGAAATAGGGAATATGACAGCAGTTGTTCAGTGACTTCTTCAGACTGCCTTCCTCAGTGGCCTGTTCAGACTCTTCGGTAGAGTCTGTTTAGCTTTGCTCCAACACAGAGATTCTATCAGACTTCAGACAAAAATGGAAGATTCGCTCATGTGATAATAGTGCAGTCGACACTCAGAGATGATGTAGCTCTTAAAATTCTGCCCCATCTGTGGTCGCTGGGGATGGCCAAGCCTTGCAAAGGAAATGCAACGTGAAGCAAGGCACGCCAGGGGCCCATTGCGCACTTACAGGCAGTAAGTGTCGCCAGGCACTGGCAGGAACACCCCAACAGCTGTTTGGCTGACAAGGAGAATACCCACAAAAGCCTTCATTATTCTCCGAAAACATTATTTCTTGTGTCAGCAATACCCTCAGATCATTGTTCTTTTTAACCAAATATTGATGAGTTTTTAATTCTATTGCTTTTTCTCATTTTACTTTTATTATTTCCTTTGACTTTCTCCAACCCATCTAATGGCGATGCTCTGTATGTCTTAGAAGTTAAACCTTAATAACCTCTAATGAGCCCATACGCTAGCTGAATGACATTTTTTCATTGCATGACTCCTGTCCCCCACACTCTATTTTCCAGCCTTCTCCCCAGCCTTCTCTACCTCCACCGTCCCACGTGATGGAGGGGTTCCACCCCTGGAGCCTCCAGGCTGTACCTGTGCAAGGGCTCACCTCGGTTTCTCCCTGCCCCCTACTCTGGACAGAGCCCTAACAGGACATGAGAGTAGGAATGAGGATGATGTTGCTATTGCTCTGGAGAGACCTGGCTGGGGCGCAGGGGGCAACCGATCCTGTGGTACCGGGTGTATGAACATCTCAGAAGCCCCAGGGGGCAACACTGGATTTTTGGAGAAGGCAATAGTCGCAGTTTTCAATGCTAAACTTAACCCGGGAAGAAAAGGTAAAATGATGCTCAGTATCTCCTATTTATGAAGACAAGGAAATATGTAAAAGAGTTTCAAAAGATCGCTTTGGAAAATATTTTTAAGAAGGGTTTTTAAAAATGAGAGAGAAGTTGAGATTCAGTCACTTAGCGAAAGCCCTTGAGCGGAGGGGAGACGAGTCCGGCCCTGCAGCAGTGGCGCTTGAGCCCACACGCGGGCGCGGGGGCGCACTTGGGTGTCTGCGGCAGGACGAGGGACGGATTACTGGGGAGATAACTAAGTTCCTCAGGAGGCTCTCTTATTTGCCGGGGTTGGGAGGTTCTTTTTTGATGTCTCCAGCTACAGGAGAAGAACAGGAAGTTCTTTCTTACCCAAAGTTCTTGAGACGCTACTTACCAGGAGGGTCCATAGTGGCCAGATGACGGAGCTCCTCCAGATTCCCTTGTAGCCAGACACTGATGCTCTCGACCTTTTCATCTCTCTCATGTAGTTTGTCTCTTAGATACTTTATTTCTTGCAAGGTCTTGAGACCATCTTGTACAAATCCCTTTAAAGGAAACATTTTTGGGTATGTAAATATAAATTGTAATAAAATAAAAAACATTCTGTGCAGTGAGTGTGTATACACAGCGGATTCATGAATTTCTATGACAGAGCTCAGGAAAATGGATTAGTAAATGAGATTTAATAAATGGCTCACTGAACTCAAAATTATTTCTCAATGATTAACTTTTCACTGAGCTATATTGACATATAGTATTACATGGATTTCAAGTGTACAACGTAATTTGATATTTGTGTATGCTGTGAAATGATTACAATGATAAATCTAGTTAACGTCACAACCACACACAGTCACAGAATTTTTTCCCATGATGAGGACATTTGAGATCTGCTCTCAATAACTTTCAAACACACACAGCACATTATCATGAACTATGGGCATCATGCTGTGCCTTGTGTCCCCATGATTTATGAAGGTCGCGCCATGTGACCCTGTCCCCCACTTCACCTCTCATATCTCCACCCCCACCCATCACCCCAACCACTAGTCTCTGTTTGCATCTGTGAGTGAAGGCGAACCTTTAACTGCTCCCCCTCAGGGCAGTGCAGCCCTGAAGAGGAGATTTAGCACGACTTAAAGTTTGAGAGAAAGGACTTTGGAAATCAGGCTGGATCTGAGTTTTAAATCCTGTGAGTTCACTCACTGGTTGGTTGGTCTTGGGCAAGTTACTTAAACTCTCTGAGTCTCAGCTTCATCTGAAAAGGCATTACTGACATTTCCCTGATCCAGAGTTTTGAGGGTTAAATAAGCATCATATTAAATGGTAAATAATTCGGAAGTGGCAGAGCCAGGACAGAAACTGCAGCAGCCGCCTCTGAAGGGGGCGGCTCGGGCGTGGGAGTGTTGCTTGGCTGCTGAAACTCTGAAGATGGATGGAGAACAGAACTGATGACTTTGTCCTAAAACAACACATTCAAATTCAGCTACCCAAACAAAACAAAGCAAAACAAAAAAGGCATGCCCACTTTAATTGAAGTGGTACAGTGGGAAGACAGTTTCCCAAAGGACTGAGATTTCATAGCGACATTCGGCATAAGCAACACGTTTTAGGATCGGACGGTCGCACTAGCTCTGTGACTCCCCAGTCATCCTGACCTCCGACTTTAGGGATGCCCGTGCACACACACATGCACACACTTGTCAGGTAGGTAAATACTCTTAGAAATATGGTACAGAGATAACCCAGAAAACTCACCTTGACAGTAATCTGGAATTCAGCCCACAAATCCAAATATCGTGCTAAAATAAAGATTTTCAAAATGGTAAGGTTACTGAAACAATTTGAACATTTTAATAAAAGTAATGCTATTTGTTTTTCAAACATTGTTTTTATGTAAAACTTTCTAGTTCCAAAATGACAGAAGAACTAAATTGGACTTGGCCTCCCACTGCAAACAAGCGGAAAATGGGGCAGCCTCAGACACGTGGGTGAGGGGGTCTCCCAGTGATCGCAGGCCCAGCTGCTGAGTGACCCCCGGACATCAAGTGGCCCAGCTGAGGCCCCATGAAGCAGAGCAGGACTGTCTCCATCTGGCCCTGACCAAACTAGCAATTTGTGAGCAAAGCCAATGATTTGTTTGTTATGCTGCAACAGATCCCTGGTTCGAGATGTTGCACGGAAGATGAAATACAAGGCCCGAAGTGCATGAAAAGATGCTCAACAGCGTTACTCATCAGGAAAATGCAAATTAAAGTCACAATGAAATATCATTGCATACCTATTAAAGATGGCTGAAATGTTAACAGTTTTAAGTGTTAAGGGTGGGTGAGGATGTGGAGTGTCCCGTAGCTGGCGGGATGAGAAATTTGTAGAACCACTTTGGCAAACTGTTTGGCAGTTTCTTATAAAGTTAAACATACGTTAATCATATAACCCAGCAATTCCACTTTTTGGTATCTACCCAAAAGAAATAAAAACAAATATTCGCAAAAGCACTTGGAAACAAACAGTAACCCCAGACTGGAAATAACCCAAATGTCCCTGAGCAGGCGAGCAGATAAACACAATACGGCATGTTCATGGGGCAGGACACAGCCACAGAAAGGAGCCAACGAGTATGCGTGCGTCGGGGGATGGTAAGAGGAGTGGGTTGAGTGGAACAAGCCACGTCCGAAAATGCACATGCGCCATCATCCTGGTTACATCCAGTCCTCAGTGGCAGAAAGCAGAGCAGCGGTTTCCGAGGACTGGAGTCAGAGTGGGATACTACTCCGAAGGGGCACTAGGGGCGTTTTTCAGGGATGAAAGGGTTCTCGCTCTTGTTTGTGATGGTAGCGGTTACAGCAGAGTGCACAGTTATCAACACTCATTGAACTTAAGATGGGTGCATTTTCTTGTATGCGAATCAGTAAAATTTGATTTAAAATGGACTTAAACAAAACAAAAACTTTATTTTTTTAAATGTAAAGATCACCCGTGACACATTACTTACTGTGATGAGCTATCAGGTGCCAAGACAGGTCGCTTGAGACGTGCAAGAGGACATCTTCTCCCTGAGCGTACCGCTGTATCTTGTTCTTCAGGTATGCAATGTACTGGAAACCAAAGGCACAGCATTGGTTTAAGCAGTTTAGTTACCGCAGATTAGTTGTCTGTGTAGCCATCCAGCAAACCATTACTGACTCCCTCTGAGCCACCAACTGCTCCAGGTGCAAGGGCGACAGTGGTGCACAGAGCCCCTGTCAAGCTTGCATTCTAGTGAGGGAGACAAAGGGTCCTACTTTCTGGCAAGCATTCCAGTGCCCAAATGAACACAGATTCTGAATATAATTTTACATAAGAAAAAAATAAAAGGCAGTCTGTGTAAATGCATCACACACATGCACATACAACGTCCTTGGTACAAAGCGTGTGTGCAGTGAGTGTCACAGGGCAGCAACGCTTCCTGACTGGAGGAGCTTCACAGAAGGCCTCTGACACTGGGTTTACTCTTCCAGCCAAGACGGAGGCGTAGGTAGGTACACTTTGCCTCCTCACACAACCAAAAGAAGGGCAACAACAAATTAAAAAACAAAAAATAAACAGAACTGCCAGAAAATTGAATAGTATGGAAGTCTGATAACCAAGGAGTTACATTCATCCAGATTGGTAGGAGGGACGGAGACGGGCCCCCCAGGGCAGGGAGGACTCACGGCAAGGTGGCAGCTGGCAGACCGGGCAGTCCCACATTCATGTGCAGATAAACTGGGAGGAACAACAGGGGAGCAAGACCAACCCAGGGCTCCAGCGAGGGGAAATAAAGCCTCAAACCTCTGATTGAAAACACCTGTGGGGGTTGAGGTGGCAGCCTCATAGGAGAGTTTGTTGGAGAGACCCACAGGGTCCTAGGGCATACACAAGCCCATCCACCTGGGAATCAGCACCAGAAGGGCCCAATTTGCTTGTGGGTAGAGGGGAAAGTGACTGAAAGCCAGCTGAGATCTGAGCAAGCGCCATTGTTTCCTCTCGGACTCCTCCCCCGCCTACAGCATCACAACCCAGTGACATGGGTTGCCCCACCCTGGCGAACACCTAAGACTCTGCCCCTTAGTACATCACAGGTGTGCCAAGACAAAAAAATATGGCCAAAATGAAAGAACAGATCGAAGCACCAGAACAAATACAACTAAGCGATGAAGAGATAGCCAACCTATCAGATGCAGAGTTCGAAACACTGATAATCAGGATACTCACAGAAATGGTTGAGTATGTTACAAAATAGAGGAAGAAGTGAAGGCTCTGCAAATTGAAATAAAGGAAAATGTATAGGGAACCAACAATGAAGGGAAGGAAACTGGGACTCAAATCAATGGTCTGGACCAGAAGAAAGACATAAACATTCAACTGGAATAGAATGAAGAAACAAGAATTCAAAAAAAAATGAGGAGAGGCTTAGGAACGTCTCAGACAACTTTAAACATTCCAACATCCAAACCATAGGGGTGTCAGAAGGAGAAGAGGAAGAGGGAGAAATGAGAACTTATTTGAAAACATAATGAAGGAGAACTTCCCCAATCTGGCAAAGGAAATAGACTTCCAGGAAGTCCAGAAAGCTCAGAGGGTCCCAAAGAAGTTGGACCCAAGGAAGCACACACCAAGCTACATCATAATTACATTAGCTGAGATTAAAGATAAGGAGAGAATCTTAAAAGCAGCAAGAGAAAAAGAGACAGTTACAGCAAAGGAGTTCCCATAAGACTATCAGCTGATTTCTCAAAAGAAACCTTGTAGGCAGGAACAGCTGGAAAGAAGTATTCCAAGTCATGAAAGGCAAGGACCTACATCCAAGATTATTCTGTCCAGCAAAGCTATCATTTAGAATGGAAGGGTAGAAAGAGTGCTTGCCAGATAAGGTCAAGTTCAAGGAGTTCATCATCACCAAGCCTTTAGTATATGAAATGTTAAAGGGACTTATCTAAGAAAAAGAAGATAAAAAATATAAACAGTAAAATGACAATAAACTCACAACTATCAACAAACAAACCTAAAAAAAACAAAAACAAAAATGAACTGAGCAAACAACTAGAATGGGAACAGAATCACAGAAACATAGATAACAAGGAGGGTTATCAGCAGGGAGGTGGAGGGAGAGAATGGGGGAAAAGGTACAGGGAGTAAGAAGCATAAATGGTCGGTATAAAATAGACAGGGGGAAGTTAAGAATAGTATGGGAAATGGAGAAGCCAAAGAACTTATATGTACGACCCATGGGCATGAACTAAGGTGCAGAAATGCTGGCGGGAGAGGGTTGCAAGGAAGAGAGGAATAAATGGGAGAAAAAAATGGGATACTTACAATAGCATAATCAATAAAGTATATATAGAAATTTAAAAAATGGGTTTACAGAGTCAGAAGACCCTGAAGAATCGCTCACTTTAGTCGAATGTTTTATCAGGTTGGGTAACAGTGGTAGAAGTGGTTTGGATATGAAAGTCACGGCTTTCTGTTCTGACCACACCAATACTCGGGAGCTCTAGAGTGTCTGAGAACTCGGAAAGTGTGGGCTTTGGGATATAATCTCGGCACTTGTCCAATTTCAAGAGAGAGAAATAGCAGTTACTAGAAACTACTGATACAAATCTAAGAAATAGCTCCCAGTACCATAGAAGGGGATGGCATAGAACTGTTTTTAAGCACATGGTACAGGGTCTACTCATGCAGCCTTGACCTTGTGTCAGTCTTCACATGGCTTATTGGCAGATATTATAGTAAACCAAAGTCAAGTCCTAGTCATCATTCTGGTCACTGTTTGTAGACTTACCTAGGTCAGCTGGTCTCCCAGAACTCTCAAGTGTGCCACTACACTGAATTGTACTTATCTATGTGTATGCCATCTCCTCAGCCAGATGGTGAGCTTCCTAAGGGCTTGGGGGCAGGGTCCTGTTCATCTCTGCATTCACTGCACCTGCCAGGGTCTGGGACTTAGTGGGCACTTAGAGCATTTGAGTGAAGGGATGTAATCAGCCAAACAGTGGTGAGTGAATAAGATAAAAGCACAAGGCCATCCAGAGGATTAGTAGATTGGGCACTGTATTTAGAAGCAGAACTTTTAGAATATCTGACACATAGCCATTCATTTGCTCACTCATTACCAAAATAGCAACAAATTTTCAATTATTTTAATAAATAATACACATCATCTTGACCGAAAGACAGTGTAGTGGGATATTCCTGTGAGTAGATGGAACTCCTTGAGTTTCTTACAAGATCCAAAAGAACCAAGATGCACTGCATGTGTGGGGCTGTCGGGGACAGTCCCTGGGCTCCATGGAGCACGTCTCCCTTTCCAAAGCACATCAGTAGTTTTCATGCCATTTTAATTCTACCAAAAACACATGCTATTGTGGTTGGAAAACTGTTGCCATTGCAACACTTTCCCAGAGAGGTAAAGGAATTTCCCCCTTAATTAGAGTCTCATTGCTGAGGACTGCTTTTATTTTTCCAAGCAAAAAAATGTAGAGCCTCAGTTTCCTCATCTATATAAGGGGCAGAATACCTTATTCACCTAATAAGGTTATTGTGATCAGCAAATGGGACCGAATCCCTCTTACATGTGAGGAATTCCACAAAACACTTGGGATGCACTGATACATTTCCTGGCCTAGGGGTCATTCTGGTTTACTGAGGGAAAAAAGATGCAATCAGTACCAACAAAACAGACAACCTAATTTTTAACATGGGCAAAAGAACAAGCACTTCACAAAGAGGGTGTACAGGTGACCAACAACACATGAAAAGGTGCTTCATTAATCATCAGGGAAATGCAAATAAAAACCACAATGGGACAGCATTACACACCCTCCATAATGTTAAATTGAAAAAGACCAAGTTTCAGAGAGCATGTGGAACAGCTGGTGTCCTCATGCATTACTGCTGGACTGTCACTTACTGAAATCTCCTCGTCAGACGGGCACAGTGCACACAAACAGATGACAGGCATCCCCATGGCTCTGTGACTCAGCTGGAGTGTACACCCAACAGAAATGTGGACATATGTCCACTAAGGAACATGTACTAGAATGTTCACAGCAACACTGTTTGTGATGGCCCACATTGGAAATTCTCTAAACCCCTGTCAACAGTAGAGTCCATAAATAAAGTGCAGAGGAGCCATGCAATGGAATGCTATGTAGAATTAAGAATGAACAAGCCTTAACTGCACTCAGCAGGAAGGAGGAACCTCGTAAACACAGTGTTGAGCCAGAGAGTGCGCACTATGTCATTCCACACATACAGTGTTTGAAAACAGACAAACCAGTCCACGGCGTTCAAAGGCAGACCGGTGCTATTCTTGTGGGGAGGCTGTGACAGGAAGGGGTGGAGAGGACAGCTGGGTACCATAAATGCTTTGTGTCTTGATCTGGGTGCCAGTTACCCAGGTGTGTTCATTAAACTGTACGCTTAAGATCTGGGCACTTTTCTGTACGTAACTTAAGCTTCATTTTAAAACCTTTAAGAGCTGGTCTCCCATAACTATTACAGGTCTAGGCAATCAACCAAAACCATTGTGCAAATTGAAGTGCTCTTGAACTTACTTTTTTTAATTTTTTATTTTCCAGGAGCAAAGCGTCTGTTTTTAGGTCATGTGCATAGATTTCATTTTCTAAGTTCCTCAGAATTTCAGAATGAGTTTTGATTTTTTGGTTTTCTTGATCTCGTAATTGTTCTAATTCCTCCTTCACTTTATCCTGCTCAAGCATAAAACCCACAGTTATCTCACAGAGGCCAGTGAGCAGGGCACCGCGCACTAGGTCGCCCGGGCCACACTCACAGCGGGGTCCCAGTTCACTCCTGGGCCCCCAGCACAGGCCGCAGGTCCCTCCCCTGGGAAACACTGTGTATTAACCTCAACAGCTGGTTCCTGGACGTTCATTCATGGGTTCTGGGAAGCGGGTCCATGGACCCCAAGTTAAGTCACTGAGACAACTTTGCAAAATAAAATATATGTTGATATAGGAACAACTGTCTGGCAAAAAGGGGAAGATGGAGGAGAGGGAAATTTCTTGAGGATTTTTAGAGAGGATTTACTATTTCCTGAAGGGAAAGAATATTACTTTATGGATTTCTCTGAATTTTCTACTTTTTTCTCAATTGAATCTCTATAGTTATCATACTGTTATAAATCACTTAACCTTTATTCATTGTATAATCATCACTAGCAGCATCTTACTAATAGAACTGTATATATAGTGTATTTACTTATAATTTCCCCTTCATATTTCTCTACACCCATAACATATTGAAAGTTGCTTTTGATACCAGTGTATACCGAAGAATAGGATGTTTCTATTTTTAATTAAGCAACTCCACATACATGTTTATCACTAACTATTGATTTTAACTTTTAAAAAGTTAGTAACCATCTCCTGACTGGCTTTCATTCCATCCCCTCCCTCCCTATCCTGCAGCCTCTGGCCACTTAACTCATCCTCGTCTCACGGGAACCCACCAGACAGACGGATCTGAAAAGACTTAAGAAACCATGACTCAGACCCTGCCTTATGAGTAAGGAGCCCGCGGCTGCGCAGTGGTTTTCCCAGGGCCACGTGTCAGCTGCTTCTAGGGTCTCCCCCTCTCCCGAGGCTGCCTCCCCCTACCCCGCCGACCATCCAACATGTAAGAGTCAACCACTTCAAACTCAGTTTAGCTTTTTTCTCCCATTTCCTTTAAAAATGCTTACATGGCTCTGTCTTGATTTGTCATCTTAAGACATTTTCTATTTGTCATTTTAAGACATATACACACATGTATGTGTATATGTGTATGCATGTTTATGTATGTGTATGTTGTGAAATTTCAAAACGGTGGCATTAAAAGGATAGGTTTAATCAGTGTGGGTCTCCTAGAAACTCCAGTAGTGCCGGGGAAGAACTGCTGTTCCTGCACAGCAGCACTCCGTCCAACGAAAGACAGGAGAAGGAATGCGTGGACTCTCTACCTTGTTGTTCATGTATCTTGCAAAGTCTCTTGTCATTTGAGAAATGCCTTCTTCCAGCAACTTCTGTTCCTCTTTTTGTGCTATAAAAAAAGAGGGGGGGGGGCAGAAAATAACTATCCCTAATGTTCTTTGGTTGAAAAAACAAACAAACAAACAAACCATTAATCAAAATAAGACATGCACCTGGTTTTAAAAGTGTAATACGGTGTCTCAGCAAAAACCGGCAGGTAGGGGCTCCCCGGCGTCACCTCCTCCCCTTCTGACTCCTGAGAATCAACTACTTCAGACTCATTTCAGCTTTTCCTTCTTCCATTTTCTTTAAAAATGCTCACGTGGCTCTTGCTCGATGTGTCACTTTAAGACATTCTATTTACTTCCTAATCTAGCAGAGGACAACACGGCACAGCCGCCCCACCCCCACTCCACCCCACCCCCGATCTCCACGTCTTCCTCCTCTACCCTCCCCATAAAGTTAGGTTTTCTGTTTGACTGGACTTTGTTCAGGTCACTATGAGAATGTGACCATTATTCACTCACGACACAAATGGTTTAGTGTGATTATATGTACTTTCCTGAATAATTTTTTCGTTTTCTGGAGTTAAAATCGCCTCGCTTTATTTTTATTTGCTTGGTTTTCCAGGTACATATCATAGTTCACATCAAAATCTACAGCACAGTTATTACGTCTCTCTGCACACGACTCCCCTCGCGGCCCACTTCGGGGGATTTCTCAGTCCCACTTCTCCTCCGCCCCCACTGTGTTCCGTGCCCGGTTTCCTCCGGGTCTCACGCACAGCGGGCCTCGTGGGACTTCCCTTTGCATCTCCCTCACGCTGGACCTCCTGTCTCCTGAATCTCATATCCTCCTCTCTTCATTTATTCCCTCTATTTGTCGAGACAGTTTTTCACTAGCTTTCCAAGACAGAGTAAATGAGATATTTTGAGATCTTACATATCTAAATATGTCTCTGTTCTATATTTATACTTGACGGATCATTTGGATGGGTAGCTAAGGCTGGAAATGAATTTCCCTCAGAATTTTGAAGGCCGTGCCCTCTGACCTCTGGTATAATTTCTGCGGTGAAGAAGACTGCAGCAATCTGATTCCGGATCTTTTGTGAGATTTCCTGTCTCTCTAGAAGCTTTTAGGATCTTCACTTTTTTCCTCCTGAAATCCCACTGTGATGTAGCTTAGTGTGTTATCTTGCATATATTTTGCAAGATATTTATATTGCAAATATAAAATGTGCATTCTCCAGTCTTGAGACATAATATTGTATTGTCTTTGATAGCTTTATACTTTTTACTCATTCCTGTTCTTTGTTTCTGGCCTTCCTGTTAGATATTTAACATCTGAGTAGTTTAACTTTTTCTACCCTTTTATCCTGTTCTGAATCTCCTTATTATATTTTTGTTTTATATTTGGAGAGATTTCTTTGACTTTTCTTATAATCCCCCTATTGAATTTTAAAATTTTAGTTACTACATTTTTCATTTCTAAGAACTCTTTCTTGTTCTCTGTTCTTTCTTTTAAGCTCCTTGCTCTTTTTCATACTTGCAATAGCTTCTCTTAGTTCTCTAAGAATATACCGGTAAAATATATTCTCTATAATACATAGACAGTAAATTCTCTAAGAACATGTTCTAATGTTCTTTGTGTTGTCTGTTTCCACTAAGCTCTGTGCCACTTTTCTGTCTGCATTAGCTTTTCTTTCACATTGGAATTTTTCCTGAGATATCTGGTGACCTTTCCTGTCTAGTCCTATTTAAGAGTGAGGCACTAGCTCTGGCCAGGTGGCTCATCTGGTTGGAATATCATCCCACACACCAAAAGGTTGCAGGTTTGATCCCTGGTTGGGGCTCATACAGGAGGCAACCGATTGATGTTTCTCTCTCACATCGATGTTTCTCTCTCATCAATACACATACCCACATATCCTTGGGTGAGTGAGGATTTAAACAAAAATTGAGGCACTTAAAGGTTTGGTTCCTGGGTGGGCTTGCCTATGCAGCAATGAAGAAGGGACCAGCCATTTTTGTTGGGGGACCCTCAGCTACTAGAGTCTATGGGGCTTTTCTCTGAAACGTCAGTCTCCTTAGAGAAAAATCCAACTGTCTCAGTTCAGCACCTGTCTCCTGCCCTCTGTCACAGCTGATATCCTGCCGTTTAGAATCCTCTGGTCTAGTTTCTCTGCAGCGTTCAGGAGGAATAGTCACTCAGCTGCACAGAAGATGCCATTTGACCTGGCGATCTAACTGCCCGTTAGAAAGACTTTCAACCAATGTTCAGCCCCAGGACGCATCTCAGTCTTCACAGTATCAGGGTCCCCCAAGGGCCAAGACTTCCCAGGTCCTCTGGAGAGGATGTCTCGCCTTCATGGTGGGCTTCTCTGCACGCTCTTGTTATTCTCACCTCTCTTTCTGCTCATCCTTCTATCCAATTACTCCTTCCAAAAATGTGTTGGTATTTATTATCTGCTGATGTCTTCTCTGCCAGTCTCTTTGTACTTGTGGATTTATGTCTTTTTAAAAATAAAAGTTCTTTACTTGTATTTTTGTGAAGTTCCTCTAGGGAGCGAAGATAGATGCATGCGTTTTATCCATCACATTCAACCAAAAGTCACCACGGGGCTCCAAGTGTCCTCAGCCCCAGTGTTCTGTCCTCTGTGAGTCACCACTGGCAGGGCTTCTACCCTCTGAAGCACAGATGCTCTATGGCCCTTTTCCTTCCTTTCTCCTGCCTTCCCTTCATTATCGACTTTCTTCTGTATTTTTTCTCTTTAACCATAAGAGAATCAGTACTTGCAATATACTGCTTGCTTTCGTACTTATAGTGCATGACAAGCCTCACACCTTCAGGGGTAATTCTGGATCTGTGAACTTTTGGGTGCAGGGTTAGATGCCCATGTCCAATTATTGTGGAAAAAATAATGATTTTATATTAAACACAGTTATGCCAAGTCATAGAATGCAAAGAGTGCATACTCTCAGACACATTTCACATTCTCTACAAAGCTCCCAGATCTGAGACAGGCTCTCGTCTATCTCTGCCTCAGGGGTAGGGTAGTGGAAAAAAACAGACAGGCACCCACTTCCTAAGTGGTTTAAGTCATAACTGGAAACTGTACAACTTGCAAATTCACATTAAGGAACAGAAAAGAACCTCCACATGGCAGTGAGATAGAGAAGTTGATTCTGCCTTGACCAACTACAGAGAGAAACCACAGAATATAGTTGCTACTAATTCTTAATTTTAAACAGTCTTCAAAAGAGAAAAGGAAAAAATTGACAACAGCAACAGTAGGATTTTGTGATGCTGAGGAAAGGATACTCACAGATAAGAAAAAAAACCCTAGAGAATAAAGAGTGATGGGAAAAGTTTGAAGAACTTCACCCTTGCTTTGATGGGTGACCCACCTGGCTTTCTGTTAGAAGATAACAGTGAACTCCTTACCTGGAGTTGAGGTCAATGACTAAGTGCTTCACACATACCTTCGATAATGCTATTGAGCTCGTCACACTTTTTGTTTTTGATGTTAAATTCTTCTTCTGCCACCTGAAGGTAGGGAAGGCACTCGACTAGTTCATCTTCCTTTATTTTGGTGCTTGCTGTTTCCTGAACATATTTTTCCTTTAAAGAAAGTAAAGCTGATTGTGAGATATGATTTTGGAGAATCGACATAGCACTCTAGAGTAGAATACAAATTCTTCTGGGAAGAGAGTCTCTCTTGGTCTGCTTCTACCCTGAGATGCATAGCAAGGTATCTGGCACACACTAGATGTTTGAAAAATATCTGTTGATTGACTTACTGACTCTGGCAATCTATAAACAGGGAGATTAGATTCAATGGCTTTCCAAAGATCCTTTCAGTTCTATAGCTCTATCACTATAATTCTATTGAGGCTGCCGTGTATACACCTCAAAATCATTTGAAGAATTTCTCTTGGTCGATCATATTTTATTAAAAGAAAAACAGACAGCTGGACAGAATATATACAAGTTCTAAGAAATGTGTATGTAAGAAATGGAGAGTGTGTATCAATAATTAGATAAAAGTCTACAACAAATGGGTAAAAGTGCCGAAGCAAAACATGAATTTGCCTCCTTAATTATTCAAACTCCGGTTTTGTTTGGTTTCAAATGGAGTAACAGTTAGCCTTTTTTAGAAGGGCAGGGTGGGTTTAAGATGGTGACGAAGGCAGAGACAGCCCGCTGACATTTACTATCCATCCTCCTGTCCTCGAACAAACATCAGGACTCCAGAGTTTCAGCAGAACATGCGGCTGCCAGCTGAGTGATTTCTCTGTTCCCCATGCAGGTGGGGCTGACCAATGGGTTTGTGAGCCGAAGAGGTCTGTGCCCCTTCTGGGCCTTGTCCCTGCAACAAGAAGGGGGACGTGCTCCCTTGGCCCTTTCCTCCTTCCCCTGGAGGGGACCATGTGCATGGAAGCTGCAACTTGGCCCCATGGGGGTTGGCCTCAAGCTGAGCATGGCCAACCTGCCCTTCTGGGCCTGACTACTTTCCTTTGGCTGATACCAAGACAGAAAAATAAATGTCTCTCTTGCTGTAATGACCACACCAGTGGGTTTTCTCAACTAAATATGAAGACTCTGAAGATTTGAATAGACTATACTTGACCCAGTTTACTCTTAAAACTTTAATTTTTGTTTTCATCCCATTGTAACTACACATAATTTGAAGGAAACCCCAAGTGCCAAGCATGATTCCCCAGCAGGAGGGGCCCTAAAACACAGCTGACCACAGGCCAGTGTCCTTTGACCTCACTGAAGTGATAACGCATTTGCAAGAGGGAGACTCACACAGGTGGGTGTGCTAGCCCTGGGTTCAAATAGGACCCAACACCTCTTGGGCATAACTCCTAGGTCCCCACAAGGGATATGCCTACTCAAAAGAGGCACCAAACCCTGGCTGGTGTAGCTCAGTGGATTGACCACCAGCTGCAAACCAAAGGGTCGCCAGTTTGATCCCCAGTCAGGGGACATGCCTGGGTCGCGGGGCCAGGTCCCCAGTAGGGAGCTCTTGAGAGGCAACCACACATTGATGTTTCTCTCACTCTCTTTCTCCTTCTCTTCCCCTCTCTAAAAATGAATAAATAAAATCTTTATAAAAAAAGTGGCACCAAACCCAGAAAAGCCCAATATCAGAGTTTCCCACCAATGTTCCTCCCAGTCAGGATGCAGCATCCCCATCAGGGCCATTCTACATAACCGATGCCACCTGATCATACCACTGATGGTCCGCCTCCATCAGGCTACCTACCGGGGCGAGAAGCCAACAGGTTAATACAAGGTCAGTTTCCCAATAAAGGAAAGAGGCTTGCTAACCCTTTAGACACATCTTGCCTACGTTCACTGTATTTGACATCTCTTTGATGCAACGGCTTGCTCATGCCCTATGAATTAATATAATGATATGCTGGCTTGCTATGCCCCCTTCCAAATTGCCATTATAATCTTTAGAAGTAAAATATAGAAAGAAAAACACACATAAGACCCTATAATGTGGAAATATCACAGTGCAGTATCAGAGAAAATTTCTCGGACTGCATTGTTAAAAAAAGTCAATCATATGTTGTTTACATGATGTTTTCTACAAAAGAAGAGCCTGGTGGGGATAAGGAGGTATGCGAGTGCAGTAATTCATTCCCATTGCCTGCCCTCTCCCCCATCTCTGTGCCAGCCCCGTCACCCCGTTGTCATTCCTCAAATAGCTCAGTCCTGCCTCAGAACCTTCATGCTCAACCTGCGGTCTGCTGGAACCACCGTCTGCAGGTTTCTCCGCGGCCTGCGCTCTCCTGTCCTGCAGGGCTGTAGCCTTCGCTGACCACCCTGTTCCAAATGGCACACACACCACATCACATACACGTCCCTGCTTTCTTTTTCTCTGTAGCAGCTGTCCCCAACCTTTATGCACCAGGGACCGGTCTTCCCAGGAACAGTACCCTGTGAGGGAGTGGGGGGAGGGGGTCCAGGAGGAGGAGCTGGGGGGTCCTGGGGGCGGAGCTCAGGCGAGCTTCTCTTGGGGGCAGCGGCTCACTTCCTGCAGTGGATTTGGAAGGAGGGGGATGGGGGTGGGGGGGGCCGGTGGAGACCGGAGGTGGAGCTCAGGTGACCTTCAGGCCACTGACCTGTACCAGTCTATGGCCGGGGGGTGAGGGGGGGGTGGGGGGGGTGGGGGGGGTGGGGGGGGTGGTTGGGGAGCTCACCCCTCCCCCCCATAACGTGCATCACCATCAAACGTACAACACATTTCATTTGTTCATCTTGTTTATTTTCATTCTGCCCCCACGGGATGTAAGCTCCATAAAGGCCAAGTTCTACTCTTCTGTTTTTGTTTTGCTTTATTTTAAGCATCTAGAAGAATATATGGCACCCAGATGTGCTACAACCAACAGAGGAATGCTCCTCACCCCAACTGCTGTGCATTCTGTTTCTTCTCATTTTGTACCAGTTCGCACCGTGCTTTTCCCCTTATGCGTCCCTGAGTTGTGCCTGTTCGGTTTCCCCGCTTCCTAATCAGGGCCTCTGCCTTCTGCCTGTACTCCCATGTGGCTGATTTCTGCGGCACCTCTATGAAATGATGGTGTTTTTTTTTTTAATTCACGAAAGAACGTTTGATCGCAGTTTTCATCTTATCCAGCATCATTTTTCCGAGTGTTCTGCATTTGTTGGACAGTTTTGCTCCGCCTTTCACTGGTTTTTCTCATAGCATTTTTGTGTGGAGGACCTGTCTGCTTCCTTCTTGTTACTCCTGTTAGAAAGAAGTGGGTTTTCTCGGATCGTTTCTCTGCAGAGGGTTTCTGGAAGATGCGGACACGGGGGGAGGAGACGTGGGCTTGGACCAGGATAAGACCTAAACTTTGAAACTTAAGGACTCCCTACTCCGTGGTTACAGCAAATACAGACCCTGGTTGGTGTAGCTCAGCCGCTTTTCCTGCTATGAACGCTTCTCCCACCATCTCTTCTGTCCTCGGCTTCTCTACCAGTGGTGCCTTCCACGAAATATACCTTTGCCTTTCAAGGCCACACCATCACCTCGAAAAGGTGTATTTTCTGTTGTTTCCAGACTCCGGCCCTCTCTGGCCCCCCCGGGGGTACTTGCGGTGTCCGGTCGCTGCTCCTCCCTCAGCACCCATGCCCTCCCTACGCCACCCCGGGCAGCGCTCCGCAGTTCCCAAGTCAGTGCAAAAATGTTTCTTGTTGCTCTATTTCCTTTTTGGGAAGGAAGAAAGATTCAAAATGAAATTGGAACCTTGGTCATACAAAAAGATTTATTGTACATTTAACTGAGAAGAGCATGAATATACAGCTCTCCCCTGCAAATAGCCATCTAAAATTATTCTCAGATGTAAAATAAAATTTACCTCATACTTGATCAACTCTTGAATTAACTTTTTCTCTTTGACGGTGAATTCCTCCTCTTCTTGCTTTAATTCTAATGTAATTTTTTCAATCTGTACCAAATATTCAGTGATCTCTTTTTCTCTAGACGTGGTCTAATTAGGGGGGGAAAATAGAGGATTTGTCATTTGTCTGGTAGCAGTCATCCTTACATTTTCAAACAGCCAGGTAAATGAATCTCTCTTTGCATTAGATTGGGCTCTGATTTCAGGTACTTATTCTGCAGTAACCACTGAGAAGTCGTATTTATGTATGTATTAGTTTATTCCATTCAAAGGTCAGCGGCCTCACCAAACAGCAGGGACAGATGTCACAAGGACGTGGAGAGTGGGAGCAGTGGAGCAGGTAGGGTGGGCAGAAGGTAAATGTGGAAACTAAAATTACATTTGGTCTCTATTTTTAGAGATAAATTTCTACAAAACTATCAAGTTTCTCATTACAGTCTTCAAAAACGTATTCTGGAGAAAACTGCTACTTTGTTTGCTAAATTCCTACAGTTGATACACAGCAAATGGATACATCTGAGAAAGTTAAACAATTCACCTTAAACGTGAAGGTGGCAGAAAGAAAAATACCCTTTGGTTAAATTAAATATTGAAGGAGAATCACTGATACACAGTACAGGGGACTAATACTAAGTCTGCTGAGTTCCCTTACCTCTTGTAATAATTGACTGCGTCTTGCTTCTGTGGCCTTGATTTTATCTACAAGTAGTTGCAATGCAATTTGCAATTTGAAAAGCCAACGACTATGCATTCTTTTCAGGCAAGCTATTTTCCACTGAGTTATAACACTAGAGGGTAGAACAAATAGAATGATTATTAAACTGGCACAAGGGTCTTCAGAAAAGATGAAGGAATGCAAAACAAAACAAGATTACATGAAATTGTGCAATTGGGGATGCAGACTGCACCTTCACTGAAAAAGTAAGACAGAAACATCAACTGCTTAGCTGCTGGATGTGTACGTTGCTTCCCAGTGGAAGCCACTTAGGTGCGAACAACAGGACAGCGGGCAAACCACACTTGGCAGCCCGCCCCCTACAGGGAAAGGATGGGCATGGGAGAGGTTCAGAGGCCGGTGGAAAAAGAAGAGGCCTCCGCAGAATTAGTCATGGAAGTACCTAAATTACGCAGACTGCTAATAAGAGATTACAAATTTCTAGGCTCTGGGATTTTTCTCTCCACCATGACATAAAAAAGTTACATATAATTGTGGGTGAAAATGTGCAATTTGACTCATAAATCATATGACTAGAAATGACAACACCAGCAATAAAAAAAAATAGAGGTAAGTTTTCCCAAGTGCTCCCTAGTGATGGGTGCTGCTCCAAATACTTTACGTGGATCATCTCATTTACTGCTCGTGGCAACCTGATCAGGTGGGCACTACGATCATTCCCCACTTTACAGGGACGGGAACAGAGGTTATTAATGAACTGACCGAGGTCCCAGAGCCAGCAAGAGAGAGGCAGAGCAACCCAAGACCATTGCAGAGGCCGTGCTCCTAACCACTCTCCTCCGTCCCCGCCCATCGCCTCCCACGCTGTCCACGCAGAAGCCTGCGTGAGCAGGAGGCATCCCACACATCTTGGCAATTCTACTCTTTCATGACTTCATTCTGTTCAAATGGAAAACTTTGGTTCTGTTCAATGCCAAAAATCAAGCAACACACACGGCCAGATAGACGAACTCAAGAGAACTCAAACAGTTTAACTTAGGAAAATCAGATCCCTGGGCTCTAGCAACCAACAAGTACTCTGGTATCCTTCCTGTGTCCGGGCGCTGTTCATTCAGATGGCATACACTATTTATAACGCAAAGGAACTTGCTTTCTTTACCATCTCTGGCGTTCTCTTTCCAGGTTATCATTCAGGATTTTTATTTGTTTCCGGTAGACTTCCTTTGTTGCCCTGAAAACAAGAAAAAACACATTGGATCCAGCACTTGTGGGAGCTGTTAGAATACATAAAACCTTCTATATAATTCTTATGTACAGTAAGGTTACTGCCTAATTGGGAGACAAAACAAACTTTGTGGGACAACCAAAGGCTTTAGTGCCAGACTAATAGAAAGACAATTACAATTCTATGCAAGCACAGACTGATTCTGCAAGTATTGAGGTGTATTTCTAAGGACAGAGCACAGATTTTTTTGGAGACAGTAGGGGAAAGGTTATTGGAAGTTAATGCTTAATACAAGGAGGAAAATGGAGGTCCAGAATGGCGGTGCAATCTTACCAAAGAAAGGACGTCATCATTTGCTGAGACACAGGGGGAGAGAACAGCAAGTCAGGACTCTTGTGACCCAGGCAGGCTCGCTGCACAGAGGACAAGAATGGAAGTAACACTCTGACATAGGAGGACTTAGAGTCAACAGATCCGTGAGGGGCTCTGTCTTCCAGAATGAGTCAGGATTTGATACAATGTCTGTTCCAGAAAGTCAATAGAAGTTCTTGAACTAGAGGGCAAACAGTAATTAAGGATGGAAGATTTTCTGATGAATCTAAAATGGATGAAAATGTGAAGACTCTAACAGAGGTATTAGAAGCCTTTATTATTTTTATTCCCTCTTTTCCTTATTAAGTGCTTTCATACACAGAGAAGAATTGAAGGCCACATAAGTAACATGTGACTGTGTCTTTATAAAAGATATTCATAAATGTAACTTAGAATATAAAATGCTCTTAAATAAACTAGAAACACACTATGCTTTTCTTTTTTCTATTTGAAATCATTGTATGGGCTCTCATTTCCTTACCTAAATAAACCTAACATCCCCCCCTGGAACTGTAGGGTTCTTCATAATTTGCCCCAAAGTTATTGATTTTATTTACATATTTGACTTAATTCACAAAGGAGCTCATTAATTTAAAATAAAGCAACAGTAATATAAAAAATCCTAAATTAATACCAATATTGGGCCACAAATTTGGCTCTCAGCTTTCTGGTGACCAGAGTAATGATGACACAATCATTCATTATAAATTTGCGTTTTTCATGAGGAAAATAAAGCCCCAATTGTATTTTCTTGCTCTTCATAGATAAGAGTTTATAGTTTCCTTTCTGAGGCTCACATGATTAGAATGGGATGTTTAAATATATTATTTAGCAATATATGGATAAGCAACCAAAAAGTTACACTTCCTGCCTTATTCTACATTTCTGTTGCTGTGTGTCAAATTTTCATCCCCACCCATCTTAGATTTCTGTAAGTTGGTCTCTTCAGTGTCCTATATTCAAATTATTTATATCTCTACATGTGGTGATATTACTCCACCATTTAATAAGCAAACAGAAAAATCTGACTTGCTTTTAAAGGTATAAAGTTTTAAATCTTTATATGACAAAGAAGAACTTCTTGACTTTCTTTCATCCTTCTGAAAGGATGAAAGTTTTTTAAAAAGAATTCACACTGTTCTTTAGTCATACACATTTCACTCGCTTGCATGTGTTTTAGTCTTGATCATCTGCCCAACTAAAGTATAAGGGGCTTTATGCCCAGCCTTAGTGAGAGTATAAAATGGCAGAATATTTATGTAGGGCATTTTGATAATAATTATAAAAATAAAAAATACACAACTTTCTTTGATCCAATAATTCAACGTTTAGGGCTTTATTATAAAGAAACAGTCACATAGGTGGACAGAGATAAGTTAATGTTAACTTTGAAAATGGTGTCATACAGGAAACCAAAAATGTTTATCAATAGAGCACAGGTTAAATAAAGTACAGTATAATCTGTGAAAGGATCACTATGCAGTTAGAAAAAAGAATGAGGAAAGAAGTCCTGTGTATATAATTTTTTCCTTTATTTGAAATTTGAAATAGCTTCAAGCTCAATAGGTAAGTGTAAAAATTAGTACAAAGAATTCCTATATACCTTCCACCAGCTTCTCCAAATATTGCCATTTTATCATGTTTTATCATTCTCTTAGAAATAATTTTCACAGTTTATGTAATTGACATATAACATCATGTATGCCACCCAGATACAATTTTAAGTGGAAAAGTCCAATTACAAAAGAGTATAATCCAAGTTTTGGGTACATGAATACATACATACATACACACACACACATATATACAGTATATACACACATATAGTATATATATACACATATATAGTATAGACTCACATATATACAATATATACATACATAAATATGGGTATATGTATTAGAAAGCTTGTATAACACACTGCTAACAGTAATTTTCTCTGTGGAGAGAGTAGGTAACTTTTACTCTCTAAGTTATATATTTTAGTATTTGAATTAAAATCAGATATAGGCATTACTTCTGAAATTAAAGTGACTTAGATAGTGGAAATGGATGTGACAGAGGTCAGTGTTGTCGTGATATCTGGGCACATTCCTGCCACTGGCCCCCCCGCCCGCCAGCCTCGTGCCCAGCAGCTTGTGGAGAACTCGAACCTGCCCATCCTTTGATGAGAGACTCTCTGACGGTGACTTTTCAGGACCGTAGAACAACTAGAACTCATTATAAACCTCCTTTTCTTAGTAGATTAGAACTTGACACAGATTTGTTGCTACTATTTATTTAAAATAAATGAAGAGGAGACAGATTAAAAATCTCAAACAGCAAACATACCGGAGAAGCTCCGTGAGCGTGTTGAGTCCTTCTTCCATATTTTTGATGTCTATTTTCCTTTGCGACAGGAAGTTCTCTTTCTGAGTGATAAATGCCAGCTGTTTGTGATTCCTGTGGTGACAAGAAGACAGAGCTGTCACAGGCTGAAGGTTTAAACGATCATTTTTAACTCCTCAGCAGGAGAAAACACACTGTCACCAGTAAAAATCTCAAAAGTAGTTTGGAAGATTTAGTTCATGAACTATTGACCCAACGAATCAAGAAAAATAGAAACAAAGTCTTTCTGCATGTGGCGGCCAAACCTATGGAAACCCCCACATTAATCCAAGAGCACTCACAAAGCAGTAAGAAACGCTCTGTAGGACTCGATCCCGATCCCGCCGAGGGGGTGTCTCTCTCCTGCTGCATGTATCAACTCTGTCACGTTCTTTTGTGAAAGGCAAAGGAGTCAACCGGACCAATTTTGAATGCTGGCTCTACCTTTCCCAGGAGTGTGACTTTGAAAAGAAACTTTACTTATTAATGAGCCTCTGTTTCCCCATCCATAAAATGGGGATTACAGTACCTGTCTTCTCGGAAATAACAGTTAAATGAGAGACGAAAGCATTTTATAAATGCAGTTATCTTTTTTTGGTCTCTAAGTTGAAGAAAGAATGATAGGAAAATTATGGTTTTGTTCACACTTCCAGACATTGAGAGGAGCATGCCTGTAACAGAAAGTACTTTTTCTGAGTGCCTTATCTTCAAAACCGCTGTGGACTGAGTTGTGTCTTCCACAAATGCACATGGTGAAGCCCCCATGGCCAGTGCAGTGGTATTTGAAGAGGGGGCCTTTGGGAGGGTTAGGGTTAGATAAGGTCATGAGGGTGGGCCCCTCATGAAGAGATGAGTGTCCCCATAAGAAGAGTCCAATTACAAAAGAGTACAATCCAAGTTTTGGGTAAATAAATACATACATACACACATACATATACACAGTATACACACACACATATAGTATATATACACATACAGTATATACATACATTTATATAGTATATACATACACGTATATAGTATATACATACACATATATAGTATATACACACATATATACAGTATATACATACATAAATATGAGTATATATATTAGAAAGCTTGTATAGTGTACTGTTAACAGTAATTTTCTCTGTGGAGAGAGTAGGTAACTTTTACTCTCTAAGTTACATATTTTAGTATTTGAATTAAAGAAGAGACAACAGTGCAGTTGCTCTCTCTCTCCGTGCGAGGACACAATGAGAAAGTGGCTGATCTGCAAGTCAGGGAGAGAGCCCTGGCCAGAGTCTGACTGTGCTGGCATCCTGATCTGGGATATATAGTCTCCAGAACAGTGAGAACTAAGTTGCTGCTGTCTCAGTCACCCACTTGATGCCATCTTGTCACAGCAGGCCAACTGAAAAGGACAAAAACCAATAAAGGTGGTCGACGTCTCAACTGATGACTATTTGTCATCAGTTCATTTTATATTTCAAACAGATAACTTAGTATTGATGTGAGGAAAGTTTCTGCCTGAAGAATATTAAGTTTTAGTCTCAGTAAGCTGTTCTATTGCATGAGATAAAAAGATTGCAACAGCTCTCTGTGGCTTCAGGGCAACAGCAACGCCCATAAACTCGGCCTTCCAATAAGTGGGCCTGCACACTATAGTTACACTTCCGTGAGATTTAACTCCAAGTGCAGAGATGGGTTATTGCTTACATAGTGTATGCTTGCCAGATGTCATTCTGTAAAATTCGTTAAGAAGATAATTGTGAATGCCCACAACCTGCTAAGCAGTGCACAAGATCTTGGAGATATTGTGCTGAGGGAGACAGAGCCACTGCCCTGATCTGTTCGAAGTTCAGTAGGACAAAGGGATTTGGACCCAGTTGATTACAATGCAGGAACTCAAGAAAAGGCATGGCATTAGAGGGATGTTTCATTCTGGTGTAAGGGAGGAAGACAAGATGGAGAAAGTGGGAAGAACTTTTCAGGGGAAAGTCAAACCAAAGAGGCTGAAAGAGGTGAAAAAAATGAAGTTGGAGAGAAGGATAGGACATATTTGAGAAATATTTGGGAGGTGGTATCGACAAGCCATTTTGCTTAAAGGGAGTCCAATGAGTAGTAAACGATAGGGATTTCCTTGAATAACTTCCCAGGCTCCACATCAGAGGACTGCGTCAAGGACCTAACCCTTCTCTGACACAGGGGACGCACGTGTGGAGCCAGCTTCTGATGAGGGGAGATCTCATAGTTTCTCCAGATTGCCTTGTAGGGTGAAAGTATGATTATTCTTTCAGGAACATGGTTTAGAAGTAAAAAAAAATGCATTTGATGTTTATGAATTAAAAATGACCCATATGAGGAAAGTATTACTCAATATTATAGAGAAAGATTAGGAGTGTGTGTATTTATTATTAGGTAACAAATATTATATCATTGTCAATAGCTTTTAAAACGAGGATAGGCTTAATTGGAGAGTTACCACTCTGACAGCAAGGAAAGCTCCCCATAACTATGGCACGCATGTATGGATCGTGAATGGATCGTAAACATACTCATCATGGATTTTCTTTTTCTGCAGAAAAACTTTATCCTCCTCCTGTACGACTATATCGCATTGTCTGGCAAGAGTAGTCAATTTCTCATGTAGATCTTTGTTCTCTAATTGAATTCTGTGTATTTTTTCAGCCATCTAGGAAAAAAAAAGTCATTAAGGTAGAGAGAGGACTTGCTTCCCAGTTCCTTTGCCGGGAGTCAGGGTTGGATGGGCAGAGCACGAGCACGCCGCTCAGCATAGACTGGCTATGCCACCAAGGGTGAGTGAGCGATTTCTACGTCCAACATGCAATCACACGTTTTGGGACCTCTTCCATAAATTACGACAAAAGTGTAGAAAAGTAGCTAACACTGATGCAAAACCACAGAGTAATAATTAATATTTAAATAAAAATTGGGATTAATAAACTAAGATCATTCCGTTTATGACATATGCCTTTCTTCTAGAAGGTAAGTCACACTGGGGAAGTAAAGTGTAACATCAGCAGAAGCTCTTGCTCACAGCCTCTTTGACTGAATATTATACTTACTTTTTGTTAAATATTTCTATTTGAGGACCAAAAATGACTACTCATTAGTGTTCTGAAGAAGGCAAAGTAAAACCTTCATGTTTGGATGTTTCTATTGAATTGATCAAATGCAGTGAAAAAGATAAATTGAGCGTCAATGATGTGCTCAATAATTCAAAATAATCTTCTGGCTGGGGATTACTAAAATAGCTGGGGAAAACTTTTCTAAGTGTTGAAGAACTAACAAGAGACTGAGGAATTATTAGGCCCACTTCTACAAGAAAGCAAGACTCCACAGTGATAAATCTATTTTTAATCCATTTTTCACCGAAAAATCCTTTTACCTCAGGACATTTACAGATATGGAGGAAATCACTTGAAAACTGAGTTTTGGTTCTCTTACATGACAAGGGGGACGAAAGTCAACACTTAGAGCTCATCCAGGTGTTGAGTCTGATAAATGTCCCATCATGTTAGTGTGGGATCCCAGAGAGCTTCACCCTCTGATGAAGGGTGGATCGGAAGCTAAGAGGCGATGGTCCATGACCCAATAGAACAAGAAGGTGGATTAAGGTAGTCTGGGACTGGTGTGCATGTATATTTGTGTATCTATAAAAATAAATTGGGTTATATTATATGTACTATTTTATATTTATCATTCATAATATATTTTAAACTATGACATTTAATCAAGGCACTTCTGTTAAACTTTATTTGTATTTTCCCTCTGTTCAACTATCAAAATAAATGCTTCATTGATATTTTATGGAGAAATCTTAGTGTACACCCATGTTTAATTACTTAAAATATCATAGTTCTTTTAACCTAAGTTTCAAATGTCCAGCAAATTCCCCTGGGGGCTAAATCTGACTTAAATGTTTCAGTAACATTATTAAGAGCAATATGGGTTGCTACACTTTATGTGTACCACATGGCAGCAAGAAGCTCCTAATTTTTCTAATTAATTAACATGAAAATTGTCCATTAGTCATGGATAGTCTTTAAAATTTTTTTTCTTATTATTGTTCAATTACACTTGTCCCCATTTCTCTCCTATTACTCTCCCCTGACCTACCCACTGCCTACCTACCACATTCAATCCCCCCTCCCATCCCCATTATCTTTGTCCTTGGGTCTTTTATACATGTTCTTTGACTTGACCCTTCCACTCCTTTCCCCTCTTGTCCCTATTCCCCCTGCTCCTCTGGTCACTGTCAATTTGTTCTTTATTTCCATGTCCCCGGTTCTATTTTGCTTGCTTGTTTGTTTTGTTGATTAGATTCCCCTTATAGGTGAGATCATATGGTGTTTGTCTATCACCACCTGGCTTATTTGACTTAGCATAATGCTCTCCAGTTCCATCCTTGCCATTGTGAAGGGTAAGAGTTCCTTCTTTCTTTCTGCTGTGTAGTATTCCATCGTGTAAATGTACCACATTTTGTTTATTTTTTCTAGATTTTATTTCTTTGTTTTTAGAGAGAGAGGAAGGGAGGGAGAAAGACAGGGAGAGAAACATCAATGTGTGGTTCCCCAGTTTTTTGATCCATCCATTTATTGATTGACTCAGGCTGTTTCTAGCACTTGGCTATTGAAAATAATGCTGCTATGAACATGGGGCTCATGGGGTCCCAGCAGTGGAATCATTGGGTCAAAAGGCAGTTCCATTTTTAGTTTTCTGAGGAAATGCCATACTGTTTTCCACAGTGGCTGCACCAGTCTGCATTCCCACCAGCAACACACTAGGGTTCCCTTTTCTCTACAGCCTTGCCAGCACTTGTTGTTTGGTGATTTGTTAATGATGGCCATTCTGACCAGTGTGAAGTAGTATCTCATTGTGGTTTTAATTTGCATCTCTCTGATGGTTAGTGATGCTGAGCATCCTTTCATATGTCTCTAGGCCCTCTGTATGTCCTCTTTGGAGAAGTGTCTGTTCAGGTCCTTTGTCTATTTTTTAATTGGATTGTTTGTCTTGCTGGTGTGGAGTCATGTGAGTTCTTATATGTTTTGGAGACCAAACCCTTGTCTGAAGTATCATTGGCAAATACACTTTCCCATATGGTCAGGTCCTTTTTCATTTTGCTGTTTTCTTTAGTCGTTAAAATATGGAACTCTTCACAGATTTGCATGCCATCCTTGCACAGGGGACATGCTAATTTTCTCTGTATTGTTCCAATTTTAGTACACGTGCTGCTGAAGCAAACACAGTCATGGACGGTCTTAACGTAAAATAACCATACCCACGTGAAACACTACCGAGAAAATGGTTTATCTTCACAAGAACTATCTTTGCTCATCTATACAATTAAAGTATTTGGGGAGGGAATAAAATCTTTCAATGAGTAACTGTTAATTATCATGATTCTTATTAGTTCATGAAAATGTACTTTTGGAAAATTTCACGTTCCTCACATTTATTTAAAATATTAACTAAAAATAAAACCTAATTATAAAGATCATCATTTCTGTTTTCCTACCTCCTTTATCTTCTGCAATAAATCATTTTTTTCAGTAGTAGAGGCTTCATTCAGTTCTTTCTTGTTCTTATTAAAAAAATTCCTTGAACAAAGGAGGTCAAACAAATCCCTATTAAAACATGTTTTTCAGCAAAACTGCATCACCCTACATAACATATTCACTTACATAGCCATTATAATAAACAAAAGAAGTTATTGTTTGAACTGATGAATTAATTATTTATTATTATATTCAATCATTTAAGAAATGATTATTGAACACCTGCACTTTGCATGTGTTACAGGTACAGGAGCTGCTGCACAAGCAAAGAACCTACTCCCGTAAAAACTGCACTCTAGTAGGGTAGCCAGAACATAAGCAAATTATCACAAAATAAACAAATAACATATTTCAGACAGTGTTAAGTGCTGAAAGAACACAAAGTCGGGCAAAGGACATTTGAGAAAGCCTGAGAGCAAGGTTGCTACTTTAGAGAGGAAAATCCTCTCAGAATGACCTGTGAAAGACCTGAACGACGAGAAGGAGCCACATATGTGACGATCCGAATGAACAGCTTTTCATGTAGGAGAAACAGCCGTTGATAACCTCCTGAGGCAGAAACAAGGATAGTGTTTTTTACAAAGAGTGGGTATGAGAAGGCAGGAGAGGTAAAAAGAGACTAGATCGTAGAAGGTCTTGGGGACCAAGCAGAAGTTCAGATTTCATCCTGGAGGAAACCAGGGAAGGACTTTTACAGCAGAGGAGTGACATGAACTGAGTTACATCTTGTAAAGACGACCCGGGCTACTCCATGGAGTAAGACACCAGTATAGGAAGACAAACAATGTAGACAGCTATGGAAGTGATCCAGAAGAGATACTCATAAATGGTGGAGGTGGTGAGAAATCGTTAGGTTCAGGATATATTTTGAGATGAGGGCAACAGGACGTGCCTTTGGATTTGGCTAGTGTTAGGGTTAGGTAGTGATGAAAGCAGGAAAGGTAGACGATGTCTATGTTTTGGCTTGTATTGATTGGTGAAATGGTGGCATGGAAGACTGAAGGAAGAGCAGTTTCGAGGAGCTGGGGAATTAAGAATTCTGTTTAGTACATGTTATAGCTGAGGTATCTCATAGATAGCCTCCAAAAGAAGAGGTATAATAAGCTATAGAGTATATGAATTTAGAGGTTAGGGCTGGGTATATCAATTTGGGAGTTATTGGCATGTGGAAGGGTTTTAAAGCCATAAGACTGAATAAAATCATGTATGGAGAATAGTGAAAAGAGCTGGGAACTCCAAAATTTTAGAGTCAGAAAGCATTGGATGGAGTCAAGCATCCTGAGAAGGATCAGTGCAGTGAATAAAGTAACAGAATGTGAGGCTCAGCAAACCAAGGGAAGAAAGGATTTCCAGAAGGTAAAAGTGATTACCTATGTCACATTCTGTTAAGAATTCAAAAGCTTTAAGGAATAGACTAGACCACTGAGGTTTGGCAGGACAGAAGTCATTGGTAACCCTGAAAATTTTGAAGCCATTTCAGCCCTTTTAAAAAGCATCTATAATTGCCATAGTCTCCTGCACTATGATGGTATTATATACTCTGGGTCACGAATTAGATGTCATTTATATGCAACATTTAGCTTCCAACCCCCTACTTCTTGTGTGTTAAAAACCAGTGGAATGGCAAAGAAAGATCATAGCAATTTAGAAAGGTAGGCACTGATCCACCTTTATTCTTCAAACACATCATGATTAATAACAATAATAACAAAAAACAAGGATTAAACTATCAATACCTCCCCTGGGCTTGTGGAGCACTGAGGTACTCTTAACTGTGTACATGTCCAGGGGTGTCAAACTCATTTTCACAGGGGCCGCATCGGCCTCGCGGTTGCCTTCAAAGGGCCAGATGTCATTTTAGGACTGTATAAATGTAACTAGAGGCAAGGAGCTCGGCGTTGCCGCCAGGGAAAACTAGGTGCCGCCAGGCTGGATAAAACACAGTGGAGGGCCGGACTCAGCCCATGGGCCTTGTGTTTGCCACCTGTGATACAGAACTTAAATTCATGGTTGTGTGATGTTTGTTTTCCCACACTATTTTGTCCTCCAAATAGGTAACAAGCTTGCAAATTAAAGATTTTCTAGGGTGAACATTAAGGTTTACAGATTAATAGGAGTTGTGCAGATTATTTTAGTTTCTTGTATAATTTATTCTTAGAGAATCCTATAAAACAAACTGGCTCTTGAAATCCACCAAGCAAAAACTAGGCTACCTCTCCTCACCTTCACTGACAGAGAAAATGAACTAAGTGGCAAAATAAAAAGAATGAAGAGAATTTTTTAAAAATTCGCCAAGTAAAAAAGAGGAAAAAGTTTTATTAATCAAAAGGGGTTAACCTATACCTTCAATCACCAAATTAATCAAAAACACTTGTCCTCAGTGAGATTCCAATAGAAAGAAAACTCTTGAAAAGTTGGGGTTGGCCAAAAAGATGAGCCACTATTTGTGGAACAGCTAAGGACCCCCATTTCCTTCTTGAACGTATATTTAAAATAGTTAGCTAACATGAAGAATGCTTATAAATAAAATTTCATCAGCATAGCAAGATTTTTAATCATAACTCCTAGAAATAATCTGAGCTAACCTATATATTTTACTATGATTTTTTGGCCTAGTTTTTCTTTAAAACATGGCAGAACTAAAACCTATTGACTCACTTTCAAAGGAAAAGATTTCTTATTCTGAGTGGGAATCAGATTAATGCTTGAGTTTTCCTATTATCAATCTGGCACTGAGTGCAAAGGTCACGGCCCATTTTGTGGACCAGTGCTGATGATTATTGTCCTGTGCGAATTCTGCTTTAGAAGACACAATTTTAATCACAGTGCATTCAAACCTTTATATGTAGAAATGAGCCATATCATAACAGGATTCCACATGTGAAGTTACTTGTCTTCTGCAGAATCTACTCAGTTCACAACCTGTCTTTTAAACTGCTGGAGAACCCTGGGTTAGGCCTAGCAGCCAAGTCTGTACCACAAAACCCCACCTTCCTGTCCAGAGCTGAGTCAAAGAGGTTTTGATGAGAAATGTGGGAATTCTCCCAGAAGAGTCTGTTGGCCAGTCTCTAAAGACAGATGGCTCTACAATGACCATGCTCACCCATGGGCTCACCAGGAAGAGAACACAGCATGTAGATAAAGAGACAAGGATGAAACATTTTTGCAAAAGGAAGAGAGACTGTGGGCCTTGGGGTGGAATGGAAAATGTCCTGAAGTTTCTGGTTCATGCCCCATGGGTGACAGGTTTTGCCCTGAGGCTTCCCCATGTTTTATCCGTATGTTCTGCGAGTCCACCTTGTCTAAGAAAAGCCACTGTAACGGCAGGGGCAGGTGACTTGTAGCCTTGTGGCAGGCCCCGCTAATGTCTTCTGGGGGCGTATTTGCTCACAGGGAGTCAGGAACTGGAGTGGAGGTGACACCTTCCACAGAGTCCCTTCCTTTTCCTAAGCTGACAGCATCACCCTCCATATTTTCTCTTGATCACCTGAACACACAATTAATTACAAAATAAAGAGATGCTTCTGTAAAGCTGACATTACACAAATTTTAGTAAACTAAAATATTCTAATTTTCATCTAATTAAAAAATTTTAAGGAAAGGAACGTAATATCTAGAAATGCTTCAGTATCATGCTTATGAAGTATCATGCTTACATTTTATTCTCCAGGGTCCTACAGGCTTTCTGTATTTCTTCAATCTTTTCTTCCCAATGTCTTATTGCTTCTTGCAGTTGTTCTATCTCTACATTGTGATCAGTAAGAACCTATTGAAATTTTTAAAAGTTATGGCATTCAATCATTGTCAGATGATTCGTGACAACATTTCAATTGACTTAATATTCAGGTATCACTCATTCAACTTTTACTTTGTCCTTTAGTTAAAATAAAAGAAACCAACCCTTATAATTGTTTCTTCAAAGTACAAACTTGGACAGAAATAACTCTGAAATCATCACAAAAAAACCCCCCAAATTTGGGAGGGAGAGCAACCAAATACAGCAGTGAGGATGTGAAAACTATAAAAACAACTTTCAAGACATGAATTCATTTTGACTATCTTTTATAAAAATAAATAAATCTATATTTTCATATATGTCTTCAAAGTGTTCCTCCAGGACAGTAGAATGAATATTATAAACAAGTGAAAAAAATGGAGTCTTTACATGAATTGATAGCTATGTTCATGCTGAAAAAATGTTTCTTTATTAATATTTAATCAGAAGTTTGAAAATGAAACAATTGGATACTGTGAAAAATGGTAGCATAATTTTGAAAAGGAAATATGGATAAAAATTCATAGCGAAACACATTTTTCCAGTGCAGTGTCGGAATAAAGAAAAGGGAGGCAAACCTATCAGCCTTGGGTCTGCATCTGGGCTTGTAAGGGGCACGCGGCTGACCCAGTTCCTCAGCTTCCCAGCACAGAGTCCCGAGGACACATTACTGAGTGCCGTCGGACCCTGCATACCAGTGTGGGTCACAGAAACACCTGTGGGCAGTATAAAGGTGCTCTCCATCACGCAGGTGATTCAGGGGAGTGGCAGCTCCCCCAAACTCTTCCTTTCTCCAAAGCACCCACGTGACTGAAATGCTGGGCCATAATGAGTTCCAGAGTAACAGGGGTCTGAAGTCCTAGAACTGCCACCCCAAACCAGCAGAGTGTCTGAAGGACTCTGACCAATCATCAGGATGAGCGAGTAAATGCTGAAGGCCGCCAGGCCTGACATCGGTGACCTTTAACCCTCAGTCCTTCCTGCTGTGGACTTGTAGGCCACCTGGAGAGTCACACACATTGTTACTGTTTTCTGCCGTCACGACGTCCGCTTGACCTGCCCTCAGAGTTTTCTAAACTGAAGGTACTGCATGAAGGTTAATCTGACATCCCCTATTGTCTCAGTTCCACGCCCAAATGTTATTTTCTAATCTCCGGCGGTAATGGGAACAAACTTTACTAAACATACAGCACTCAGCTAAAGCCATACAGGCATGACCTCATTGATCTCCACAAGAGCCATTTGCAATAATAGGCAATAGTATTAGTGCATTTTATAGGTGAGAAAACTCTGAGCTGGTCGAGCCCAGGTTTGTGACACTCAGGTTTGTACTGTAAATACCATTCTCCACCAGGAAGCTGGGGTGGGGTGGACAGGCTACACTGGGGGAGAGGAAAAATGAGAAGTTTAAGCCTTGTCTGATTTGGCCTCAGAGATCTTTGGGATACAGGTAAAGGAACGTGTACTTCATTTTTGCAAGCTGGAATTCGGAGGGCTCATGGCTTATAATTCATGGGGCCCAAACTGGAGATGTGAACTTGGGCGTGCAGGTGAAATCTGTGCTATCCCGCCCTTATGCTCTTCTCCTTTGAGCCTGACTCACGCTTCCTTACCATGCTGATGTTCAGAAAACAGATGATGATATTTTTAAATGCATATATTTGAAGGAAAATTTGTATTGTACTAGTGTTTTATAATTGGATATCAGCTAGTATGTTATAACTAAAATGATCAGAACCACCCTATACAAAGTATAATGGAATTAACTGAGTGTTCCGATAAGAGTGTTCTGATATGTGTGAAGTTACAGTACGACCATTGCCCCATACATAGTGTTACATGTATTCATCAATACAGATAGAAGAAAGAAGGACTCATTAATTGAACTAACTCTGATAGAAGACTAACAGGCATTTCTGTTTTAATAACATGAAGGTGGTATTAACATTAATCTTTTCAATTATAGTCACTTCCATAAGCCTCAGTCTTCTTATCTTTAAAATAAGGATGGTCCTCACAAAATATTCAACATAGTACTGGCTTTTACTCAATGTTATTAATTTTTTTAAAAAGTAGAACTACAGAGTTCCGAAGTATCTTCTAACTCAAACAAATGGGCCCCTTTCCATATGCATGTTCCTATTGCCAATATAAATTGAGAGACTAAATCCTTTGTTATCATCACACATTCAGAACTAAGGAGTCTGTCCATGGTTATTTATTTTGTTATGTAAAATAAAGCAATATCATAGAGATGTTATATATGGTTCTGTATGCACTAGGATGGTTCTGTGTGCGTTTTTGAAAAATAATTTTTACAGTATTTTGGCCCATCAAATGTAATTTGTTCTTAAAGCATGCCAAACTTCATTCTTCCCACCATATTTCTGAAGAAGAAAACATAACTGCACTGTAACACTTTATCAGAAAATGATAAAATATTCTTCCAGAACGACAAAGAGGTAAATTAAAATCAATCCCTTTTTTAAAACACCTTTACCCGTCTCATTAAGGGTCATGTATATTGAGGTGCCCGGGGTTGGGCTTGAAAAATAAGGTTTATTCTTTCTTACCACTGTGGTGGTATTCATTTTTTCTTTCATCTTTGCCTCTTTAAGCCTTAATTTATCCAATTCTTTCTTCTTTTGATAAGCGTCCTGTCTCTTAAGTTCACAGAGACTTTCTTGTTCAGCAACCTGTAGTGATAAACATAAACCCATCAAAAAGCTTATGAGGACAACAAAGTTTAGAAAAATCTTTTTTTTATTTTGTCAACCTAATTCACATTCAACCTAAGCATACCATAGTCAATCTCAGTATACCAACAACTAAAAAAAAAGGGTTTGCCTGTTTCATAGCATCATAGGAAAAAGAGTGAACTACGAGAACCAAACTGCCATTATAAAATATTGAAATAGTAAATTTATAAGAGCACTAAAACAATGATTATTAATGGCAAATTACAAAAGAAATAGCCATTGTAGCAATTTATGAGTAAAATACCATAGCAATAGTTACCAGATTTACAGTGTGCTAGGAGATCAGGAGAGTCAAAGGAAAGAATGAAGAGTTGTGTCTGGAAACCCAACTTCACAGTATTTAACGGGCAACAGAATGGACTGAAGACAGAGGACGCAGACTCACTGAAGACTGGGCAGCTTACAACCCTGGACAACTTCTTACCACTTTTCAAACATAATCTGATCACTTGTCAAAATATTAAGTATGTCGCACTGTTATCACAATCAAACACATCAATGAATTTGTCTGGCAAAATGAATCATCAAGAAAAGGAAACTAAGAGGTTAGTAAGGCCTGAGGAAATGTGTTCAACTCTGCAGTAAAGAGTTATGAAAACGTATGTTTGGGCAACTTTCCATCAAAGCCACCAGCCAAGTCACCCAAAGTGGCTACTCTGAATGAATGGGATTATTAGCAATTATATCTACACTGGGGCACAGTTGAAGGAAACTTGGTGATTAATAAATTTTGCTGAAAGCCCTGGCTGGTGTGGCTCAGTGGACTGAGCTTCCGCCAGTCTGTGAACCAAAAGTCACCGGTTTGATTCCCAGTCAGGGCACATGCCTAGGTTGTGGGCCAGGTCCCCAGTAGGGGGTGCATGAGAGGCAACCACACATTGATGTTTCTCTCCCTCTCTTTCTTCTTCCCTTCCCCTCTGTCAAAAAATAAATAAATTTTTAAAAATAAATAAATACATTTTGCTAAAAGTTAGAATTCTGTGTTTAGGCTTTGGCTTAAGCCTTCTCCCAAGGTCTTGCAATTATAGATATAATATTAGTGAAAAGCATTTTGGTGTGTGTTAGGGGAGATCTTATGGGTTGGAAGACTCTGATAACTGTAATTGCTTTTCCTCTTTCACAGAAAGTAAAGGGGATTAACAGGATGTCACTATGTCTGTCCTGTGCCTTCAGGGGATATTGGTGGCTGCCTCCTTCACACCCACTACAGCTGGTCTAGCCCGCCAGTACAGGGGGTTCCTTTAGGATCCATTACTGTGCCAGGGGACAGTAGTGTCTTAACCTGGCCCGATCAGACATGGCAAGAAGATTTGCAGTCCTTGGTTAGGAAAGGCTTTCCTGTTTTCACTTGAATAAAGAAGCACAGAGTATACTTGTCACCGGCAGTCATCTTGCTACCTTGAGAGAAACCAGCATTAAGAAGGACGGAGAGGAGGGAGCAGCCACTGACTTAACTCCTCCAGAACTCTGCTCTGCATTGGGAATTCCTACTGTGTGAGACAATAAATGCCCCTACCGTCTAACCAGTTCAAGTCAGGGCCTCTGCTATTCGCATCTGAAAGTATCCTAACTGTAGCCATTTCTCAGGGGGATCACCAGAGATAGACCAACTACCTGGCCCCCAAACCCTGATCAAATCCAGGCACCACCTGTTTTTGTAAAGCTGCTCTAATTTATTTAGTTATTATTTAGGGCTACTTTCCTGCTAACATGGCAGAGTTGAGTAGTTGTGACAGAGACTGTGTGGCCCTAAGGAGGAAACTATCCTGTTTGCAAAATGCTCATTTTAAGCTGTTCTGAGATTCTTTTCTTGCATTTTAATGTTTACATTAAAGAAGAGGAAGAGGGGGGCTTCCCTGTAGAGGTTAAAAGGGAGTTAGACACTCACTCATTCAGTGAAGTAACATCAGAGAGTGCCTACCACTGGCCAGGCCCGGCCTGCACTGTCAGTAGTGCTGGGACACAGCAGCGGAGACAGACAGGATCCTGCCCAGGGGAGCCTTCCTCTGGCGGCCAGAGCACAGATCCAATGCCATTGCTGAGGGGCTGTTTAAGTCCCAGGGGAAGTAAGGAAAAGAACAGGGCTCCCCACTCCTCAACCCGCCCCCCACTCAGCTCTGCCCACACAGACACACCTCACTTTCGATTCCTGTAACTTAAATGAGCTGCTCCAGCATGAGGGTGTGGGGTGCTCAGGGAGAAGAGAGTAGTGCTTTCAGAAGAGGACTGTGTCCATATAAGAAACTTCCAAACCTGTAAGAGTTTTTATGAGTTTATTTGAGCCATGCTGACAAATGCCAGTGTGAGGAAGCAAAACAACGATGGACTGAGAGAATGTTCCAGAAAATGGCAGTTCTGCACCTTGTTTTATTCATTACAATCAGAAGAGGAGCTATAAGTGGGTTACATGAAGTCCATTGGTAATAGATTAGGGAGGTGGGAGAAAGCAAAGAGGGGGAAACTTCTGGGTTTGGATAAAAGTAAAACGATAAACACCTCACTTCATCATTTATCAGGACAGAAACAATGTACAAGCAACATGAGAACAATAACAATGACAGGGTCTGTGGTCATCCTCTGGCCTCAGTGGTGGTGCTTTGAGAGGTAGGGAAAAAGGACATTTGACCTTCCGAAAGTGTGTTATCATACATGCAAAAGACAGTAGCCAGGCTCAATTAAAGTAAAGATAGACTTTTGCCAGGGAAGATTCTAGCCTAGGTCACGACTGCTTGCCGTGAATGTTGTTAACATCAGGCCCTCCCGTGTGGTTTTGTTAGATCTCTGAGTCTGTGAGGCTGCCATGCAGACCGCCCCTGGGCTTGTCAGGTTTGTTACGTGGCCCCTTTCCGGCCCCAGCTGGAAGCTGCAGGGCGATGCCAGTGCTGCTCATCATCATCGCTGTCAACACGGCACGAAAACAGTAAAATGCCTTTCGATCCTTTTCCTAAAATTTCCATTTCCTTGTGATAACAATAAATTCCAGTAAGTTCTTGCCCAGTGACGGAGCTCACTATTTTTGAGACATGCACTAGTTGTGAGCATATGTTCGTGATAGAGTCTGTGCTGTAAGTCAGTTGGGCAACTGCTCGGCTAGCTGCCTGCTGAGCAGCCCGGCACCAAGGAAGAGACAAGAGCCACACACAGTAACTATGACATTCACCCAGGTTTTGGTGAATGCAGCTTCACTCAAAGTAGAATATCAACAAACATTAATATCCTACTCACACTCCAACAATCTAAGAGAAATATAACACGTACACACACACAGCAATCAGTGGGAAATAATGAACCTGAGTCCCAGAGTCTCAGTCTGCAGGTCCGGGGGACAGCATGGTGGGCAAGGGGGTCATCAGCATCTTGCCAGGAAGGATGACCAGAGCCAGGTGGGAAGCAGAGTGGAACAAGTCCTCAGTCCAGCAGGGCAGAGCTTCCAGTGGCTGACGCCAAGGGAGGTCAGTGTGGCGTGGAGCAGCGCTCTGATGTGTGGAGCTCGGCTGTCTCAGCAGTGGTCTGGAGCCTGCGTCAGCTATACCTTGAGGGCGGTGCACTCTGCCCTTCTGGGTCTCTTGATAAGCACTTTGGCACCCCTGATGCCAAGTGGGGAATTTGCCCGGCAGCCTGTCTGTGGGTGGTCCCACTCTGCAGACACAGCTGGTCTGATTACACACGGGCAAATATCTTGAGTGTGTCCTTGCCAGATGTGTCAGGTGGGACTCAGGTAGTTTCCCTCTTAAAACAAAGCACCATGCCTGATTGGCAGCCATCTCGGTTGACATGAGTGACTCCATTTTGTTTTGTATACTTTATGCCATCTTGATTGGACTAATGCCATTGATAGGTCTTGCTCTCCACAGGACTTCAGCTGGTTCCTGCACTGCAGTCCAGGCTAACAGCCAGCTTCAACCCCACTAAGGTCCAGGGAGCTGGGCATTTACAAATTCAATTTAGTGGCTGCAGTTGGCCCGAGGTATGCCTTGCCAGCTCCTTCACAAAGAGCCTGTTCCAAAGATGACGAAGGCTGAGCTATCTACATACAAGACATATTACATTCAGTGTAAAACTAATCCTGAAGACACAGGTGCTTTCAAGGACAAAGAAGCTTAGACCTGACTGGAATCAATCAAAGTAAGAACCAAATGTTGGTCACTGCTAGTTGTAGTCCTCTAAATTTTTAATAACAACTCAACAAAAGTAATTGAGCTTTTTTCTTTCTATTCTTTTTTTTTAATTAAATATAGCAGCATTGTGAGCTTGAATACAATTTCCTGCCTTTATGACTGGAGGTTAGGGCAACTCTGATCATGGAGAGGGAAGCACCAGGTGCTTGCCAGTAATTCTCACCAGGAACTGGCCCCTACACCACAGGGAAGAAGAGACTGATGCTGGGCCGCCCAGTGGAGACAGTCCTGCCTCTCCTGGAGCAGTCGAAGCAGAGCAAGAAACCACCAAGAGTTAACCATTCTAATGGTGAACTTTAATTAACATGGCCTAGCAGACAGCAAGAAGCTGAAATTATACCTCACACCACCCCCTCACAAAATTCCTGTTTCAAAATACTCTTTTCTCTTAGGGCCTTTGGCTCTGCCCAGCCCCTCTGCAGGCCACTTCTCTCAGATTCATTCAGCAGGAGCAGCAGGCTGGGGCCAGGCTGAGCTCCCTGGTCCTGTCCATAGAGACTGGGCCTCAGAACTGGCGAGGCAACCAGATGACATGGAGGCAAATCCCTGGTCCCTATAGGGCTGCATATGAGCAGGAGGCCACCCCAGGGATACAAATCCCGCCACTCACTCTTTCTCATAAACCAAGATGCTGCTGCTACACAATTCACTGCCTTCCACAAGGGGCCTCAGTGTCCTGTCTCTGCTCTGCGCCCACCCCAGTCTTCAGAGAAGATGCTACGGGAGTGCTGGCTGGCCTCGAGGGCGAGTAAATCATTTCCCGTTTCGTGCTCAAGATTCCGTATGATTCCGTATGATACAAAAATAAATCACGCCACTTACTCTTTCAATCAACTTTGATTTTCTTTTCAAATATTCAGTTCTTTCTTTTTCAATTTGTTCCTCTACATCTTGAATGTGTTTTCTTTGCAGTTTTATTTCTTCCTTCTCCATGTTTATTTTGGTGTAAGTCTCATTGATGTAAATAGTAGCAGCGGCTTTCTTCCCCATCGTGTTGTTCAGTGACAGGACAAACTTTTGGTGCTGTCTCGCCAGCTCCTCTTGCTTTTTACTAGGAGGAAAAAAAAATCATTCATGGCCTGAAAAGTATGGCATTTAGGAAAGGGATTTAAAGTCTGTTTAGTGAGATTAACCACCATAAAGGGGGAAATTGTAAGGGATGCTGATTTGACCATTGTATTTGCACTTGTCTAACCTTGGTTGAGACAGATGGCAACACAAGAGTCAACCTTGTAACTGTTTACCACAAGGTCCAGCCCACCCCACCCATCCCCACATGGCAGGTACTACCTATAGGCTGTCTAGGTTTAAAGTACACAAGGACTCAACAACAGCTTTGAACAGGGAAATGAAATCTTGCCAAATGGTTTGCTGTGTAGCCATATCTGTCTTATCATCCTGAGATAGGCAGTTAAGTCAAAGGAAGATAAACGTCCCACCACCCCTCCGGCCACCTTCTGATGCCAGGGCCCTGCAGGGAGGGCCCAGGAGGACGCTAGCTTTCCTCTGACAGACAGGAGTCAGGCGAGGAGAGGGTTCATCTTCACTGTTCAGAGGATGCTTGAAACCTAATTTGAATGCTCTTATCTTCTCCCAGCTGCAGCCAAATCTGAGTTCGAAAGGAGACACTAACCTCACACACCAGTGAGTCACATTCACTAGAGGAAGACCTTCAAGCTGCTAGAAACATCTGTCCCTGGGCTAACAATAACAAACCGGAGGAGGGACAATTTGAGCCATTTATTTATTTTCCTTTTTTGTAAAAGCTCCTGAAATGTGAAGAGCTTTTTCCTTTTTCCAGTCCGCAAGGTTAAACATGTTGCAGTTCAGATGGTTGTGTGCAAAGGTTTGGGCCAAAGGAAACAGATCGTCAGTAAGTTCCATTTCCAGACGTCAGCTCCACCACAGAAATGCAGTAACACAGAAGCCTGGGCTGGAGCGAGTCAGGCCAGGGGTGCTTTGTGGTCCAGCAGAGGGAGCCTTCTAACAGTGAATACACCTCAGCATGCAGTAGCCTCAGGGAAGCAAAGGGAAACAACTTGAACCAAAGGCCCTCACCCCGTGTGGAAGAGAGCACTCAGAAACCGCCCCCCCCGCCCCCCGTGGAGCCCAGGGAAAGCACAGCAAGGAGCCTGCAGGGATCCAGTTTGGGTTTTGTTTTTAGGCTTCCAGTTCACGTTTATTTTTATTTTTATTTTTTAAAATTTCTGTTAAAACCAATTCACATTTTTAATAGCACATAATCCACGTTTTAAAAAAAATATTTCTGTATGTATTTATAATATTTTTTAACCAGGACCCAAATAAAATATATACATTGCTAAAAATCAGTATCCCTTAAATCTCTCTTTTTAAAATCTCATTTTTCAAACATTATTGTTGTTCAGCTACAGTTGTCCCACCTTTTCCCCATCACTCTCCCCAAGGACTGTCCAGGAGAGGCCGCCTGGCAGAGAGTGAGGGTGCCTTGAGATCCACCTTTCTTTGAAACATGGGTGCCACAAGTGATTGTAGCATGATGATGCTCGCTCATCAAGCACCCCCGCCCCTTACTTTGCCATTGACTTTTTTTTTTTTAAGATTTTATTTATTTTTAGAGAGAGAAGGGAGGGAGATAGAGGGAGAGAGAGAAACATCAATGTGCAGTTGCTGGGGGTCATGGCCTGCCACCCAGGCCTGTACCCTGACTGGGAATTGAACCTGCGACACTTTGGTTTGCAGCCCGTGCTCAATCCACTGAGCTACACCAGCCAGGGCTTGCCATTGACTTTTCCATAAAGATTTCTCTAGAGCAGTGATTCTCAAAATGTGGTCGGGACCTCCCAGCAGCAGCAGCAGCATCACCTAGGAACTTGTAAGATATCCAAGTTCTCACCCTCACCTCCAAGACCTCCTAAATCAGAAATTCAGGGGGTGGGTGTCCCCAATAATTTGTTTTCACAGGCACTCCCAGTGATTCTGATACACAATGAGGTTGGAGACTCACTGGTCTTTAGGGGTGTGTGGGTGCTGGCCAACTGCTCTGAGGATCCCCCCTTGGAAATGGACAGCTCAGCTTACACAGCCGCCGCTGGCGATCATGGCTAGTATGCACCACACAGTCATCTGCATTGGGAATCACCAACAGGGAGCAGAGAGTGAGTATATCTCACACTTAGGTGATGATGAACTTTCTTTATCATGGAACATCTCCCAGAACAGGTGATCTGAGGGCCAACTTCAGGAAAGGTGTCCCTGGGCCTTGAGGTCTCCACCACACTCCTCATGCTTTGAAATCTTGTGTGCCAAGCAATCCTCTGGTTATTTCAGCTTCCCAAGAAGACTTTTCCCCTATGATGAGGGCTTTTTGAACATTTCTCACTTTCACACTGACATTCTGATATTTGCATATTAGCCTTGCAAGTGTGCTCACAGTACTGAGTTGTTCTTCCGAGTAAGTTTATTTTTTTTTCTTTCAGAATATATCTCTTCCTCCATGAGCTGGGTAAATCAAGACTTGCAATCCCCATTTAACAGATGCAGAAAATGAGGCCCCCAGGGTGAAGTGCTGGCAAGGCAGCTAGGAATAACAGGAAGAAACTAACAGGTGTCAGACCCTGAGCTACAGGCAGTTACACACATTGTCTCACTTAACCTCAGGGAGAATCCAGACCCCTCTCCTGGGAACCAGTGCCATCCTCACTCAGCCCTCCAGCAGATTATGACTGAACACCTTTAAGGAATTAAACTACCTATAATATATCTGGTTTGATGCTATATTTGCACCCAGCAAGACATCTTCCTTTGGTGGGTAAGGTTTGTAAATTCAATTTTACTAAAATGCACGCTAAAACCACTGTGTGCCCCTGCATGGGGAGGTGGTGTGCACAGCAGTGTGTGATTTGCACACCATTGTCATTGCGTGTGAGGATGGATGGCTCTGAAATTGTATAGGCCTCCTGACTGCAGTGGTTGATTTTCTGCTCTGCTCATCAGATCTCTGTAGCCATCACACGCCCCTTAGCAGCCCGGGTCCCCTTCCACATGGGATTCCCACCTCTTACCTTGCCCGGCACAAGTTTGGGTCAGAAGACAAACCCTTCAGCAGGATTTTCCCACCCCCGCCCCAGGCCCCAACTCCCTCAGGTGCTGAATAAAAAAGCAGTACTTGCCCCAGAACTTTATTCTTGTTTTTCAGATAAAGTATTTTCTTCTTTAGAAACTCTATTTCATTACTTATCCTTGTAATTTTCTTTTGTAATTGATCCATCTCAAGAAGGTTTAATCTGCGAGCATCTCTAACACATTCTAAGAAGGGGAAGAAATGTTAGTGTTATTTGAGAAACAGCATAATTATAGATAATGACTTTTTTTAAAGATTTTATTTATTTATTTTGAGAGAGAGAGAGAGAGAGAAAGATCAATGTGCAGTTGCTGGGGGCTGTGGCCTGCAACCCAGGCATGTGCCCTGACTGGGAATCAAACCTGCGATGCTTTGGTTCGAAGCCTGCGCTCAATCCACTGAGCTACGCCAGCCAGGGCCAGACAATGACTTTTGAAATCACAAACAAATTGTCTTTCTTGGAGCTTTCTTTGCATCATGTTTCTGATTCACACGCCTCTTCCCACCCTTGGGGCCCCTCTGTCTCATCTACCAATCATTTCCCTTATTTCAGCTGCTGCTCTGGTGACCAGCTTTCCTTGGGCTCTGAGCAACTACAAACTGGGGCATTTGGACAGCACCCAATTGCTGCTTTTTCTATGCACTTCTCACCTCCTGCCCAACACTTCCCTGTCACCTCCACCATGGGACTTCCTTAGACAGCCAAACAGGCCTGTGGAAACCAAAGTGCGGGAGGTGGGGCCAACACTGGACCAGTGACAGACAGGAGCCAGCCAGCACCTGGATGGTCCTGAGAAGAGGTGACTGTGTCTTAGGGGTCTGTATGCACACTCCATTGGTTACATTGGCAGCAGTCAGCATCATCTTGTACCCCACATTAACTCTCCCTTCTCCCCACTCCGGTCTCCTTATCCCAGTCTCCTCCTTGCACTATACTCCTTAAAATCACAGTGCAAAAGCAATCGCCTTTGGTTCTGCTGTGAGGGAACCCAGTGGTTAAAAACAATAGCAACAGCTACAACTAATTATTTATCAATAAATAACAATTCAGCGTAATCATGTAAGACTTCAGGTTACCTCAGTGCATGATAGAGGGTAACAATGAACATTTGAACACTGCTGTTTTAGGAAAGTCCTGAATGACCCATTTCTTTGAGAGACCTTATTTTTTCTAGACTACTAGTTAAATTGTAGCAGGGCTTCTCAAACTTGGTGTCTCAGATATGCAGATGCAACACCTGGGGATCTTGTGGAAATGCAGATTCTAATACAGCGCATACAGGGTGAACCCAGAGAGTCTGTATTTTGTGACAAGCTCTCAGAGGATTTTGATGCTGCTGATCCAAGAACCATTTCGAGTAGCAAAGCTTTATTCATGAGGTCAATTAAACGTGCTTGGTTGAGTATTCTGCATGTATCAAGGATCTTATAAGCTCCTATGGTATTGTTTTTCTTTCTAAAATATGTTTTCCTGGTTATAAGATAACCTAACCTAGAACATAAAAAGCTACCAAAAGTAATGAAACAAAAACACTCCTAATTCTGCCTTTGACACAGCTTTCTTCTAGGTGCTATTTTTATCTGCATGTGTAGTTGGTTGTATTTTCCTTGCCAAACTAGACTAACACCATACATATTGTTTTATAACTGGCTGTATCACTCAGGGTCTAAGTAGGTCATAGATATCTTACACTAAATTATAGGGAAATTTTTAAAAACATTTAATGATTAATTTTTAGAGAAGGGAAAGGAGGGAGAAAGAGAGGGAGAGAATCACCAATGTGCAAGGGAAACATTGATCAGTTGCCTCTCCCACACCCCCAGCTAGGGACCTGGGCTACAACTCAGGCATGTGCCCTGACTGAGCATCTAACAGGCAACCTTTAGGTTCATAGGCTGGCCCTCAATCCACTGAGCCATATGAGCCAGGGCTGATAGGGGAAGTTTACTATGAAGAATTATTGACCATAAAGTGGATTCGAGTAATGAGGAAAAGAATATTAAGAAAGTAAAGAGAACACTAAAGAATTCAGGAGTAGCAGGAATGAGAAACAGCCACTAGACCTGCCGCTGAGAGGAAGTGTCCTCCAAGAAGCAGCACTTCCACACCCCAGATCCGGACCTCACTGCAGGTGGCTGTGGCTCATTGGATGACTCCAAGAAATTCATAAAGTGCTGGGCTGGCAATCTGGCTTCTGGGGTACTGAGGAAACCTGTCCAAGGGAGGTGCCACACTTTAAAACTCACTGCAAAACCACCCACGGGTGCTGGGGAAGCTGCTCATGGGAAGTTGGCTCAGTGGTAGCAGTCTGCCATGATGTTGCCCGAGGGGTACTGGAGGAAGCCGCTGGGCACCCTGGACTGCCACGCTGCAAGAGTCTTCCAAGCTGAGCACCTGAAACCAGAAAGAGAACCCCTTCTTCCTCTGGTATCCCACCAGTGCCCTGGAAGGACAAAGCTTCATATTGTGCCAGCTGGCAAAGGGGAAATCTCCAGGGTCCAGCTACCTATGACAGAGCAGACAACGAAGGTGGATTTGGATCTGCAAGGCAACAAGTGCATAACTGAAACAGCTACTGAAAAAGCGTTTTTCCCTGACTGGTGTGGCTCAGTGGCTTGGGCGTTGTCCCACAAACTGAAAGGTCAGGGGTTGGCTTCCCAGTCAGGGCACAGGCCTGGGCTGCAGGGCTGGTGCTCAGCTGGGGGTGTGCCAGAGGCAACTGATCCATGTTTCTCTCTCACGTAGATGTTTCTGTCCCTCCCTTTCACCCTCGCTTGCTCCTCTCTCGAAGAGTAAATAAATAAAAACTTTAAAAAGTGTTTCTTAAAAGTTTGTTTAGACCATTGTTTTAGGTTGGTCTCCCTGGGAAACAGGTTGTAAAATGCGCGTGTTGAAGATGTACTGGGAAGTGCTCTCAGGAACGTCTCAGAGGAAATGAGGGGAGCCGGGCTGGGCAGAAGGGGAGGAGAAATGACCCTGAGCTTTAGAGCTGTGAGGACACTTGGCAGTTGTTCTGCCTTGAGTCCAGGAAGGCAAGCCTTTACCCCTCCAGTGACCAACCAGCAGCACCCGGGGAGGGCAAGTACCCCAGAGTGGAGCCTTTCTCTTGGCCAAGGACAGTTCCTGTGGAGGAACTGAGCTGTGGGCCTCAGCCAAGCCTTCTGGCAGCTGGGAAAATGAAGTTGGACCTTACCTTACACCAAATACAACAGTTAACTCAAAATACATCAAAAGCCTTAATGGAAGAGCTAAAACTATAAAACTCTTCTATGAAAACATACAGGGAGAGCTTCATGACATCGGATTTAGCTATCATTTCTTGAATATGAACCCAAAAGCACAGGCAACAACAACAAAAACTAAACGGGACTACGACAAAATTCAGAACTTTTGTGCATGAAAACTCACTATCAGCAGAGTGAAAAGGCAACTGAGGGAATAGGACCAAATGTTTTCAAATTTATACCTGATAAGGGGTTATCATCCAGAACAGACAAAGCATTCCTACAACCCAATAACAACAAAACAAACAACCTGATGCAAAGGTGGCAAAGGACCTGAGTAAACATTTCTGCAAAGAAGATCTACCAACAGCACGTGAAAAGATGCTGAACATCACTAATCATTAAGGAAATGCAAATCAAAACCACCATGAGATACCATTTGACACCCATTAAGGTGGCAATTATTTATGAAACAAAAAACAGGAAAATGGTGGCATGAGTGTGGAGAAACTGGAACTATTGTGCACTGTGGGTGGGAATGGAAGAAGGAACAACCACTGTAAAAAACACTGTGACAGTTTCTCAAGAAGTTAAACATAAAATTACCATGTTACTGTACCACCCAGTAATTCCCTTCTGCGTACATACCCAAAGAATTTAAAGCAGTGACACAAAGTGATATTTATACACCCATGTTTACAACGGCATCATTCACAATAGCCAAAAGGAAACAACTCGAGTGTCCATTGGTGAATGAGTAGATACATAACACATGGTATATACGAGGTCTGTCTGGGAAAATTCCAGCCACTGTTAATATAAAAAGAATGGTGTCTGTGACACGGAGGTAACCTGGTGCCAAGGAGAGTGGACTGGAACGCTCATGTGTGAACATGACGACTTCACTGCACTAGTCAGTGGGAGTGGTAGACGCCCTTGAGTGGGCATGTGTACTGTGTGGCCGTTACATTCAAAATGACTGAGCAAGTAGAGCCATGAATCTGCATCAAATTTTGTGTTAAGCTTGAACATTCCTCCACAGAACCTACTCAGATGATTCAGAAGACCACATCTATGCGCAACTGGAGACTGGCAGCTTCATCACGACAACACACCCACTCATGCAACATGGCTAGAGCAGAGTTTTTTTGGTGATACATCAAATCACCCAGGTGACTGAGCCCAGCTACAGTCCAGATTCGGCACCCTGTGGCTTCTGGCTTTTTCCAAAACTAAAATCACCTTTGAAAGGGAAGAGATTTCAGATCATCAATAAGATTCAGGAAAATATGACAGAGCAGCTGATGGTAAACTGTGTGAGGTCAAGGCACCTACTTTGAAGGGTATAAGGTGCCATTTTTCTATATACAACATTTCTTGAATCTTGTATATTCTTCAATAAAATCATTTTTTTTAATATTACATGTCTGGTTACCTTCTGGACAGCCCTCATACATACCATGGAATAATTTTAAAAAGGAGGGAAATTCTACAACACAGATGGATCTTGAAGACATTATGCCAAGTGAAATAAGTCAGTCACAAAAGGACAAATATTGTAGGATTCCACTTCTGTGAGGTGTCTACAGTAGCCAAACTCACAGAGAGAGACAGTAGAATGAATGGTGACTTAGGCCAGTCAAGCCACCTAACTTAACTGGATAAACACCAATTTGCAACAGGCTGATTCTGTATGCCTTGTCTCTTCAGACATGAAATTATATAAATTTAAGTTATATATATATATATAATATTTCCACGTAAAATATCACAGAAATTATTTTGGATCTCACTGTGTTAGTGTCATATGCTCTTTGTAACTACATTTGGCATGAAATAACTAAACCAGGCTTATATAATCATAAATTAAACTCCTTTTTTCACAAGAACTTGCCTCTATTTTTTATACGATAAACTAAATTTCTACAGTTATTAACCTCAAAATACCTTCGAATTCTGTGTTAACATTAGTGGGAAGAGTTTCCAACTGAAAATATAGTCTGCTGAGTTCCATGCTTTCAATTTCCAGAAGATCAATTGTGGCTTTTCTCATTTCTTCCTAAAAATTTGAATTATATATTAAAAAATAGAAGTTATCTCCTAAACAATGTCCTATAAAGGTTTTGAAAGGTCAAAATTTGATTTTCCTTAAGTACCTGCTGCTGCTATTTTTATTTGGAATAGAAAGAAGGGAAAGTAACTACAATAAGTTGTTAAGGTGTCATTGTTAGTTTATCTTTTAACTTCTGTTAACTTCTTCGACTGAGAAATCATCTTTCCCTATGTGTTTCCTGCTTTGTTTCAATCATTTTAAAGTTAAAGACTTCAACAAAAAGGGTAACATTGAGAAAGAAAGCTACTTAATTTTAAAAAAGAGGAAATGCCTATAAAAATATGCTTAGTATAAAGAGAACATTGTTTCTCTTATACATACCAAGAAATCCAAACAAAAAGTCAGGTGGGCCTATTGTTGTTGTTCTTGTTATTATTATTGCTAATTTATAATTCTGGGGGTGGGACTTTTTGAAAAAATTTCAACATACATTAGTAGAAAAACAGATAAATCATCTTTTAAATAAATGGTCACACTGTCCATAGTTACTATATGACCTGATAAACTATCATCCAATTTTATGAACAATGAAAAGCAGGCTGCATAGTTGTACTGGGTTGGCCAAAGTGTTTAGTTTTTTCCATAAAATAAAAGACACATTTTTCATTTTCACCATTTAACTTTATTGATTTGGATATTTTGAGTATGTCAGCTATCTCCTGCTACTGGCTTCTAGTGGGCAGAAGGCAGGGGTGCTGCTAAACATCTTCCAGTGCATAAGACAGCCCCACAGCAAAAGATCATTTGGCCAAAATGTCAATGGTACCAAAAAACTTCACAAACCACTTTTGACACAATTGATCAGTCACAGCACCTTCTCCATACACTGAACAAATCTTTATCTGTAGTTCAGTTGCATTTTTACCTTTCTTGAAATAATAAATCATAATACACCAAAAGTGTTGCATATGTTCTTCCATCTTCAATATTAACATGGTTGCACAAAAATTTACTAATTCTGGTAAGTTTTTGTAAATGCACACTGATATGACCGCTGTCACAATACAATCTGACAAAGTTGTTTCAAATGAAGTTAGAATGGCTAAGCACTACTAGAGCTGTGTACTTCTTGGCCAACCCAATATCCATAGAGTATGACCACTTTTCTATAAAATGCAATACAGGCATCACCTGTACAGTGAAAGCAGGAAGAACATTCACCAAAGAGGTAACGTGATTATTTGAGAGTGGTGGGATCATCGTGGTTTTCACTTTCTTCCTTTTGCTCGTCTCTTTTTTTCTAAGTTATCCAGAGTAACCATGTAGTGCTTTTATCATAGTGGAAATTTGTTACTTTGAAAAATGGAGGGATGTACCTCTATTGAAGAGATTTCACAGCTTAGATATTAAGTGGACATGTACTAGATACTTTAATATGCTACCATTAATATTTTGATCCCCTCAATTCTGGAGAAAAGCATAACTAAAGCAAAGCAGAGGGAAAGATTTGCACAAGACCACAGTGCAGTACAGCATGCACAGACGCTAAGTTGTTTATGTTCCATACACATGTATTCTGTATGTATTCAGTTAAGTGTGATTATAAAGTATAATTCTGTAGTATACATATACAACTATATAATTACATAAAATATCATTGTAAAGAGATTAACTTTTATCAGCAGTCTGTAGACCCAAACTCATTTACTTCACCATATTTCTATGTTTTTAGATATTTGATATGTAGTAGATTCTTACTCAATATTTTAAAATCAAAGACGGGACTTCACCATTCTAACCCTGCTGGGGAAACATTGTAAACATCATCCAGGACCAAACAGAGAAATGATTGTGACACCTCAAAAGGAAATTCTTTAAATTCTTCTTTGGTTAATATAACCAAAAGAATTTCTGTTCAGTTTTTTTCACTGAACAGCATGGTCTACTTCAGTGAAATGGGTGCCAAAAATATCTTTCACCAGTTACATTAGGAACTGCTTATAGAGAACTGAGTTCATTGGCACCACATATGCAGTTTATTTCAGAGGTTATGTGATGCTTACATGTTGGGGTCACAGCATTTGCCCATTTGGCTCACCCCTCAACAGAGCTGTGTCCTCACCAGTGTTGCTTCTCCTTAGCTGGCTTGCCCTCATCCATAGAGTACAGGTCTTAGTTCAGTGTTCTGTGTGGAAAATCGGGCAACAGTCCACAATTGAGCAACACTGGTTAAAATGCTTCGTTGGGAGGACAAAAAAAATTTTTTTTACTCAGGGTAGATATTTTCCCAGTTTTTCTATTAAAATCCTTTGAACAGAGTTGGTGCTAAATGAAAGTCTGATGAGGAAATAAGTGGAAGATTTTTTTAAAAGGCTCTTATTAGCTAATACAATACCAATTTCTTGACAGCTACAGCAATGTCCTTAAGAAAGATCCTAGCTTCTTCGTTGCATTTAAAATAGTCCCCTTGCAGTGATTGTTCTAAAAAAAAAATGACAAAATTAAGATATCTTGTTTATCTGTCCAAATCCTATTTAACCCTTTAAGATCTGGCTGAAATGCTAATGCAGCTGGAAATTACATCTCTGTGAATCTCCATAGCACTTTATATAAATCTTTTGTATTTGTTATTTTCTATTTCATAGTATTCTAATTTAGGTATATATTTTAGGTCCCTTCAGGAGAAACTCCCCTTAAGAGTCTCTCTTTGACCTTGGCTGGTGCAGCTCAGTTGGCTGCAGCATTGCCCAACTGAAAGGTTATGGGTTCAATTCCCAGTCAGGGTACCTACCTAGGTTGCAGGTTTGATCCCTGGTGGGGCATGTATGGGGAGCAACCAATTGATGTTTCTTTCTCTCTCTCTCTAATACCAACAAACAACATCAGAAAAAAAAAGTCCACCTTTGCATCTCTCATGGTAGAGAGAAGGATGTGTATAGGAGAGGACAAAGTTCAACAAACATTTACAAAAGGATAACAAGCCTATAATGTAGGTTTAAGAGTGTTTTCATGTATATTTAGAAATATATATATATCTTAAATATAGTATTATTGCCCAAACCACACATATATTTAACTGTATAAAAATCAAAGTTGATTCTCATAAACTTAGAATAATTCTCATTCCACAGAGAAGAAATCTAAGACATTGAGGTCATGTCACATGTTCAAGGTCACAGACTCTCACTGATGGAGTCTGGATTCAAATGCGAGTGGCATGACTCCAGGGTCCATGCCCTTAATGGCTCTGTTCACCTCTTACAAGAGTACATACCAATTTCGGCCCTCAGTTCCAGGGAACTTGGATTCTCTTAACGAACTAAGCTCTCAGACCAAGTGAAAAATCACTTACCGAGTTTGCAAGCAAGTATATGTGAGGGAGAGACAGGCCTTGCCTGCTATCTCCTTTCCTTCCTTCTAAGGAGTGAATGAGCAAAGAGTCTTCCCACTTGCAAATGGGCTGGAGAGCAACATATTTTATAACTCACACTCAGGACAAGAGTTTTAATGAAGTTTTTTCCTAAGAAAAACATTCTGAGAGTCCAAAAATTATTAGCAGCACAAGTATTTGTGCTTAATTGCTAGGGCAGAATGGATATGCTGATTTAGATGACTTTGCACACAGGCAAATCATTTAGGCATCTTCCGTGGTTAACAGTTTTACTGAAAACACTCCTCCAAACTTACAAGATTTGTGAAGTTAAGGTAGTTCATGTAAGGAGGGAAAAAGAAACTATCCCCAAATAAGAGTAACAAGATAGACAGCAATATGATTGTCTAGAAACAGTGAGATGATGAGGAAAGCAATGGTTTTAGGAAACACTCTTCCTTGGTCTGGGTCTCTCCTTAAGCTTAGGTGACTTGGTTACAGGTTCAGCTTTCTAGCTGAGGAGGTATTTTAACCTGGTCCCATCCTTGACTCCCTTTCTTGTTTGCCTGTTAACTTCCTCAGTTTGGCTCTGGGGCTTTGATTTGTACTTCTTTTTTTTAAGTTCTTTATTTTGAAAGATTTTATTTATTTATTTTTAGAGAGGGAAGGGAGAGAGAAAGAGAGAGAGAGAAACATCAATGTGCGGTTGCTGGGGGTCATGGCCTGCAACCCAGGCATGTACCTTGACTGGGAATTGAACCTGCGGCACTTTGGATTGCAGCCCGCGCTCAATCCACTGAGCTACGCCAGCCAGGGCTTGATTTATACTTCTGTTTGAGCCATTTTTATTTTTTTAATCTTGTCGCGCCTGTTAGGTGGTGAGGGGTGGAGCTTTAGGTGATTTCTCAAAAGAGACCTTGCAGGCAAGAAGGGGCTGGAAAGAAGTATTCCAAGTCATGAAAGGCAAGGACCTACATCCCAGATTGCTCTATCCAGCAAAGCTTTCATTTAGAATGGAAGGGCAGATAAAGTGCTTCTCAGATAAGGTCAAGTTAAAGGAGTTCATCATCACCAAGCCCTTATTTTATGAAATGTTAAAGGGACTTATCTAAGAAAAAGAAGATAAAAAAACATGTATAGTAAAATGACAGCAAACTCACAATTATTAACAACCACACCTAAAACAAAAACAAAAACAAACTAAGCAATCAACTAGAACTGGAACAGAACCACAGAAATGGAGAACACATGGAGGGTCAGCAACAAGGGAGTGGGAGGAGGAGAGAGGGGGAAAAGGTACAGAGAATAAGTAGCATAGATGGTAGGTAGAAAATAGGGGGAGGGTAAGAATAGTATGGGAAATGTAGAAGCTAAAGAACTTACGACACATGGACATGAACTAAAAGGGGGGAATGTGGGTGGGAGAGGGTGCTCAGGGTGGAGGGAGATGGAGGGGGGTAATGGGACAGCTGTAATAGCATAATCAATAAAATATATTAATAATTAATTAATTAATTAATTAATTAATTAAAAATAAACTCCCCAGTTTGCATGGCATAATGTTGGAGGAAATGAACTTGTAAAGAAAGGTTAAAAAGGCAAAAGGCAAAACTGAATGCACAATCTAACTGCAGGTGGGTGGGTACTCCAGATGCAGGCAAAGGGCAATGGCCTGGGGGCCAGGATTTGTCACCAGCTACTAAGTTGAGTTGGGCCAAGTAAATGGAGCCGGACGCGTGAGGCGTCCGGAGCAACCCCGTCCCCAAATCCCAAGCCCTGCGGCCTCTCTCCCGCCCTGGGGCTGAAGAAGGCTCTGCACACCCAGGGATGCGCTGGGGTCCAGCGGGGTTACTGCCGAGGGAAGCGCATGCGCCGCTGCCAGGGGCTGCACCTCCAGCGCCCATAGCCTCCTGCCTCCCTGCCCACGCCCCCACTCCCCGCCCTCCCCGGACCCCTGCCTCTTAGGGGAGTCGCCCCTTCCAGCGCCTGCGGCCTTCTCACCCACAACCAAGAGTTGCTCCAGTGCTGCGTCTGCCACCGAGGAGCCCAGGCTGGAGGGGAAGGTGCACAACTCCAGGGAGGGGCCGGTGGAGACCGCCGCGGGTCGCAGCACCTTCTCCCCGCACCCCAGCTCCGGGGACCAGGAGTGCAGCGCCATCTTGCGGCTCCGGTGCTGCGCCCAGCGGCCAGAGCCCGGAAGTGCCGTTGCCACGGGCAACCAGGACGTTGACAGTTGACCGTTGACCACTGACGGAGGTGCACACATCTTGCATGTTACCTGGCAATCCTCAGATGGAGTGCGCGTCACCACCTAAAACTCCCCGCTGGTTCCCTGAGGGACAGAGGATGCTTGGAGCACTCTTCTCGCTCTGGTCCTGCTCCACCGGTGTGCAGCCGCCTTTGGATTCTCAGAAGTCGCCTCCTCCGGAGGCCTTGTGAGCAGCCGCCCACCGGGTCAGGGACTGCTGCGTGCGGTGGGTTACAAGTCACCACACTTCCCTCATGAGGCCCTGAGTTGGGGCGCCGGCTTGTGGCCCTCGAGTGGGCTGCGCACCTCCGGGTCCCCGACTTCCGCCGCGATAATCAGTGATCCGGGAAGGACGAGTCCCGTCTAGCTGCCCTTTTCCCCTCCTTCTCCATTCCCTTAGGTCAGCACTTGGACCTTTTTCGTGGCCCGTTGGAAACGTGGTAAAGATCCCTTGAAACTGGGCTCTGTCAGGCACTGCAGGAGGGCCTTAATTTTCACAATGACGTTGTGAGGCTGGGTCTTTTATTACCTCCACTTCTGCAGGCGTGCGCCAGTGGTTACTCACCTGCAAGGCATTTTGTAACCGTTTCTGTGACTTATTTAGCCTTATCGTAATGCTTCAGGGAGATTGTTCCCCCCCCCCCCGAAAATCATACCCAAGTGAGAGATTCAGTGCCCTTGGGGATGACATCTGGCCCAAGAGGGCTGCCTTGTGACTGCGCAACCAGGGCCGGCAGCGGGGCTGGGGCGAGGGCTGCTCGTGCCTGGACAGGCTGTCCGCAGAGCCACGGAGCTGTGGCTGCAGAGTGTGGGGTGCATGGAGGGGACAAGCAGGAGCCCAGCCAGAAACTTGGGTCGTGATTTTACTGTCAGGGCCTCATTTCCCCATCAGTAGTTTGGGTTTTATTGCTGCAGGCAGTGCTGCTCTGAACAGGAAGATGAGGAACAGGTTAAGCTGCTCCCTGCTGGCAGCTGCTGGGTAATTCAATTTATTTCTGCCTAAGGGAACATACTCTGGTAGCCTACATGAAGAATATCCTTATCAATTGCAGGCATTATGAGTTTTCAGGGAAACACCTGTGGAGTAATCAGAAATTAAGTTGGGCCTGAAACAACCAACCCATATTTAGCATAAATATTTAGCATAAATGTCTTATTTTGCTATTATTTAGTAAGTCGCTGATGTTCAGGGTGGCATCCTCATTTAGAAGGGTACCAATGATGTTACTGCTTACTTAGTATTTTTATAGACATTTCAAACACTCATGATCTTAAAAGAGCAGTGTTCTCATTTTCCTTATTTTTTCTTATTTTAATGAACATAATTGCTATTTTTACAAACCGTTTTAGATATGATGATTTGACCTGAAGATGATCTGGTAAAGCTCACTGGAGTATTAAGCTGTCTATTGGATTCAAAAATCTTTGTCTTCTCTCTTTCTGTCTCATTTTGGTTGTGTGTGTGGGAAGGGGTACTGACCATTTCCTTATATAGTGATGCAGTTGAGAATTTCCAGAACTCATTTGGGAAGTGAAAATACAAATAAGTCACTGCTGCTCTGAGTCCTCTTCCTTTGGACCTCGTCAAGGACCTTCCTCAGTCAGCTCCTCCCTCACCTGTGTCTTCTCTGTGTTCCTCAGAACTCATGCCATTTCCCTTACTAAAGCCACGCCTTTCCCAAACCCTTCTGCCACCCTAACTCTTGCTTCCCTGCATCACCAAACTTCTTCAAAACATGGTCTCCATCTTGGCCATAATGCATTTCTTCACCCCAAATTTTATTTTATTATTTCTTATTTTGTTCAATACCATTGTCCGCATTCGCCTCCACTACTCTTCACTACCCTACCCACTCCTACCTCCTACATTCAGTCTCTCCCACCTCCCCCACCCCTTGTCTTTGTCCACGGGACCACCCTGCCCCTTCTTTCCCTCTTATTCCCTTCCCTCCTCCCCTCCGATTACTGTCAGTTTGTTCTTTATTTCTATGTTTCTGGTTCTATTTTGCTTGCTTGTTTGTTTTGATTAGGTTTCACTTATAGATGAGATCATATGGTATTGGTCTTTCACCACCTGGCTCATTTCACATAGCATAGTACTCTCCAGTTCATCCATGCTCTCGCAAAGGGTAGAAGCACCTTCTTTCTTACTGCTGTATAGTATTCCATTGTGTAAATATAACATAGTTTTTTGATCTGCTCATTTACTGATGGGCACCTCATGGTGTTTCTAGCACTTGGCTATTGCAAATTATGCTGCTATGAACATTGGGGTGCATAGGTTCTTTTGAATTGGTGTTTCAGGGTTCTTAGGTTATAACCCCAGCAGTGGAATCATTGGGTCAAAAGGTAGTTCCATTATTAGTTTTCTGAGGAAATGCCATACTGTTTTCCACAGTGGCTGCACCAGTCTGCATTCCCACCAGCAGCACACTAGGGTTCCCTTGTCTGTCTCCACAGCCTCGCCAGCACTTGTTGTTTGTTGACTTGTTAATGATGGCCATTCTGACCAGTATGAAGTGGTATCTCATTGTGGTTTTAATTTGCATCTCTCTGATGGTTAGTGATGCTGAGCATCCTTTCACAAGTCTCTTGGGCCCTCTGTATGTCCTCCTTGGATATGTGTCTCTTTAGACCCTTTGCCCATTTTTTTAAATTGGATTGTTTGTCTTCCTGGTGTGGAGTCATATAAGTTCTTTATAGATTTTGGAGATCAAATCTTTGTCTGAGGTATCTTTGGCAAATATATTTTCCTATACAGTTGGTTCCTTTTTCATTTTGCTTATGGTTTTTTTTTTTAGCCTTGCAGAAGCTTTTTAATTTGACTAAGTCCTATTTCTTTATTCTTTCCTTTATGTCCCTGGCTCTGGGGGACATATTGGTGAAAATACTGCTATGTGGACTATCTGAAAGTTTCCCACCTGTGTTCTCCTCTAGGATTTTTATGGTGTTGCCACATATTTACATCTTTTATCCATCTTGAGATTTTTTATAGGGAACCATTCCACGTGGCATGTGAATGTAGCCCATCTCTCACTCAGAAAAACCAGAGGGAAGCAAGGTTCCTGCACACAGGAGCCATACCCACAGATAGGTTCTCTTGTGGGGAACCAGGCCTACATTGTACCTAGGCCGCTGTGAGACTTGCTTTTGCTAAAACTCCCTCACCTGGATTGAGGCAGCAAGTGCTTACCGTAAACTTCCTAAAATCTGAGCTAAACCTCCCAAGTATGGAGTATAACCAGTCCAACCACTTTTCCCTTTACATTTGCAAATAGCCTTCTTCTTTGATGTAATTAGCAACATCCTCTCCTTTGTTTTCTGTAAACGGTAATCACCTACAGTGAACCTGCGCATAGTAAATGAGGACCATCCTTGATGTAATGTACCCAGAAAAGCAATAAAAGCCTGTCCAGGCAGAGGCTGAGGCCCTCTCCTCTCACTCAGAGAGTGGCCCTGCGGTCCCTTTTCTCCACAGGACTTCTGAAGTGCATGTGTATTTGTTCATAGCTGCCACAACACACAGATCCTGCAGGCCAGGATCTGCATCAATTTTTGTGTGTGGTGTAAGTTGGTGATCAAGTTTCATTTGCATGTAGCTGTCCAGATCTCACAACACCATTTGTTGAAGAGATTGTTTTTACACCATTTTATAATTCTGCCCCTTTTGTTAAATATTAATTGGCCACAGATACATGGGTTTATTTCTGGGCTCTCTATTCTGTTCCATTGGTCTATGTGTCTGTTCTTATGTCAGTACCAGACTATTTTGATTACAGTGAGCTTGTGATACAGTTTGATATCAGGTATGGTGATCCCTCCTACTTTGTTGTTCAGTCTCAAAATTGCTGCAGCTATTGGGGGTTGTTAGTAGTTCCATATAAATTTTTGAAATGTTTATCTATATCTGTGAAATATGTCATTGGTATTTTAATAGGGATTGCATTGAATCTATAAATTGCTCTGGGTAGTATGGACATTTTGAGGATGTTAATTCTTCCAAGCTTTGAACATGGTACAAGCTTTCATTTGTTTCTGTCTTCCTTAACTTCTTTCTTCAGTGTTCTATAGTTTTCAGAGTACTTTTACCTCCTTGGTTACTTTATTTTCTTGTTGCTATAGCAAATGGGATTTTTTCCCTGACTTCTATTTCTGATATACAAAAATGCCTTCAATTTCTGAACATTGACTTTGTATCCTGCTGCTTTGCCAAATTCAATTACTGGGTTGAGTAGTTTTTTTGATGGAGTCTATAGAGTTTTCTATGTAAACACAAGCAATTCTTGGTAAAAAAAAAAAATAAAGATTATAATTTATTGTTTTTAATCCACATCCAAGATATGGTTACTGATTTTAGAGATAGAGAGAGAAACATTGATGAGGGGAACATTAATCAGTCACCTCCCACAGGCAGGACTGGGGATAGAACCTGCAATCTAGGTAAGTGTTCTAACTGGAAATCGAACGTGCATCCTTTTGGTACATGGGATGACATTCTGACCAAGTGAGTCACTCAGCCAGGGCTGTAAAGATTATAACTTGAATTTTTAAAAATTTCTTTAAAAAAGGTCAAATATTAAAAAAAAGTTTTTTCAGGCTCATTTAAAGTAAAACAACAACAGACACTTCCCTCAATAATTACCGAGGCACGGCCTATCATGGAGTTTTCTTGCCACAATCAAAAGTAATCAGAATATAGAGCAAAAGCAGGTTTACCACTAAAAGAACAGAAGTAGTATAATGACTTGATAAGGTCTTCTAACTGGTCATTATTCCAACATCGGTCCATCCAGATACAGTCACAGAAAGTACTAACCTCTTTTTCCCTGAGTACCATTCAATGAAGAACCAATGTAAAACCAGAGGAAGCATAGCCATGAATCCAAGATAGAGCCAATCGTAAAGTTCTG